GCACTGTGTTGTAATACAGGCATACATCCTCACGTCCTCTATGAGACACCAGACATACTGCGACCTGTGCGATGACAGACCGTCACCGCAAACTCATCTTCGCTGTTAATATTAGTTTGTGTGTAAAGCTGCTTAAAAAAAGGAAAATCCACATGAACACACTTTGTTATCCGTTTACCAGCAGCAGCGAGGACGCCAGCGCTGCACTGAACCTCCACACGCCGCTAGTACCAGGAAAAGTTGCACGAATGCGAACATGTTGTGTATGACGGAAGATTAGACTCTCATCATTGTGGCCATTTTAAAGAAGAACATCAATCAGAACACAGGACCGTAAACAAGTGTGTCTGTATCTTCAAAACAGACCAGCAGCTCTGTCTTTATATCACTGTTTCAGTCTCACTTTCTGAATCATTACATGCCCTCACCAAACATTTACATCAACCTGATTTTAAGTGCAGTTTTGATTTGCATAAAAGATCTGATTCAAACAACAGAGGGGGAATCAAAAAAGCTGAAATATTACAAATAAGTTAAGTTGGCTAAGATGGAAATGTGGTGGGCATTTAAACAAAGACAGGATGCTATGAATGCTGACTCACCGAGATGGTATCAGCGCCAGCACTGACCTAATTAAGCAGATCGGTTACCAGTCAGATGTGACCAATCCATATTAAATACAGTTGCTTCCTGACTGCTGATACAAAATTCATTGCTTATAAAGTTACAGAGAGTCACAGCACCTCAGCAATCGCTAACCTCGCGTTACCTTACATATAAAATAACCTCATCGAAACCCAGAGGTTTTAATTTTAGGAAAAGAGAGCACTGGTGCTGGAGTGGTACTCAACAGATAACATGAAGACAATGGAGGAAAAACCGGTGCATCCCTAATAAATAATAAAATGTATAAAATCCATTTTAAAAAAGGTGAAGACGCGATGAAAATGCCATGATGTACTAGAGTGTGAGTAACAGTATTTGATAGACAAATGGACAACACAATCTCTCACAATATACTGTGACTAATTTCACAAAACACAGCCTGTGTTTGGGTTGCAGTGCATTCTGGTCTATTAAAGCTGCAGTTTGTGAAGCCATTTGTATCATCTGACTCCTCTTAAATGATGGCTGCATGACGAACACTCATGATGAAGCCTTTCCTGTTTAACTCAGAGACATTGATGGAAACATTTGACATTTACGCTGATGTCACACTGTATGTGTGTTACAGGAAATTTGTGTGATATCAGACTCATACCTGGATGGTTTGGCTGACTGTGTTTCTTTACAGCACGGAGGCCGACAAACATCCAGTCACCATGTACGGCACAGGTCATCTACAAGGGAATATGACCCATTAAACAGCAATGAGATCATCCAGTATTGATTTTCCACTGTGCGCGTGTGTTCATGTGCAATGCTCCACACCGCAGAACTGCAGCGTTACAGTCAGAGGATCGTCTTCTCTACACGCTGTGCTTATGCGTGCATGTCTGTGTGTGTGTGTGTGTGTGTGTGTGTCTGTGTGTCTGTGTGTGTGTGTGTGTGTGTGTCCACGCTCATGTCCCACTTGGCGGTTTAGTGTGATTCTTTCAGTGAAAAGAGGAACCTCATGACTTAGGAATGCTATGAATGGCTCAGAGGCCTTAAGATGGGAAACTATGCATTGATTCCCGGAGATCATTCCCATAACATTAGCCTGCACACACTCTGACCTCTCTGTTGACTCACTCATCTGCTAAGGGACAAATAGCTCTGTATTAGGAGGTGTGTCACACAACCGGTCACACACACACACACACACACACACACACACACACACGCACACGCACACGCACACACACATGCACACGCACACGCACACACGCGCTTCTAACCAGATGTACAGATTGCACGTTTGGCCCACCCAGTGTTTTACAGACATCTCCTCAGGCCAATGTCTTGACCCAGTAAAAGCCAAGTGTGTGTGTAACACAGTAGACATAACTCACCGACAATAACATGAGATATTTCCACCCATAATGCATCTGGTTAACCTCAACTTTACCCTCCATGTCTGGTTGTGGTGTTTTTGTTCCTAAAAAGCTGCGGCCACTGCACTTTGTGTCTTGAACTACAGTCTATCGATCCCAACGCCGCGTTTTGCTCCAACATTTCCCCCCCTGCATCTTCTTTAATCTCCTCAGTGAGCTGCACATTAATTCAGTGTTCTGTAAATAATCATTGTCCTTCAATAAATTTAATTCAATCCTAATTCCTAAAGCAAACAACATGACTCTGTGTTTACACTTTCAGGACGTGGGAGATTAGATACATACAGTAACAAGCTGGGTTTATTATTTTTGGTTAAGCCCTTTTTTTTTTTTTTTTTTTTTTTTTTTTTTTTTTTTTAAATCGACACAAATTCACGGCGTGACGGACAAACAAACATTATCAGACTAGAGTTTAAGCGTGACCCAAGTCTGCACCACAAGCTCATTTTAAATCAGGTGTTAAGTGACGTCATGTGTTCACACTGGAAAGTGACAAAATGAACGGTCAGTTAGTGTGCATACTCTTGAAGATACAACTGAACTACAGACATGACGACTCCATCCCTGAAGAAGGCTATGAGATGTGACCGAAAGCTCGAGAATTTTTCACTGCTATTTAGAACAAAGTACAAAGTACGGCCAAGGCTGCTGGGGGATGTCATTAGAGCTAGAGGAAAAGTCACAGCATCACCAAGATGTTTACAATTCATCCTGAGGGGAGCATGAATGTCGTCGCCAAATTTCATGGCAATCCAGCCAATAGTTGTTGAGGCATTTCACTCAAAACCAAAAATGTGAAACTCATGGTGGCACTGAAGGACACGTCAGAGGATCACCACAGTCATGATCTATCATCTAGTATGTGAAAAGCCGACTTCTGCTTTTGAAAAGATTTTGGGGGAAGCAACAAAAGACAGGTAGGATATTAATGTGCAGAAAACAGAAAACACACTGATACAAGGAAACAACCATAAGAAAGAGCATAAACCACAGGTGTCATGAGTAAAGCACAGCTGCACAAGGGAAAAGTATCTGCTAGATACTTTCTTAATGGAGGAAGCCAAATATAAATTAGCATCAGCAGCTCCAGAGCCAGACAACAGGCTGTATTTGTCACTGTTGCTGTACTTTTTCTGGCTGTTGCAGGTGTGTGCTGAAAACACTGCAGTCTCCCGTCGCTTCCTCTGCTGGAGGAGGGAAGACACTAAGCCCCTGATCTGAAACTGCAATTTCCTCTTAGAGCCGATTTCCGCTGTTTAAACATCAAACTTTCTTTGTTTTAAACAGGTACAGTTCTTGCCCTTTGAGGCCCCTGCAGGAGTCCCCAACCACACCCCTGTGCTCCCCCAGTTTGTGAACCCCTGGTTTAGTGTGCGAGTGGTTGGCATTCTCCCTGCCAGTGTGCAACCTCAGTCCGGTCACAAGACGCTTTGCTTGAGGGCCAGAGGCCATAGTCCTCCTGGATGCCCCCCCCCCCCCACCCCCACCACTTTGATCTCCTAATGACCTGGCTCAGGCTCGGCCTCACCAGAGAGAGGGAGAGGCTGCAGGGGCGGGAGGAGCTGGGACAATAACACCCTCAGCAGTTGTTCTCGTGGCAAGATTGAAGCCTTTGTGGTTCGAGTTTGGAAATAAAAAGGAGGCTTCAAGTAGGTTATTATTAAACTCCAGCATTAGCATTTACTTTAACCTTTTACATTTTCCTGAGATGATTTATACTGTTCACTGTTCTTCAAAGAAAGTAAGATCTTGATTTGATCTCATTTTATGAAGGAGGGTCAGGAGTTCAAGGTGATAAGGTGAACTCTAAAGTCATTGAACATTGTGCCACCTGTTAACCTGATGACATCAGCAAACAACATTTCACTTTGTTCACATCCCCGTTGAAAAGAAAACCAGAAACGATGATAAAAGTAATTTTCACATTCAAGAAGCAGCCGGTCTGAGCCAGAGACAGATCACCTGTTTGTTTATCTTTTGTCTGCTGACCAAAAAAAGGACATGCCTGCAGACCTGTTTATCTCCCAACTTGGACATCCCAGCCTTCACAGCATCATGAGAGCAGACTGAGCTTTACAAACACCACAGTTATATCTCTGTGGGATCAATCTAGTGGCACCGTTCAGGAAAAGATCACAACACATGTCAGAAAGGGGGACAAAACTTTCCATATTACAACTAAAGAAAAGAAAACATGGGAGTTTTTTTGCATGAAATAGATCTTTGCCACACAACAAATAAGTGAAAAAGAAAAAGCATTTACAAGTGCTTCCATCATCCGAGCATCACCCTGTTTCATCCTCACATTCAAAAAATCAACATTGTGACAGCTGTCACAGTGGTGGAGCTGAAGGTACTGTCTGTTCTTTTGTGGTTCCCCAACGCTCAAACCAAACCTGGCACCCAGAGAGGACAGGGCATGACTAATCTTTTACATTGTGGCATTATGACAAAGTCTGTCTGTCTGTCTGTCTGTCTGTCTGAGATATGTGCTTTGTGTATATTTTGGCCTGTGGCCTGCAGCATTTCTGTCTACCTTAAAAAGCACTTTGGTTTACAGAACTCTGTTTACTTTGCATAACAGACTTCCTTTCCTCTCTCTTCCTCTCCTGTGTCATGCAGGGTGTTGAAACCAGCCACGAAGCTCTTCAAACACCTCATCACATCAGGTTTTTATCTCAGGGGGACCATATGTAAAGATCCTCCTGCTCACACACTGCTGTATATTTATTGTACAGTCTATACTGCAGCTGAGAGGGGTGAAGCTATCATTGGAGTTGTAGTTCCTTGACTAATTTCTGGTGCACTGATCTATGATTAAGCTAAATTATGTCTAATTTTGCAGCATGGGAACCCCCCCCCCCCCCTCCTCTCCTCCTCCCACCAGGAATCCCCTCCAGCACCCCCGAGACTCCCCTGGACACTGTAGCAGTTATGTGGAGTATAATCAAGGAGGTTTCTTACCTCAGTAGGTTCGGCAGAGGGATGGAGCCAGAGCCTGACCCCAGTATCCCCTTCTTCCCACTCAACAATTTCTCAACCAGGGCGACATTCCCAGTCCGGGCGGCTTCCAGCAGCTCCTGCTCCTTCCCCATCCCGGACACAAGTTTGCAACGACGGGGTGATGAAAATCCAGCAAATCTCCCATATATCCCTCCTGCCCTCCTCCCCTCCGACCCCTTCTTTCACTGTCTGGTGTGGGGAAGCATCAGAAAGGACTCCTCTCACTGCATGCTGCTGCTGCACGGTGATATAGGTGTTATTGATGCTGCAGAGCAGGTTTGACGTGCACGGCTCCCCTGGTGCCTTATAACCTCAGTCCATTCACACGCACGGCTCCGTAATCTCCTCTACTACTCGTCCGCTGACGTGCACTGCTCCCCCGGTGTAACCTCAGTGCAAACAAGCGCAGCGGGGAGGGGGAACCGGAGGCTCGGAAGCGACTCCCTGAACGTGAAGTGTGAAGTGAAGAGTAACCCCCGACTAAAAAAAAAATATAAACAAACACACAAACTCCTTCTTTGTCCGAGCGGAGCCTCAAGTCTGGGCGGAAGCTCCAGCTGGTAACAGGCGGGAGGTGAAACCCTGTCTGCCTCCACAAGAACCTCTCTAGTCCCGTTGTACTCGCCTCCTCTCTCCCCGAACCTACCGCACTGCCCGGTGCCTTATCTGTGTCGCCTGAGACTAACGTGTCGAGTTAGATGGCATTAAATAGCGGAGTTCCGGCCAGAGCTTTCAAAATAAATGCTTCAATTTCCGGATGTGTTGCAAATTGATGCTCAAAAGGGCATTAAGGCAGTGCATCAAAAAATTAAATAACAGATAGATAGATAAAAAAGTAAAAAAAAAAATTGGAAGACAATTTAGATATTTTTTCAAAATCTGTATCAAAAGCAAAGCCAGAATAACCAGCTAACAGGCACCAGGGTCAAAAACAACTGCTGAGCTGAGTGCCTGTTAACCTCACGGTTTGAGTGCAATGTTTCTATGATGGGATACCACCTGTCCCCAGATTTGTTGTGTGTTGATTTGGTTGAACACTAATCAACTTATAACTAATATGCAACATGTAGACAGACCAACACAGGACCACAACTTTGACAAATGAAGCACAAACCACTTTGTCCTTGTGCAACTGTGCTTTAAAAGTGCACCGTCTTTAGAAAATTAACAACATCAGAAACCACACCGTAAGTCTGAATTTTTTAGGCCCCCCTGGAGTTCTCTGCTTCTGGTCCTATATAACAATAAATTACACATAAATTAATGTCAGTTTATTAAGATAACTAACAAAATACGATGCTATTATGATAATGATAGCAGAAACATATATGGTTCAGATATTTGTCGTAACCAGCACTGATCTTGAATGCTCCCAGTGGGGCCTCATCAGTGCTTTTATTTTGAAAGCAAAGCCGTTCAATTTGGTGTGTGCCTCTGTGTGACTTGTCTTACAGACTTACTGTACAGGCTGGGCGTGGAGGACGATGCTTCAACACTAAGAGGAGGCGATGCCTTTGTTAGGATCTTTAAAAAGTCACACTGGTGCTCGCCAGCTGCGCCAGCTGTTGTCACTTTCAGACCACAAACTTATTCCATCAAACAGGCGCGTGCTCCACGCTCCTGCCCCACGCTGGGGGCGTGTCCCCGCCATTGCTGCAGCTGAATGGATCTGGAAACAGGTGAGATCCTAAAATAGCCCCCTCCCCCACATTGTCATGCCAGAGCAGGGTTTGTGTGGATGGAGAATGAATGCAGGAGATGGATTTTTAATGTGCTCTGATCTGTTCACTGACAGCCTGGGAAAACAGACATCCCCACCCTCGCTACTGCGCCCCCACTCTGCCGCTAAGTGCATGCTGGGACCTGCCTGATGGCCCCACTCTGCGGTGTAACTGGAATTTGTGAAGAAGTGCTGCCTTCAAGTGCTCCACCTGCAGCTGTGTCCGACTTCTCAGCTCGCGAAAAGGACTTGTGGCTGATTCAAATTATTTCTGGGCTGAAAATCGTTATTTTTATTAATTTTCTCGATTAACTCGATAAAATGTCAGAAAATTGTGAGAAAAAAAAAGCTGAAATGTTTTCTTTTGTCTGACCAACAGCCCAAAACACCAAGATTTTCAACCTACATCGATATAAAACAGAGGAAAAATGCTAATGAGAAGATGGAACCATTATTTATTGAATATGTTATTTTAACAACATGGGACCACATGATACAGTAAGTTGATATTTAATGATGGCACCATAGAGCTTTTCTGTGATGCAGTGCAAGAAAGAGAAGGAACACAGACATGTAATCATTAAGTGTGCTTCATGGCAATAAAAGATAAATTAAGCAAAAGTAAAAACAATGAAATCACTATTAAAACAGGACAGTGCAAAAAAGATCAAGAACAAATACATTATATACAGTGTTGCAAATAATAATTATTTTTCATTAACACTTGATCAGATGATTACTAATATTTTGTAAGTAAAATAATTGAATTGCTGATTGATTATCAGAAGTGGTTCAGGACTGTTATGGTGCTCTGTACCTGGTGATGTCTCAGTGGAAGCAGCAGAGACCCACTCACTGCTGGATGCAGATACAGCTCTCAGCACTGAGCCAACACACAATCTTTCATCACATTTCCCACAATCCAACTGTACATGGTGCTGGCATACTCTCTCCCACACACACACACACACACACCACACCACAGTATATAAATGAATGTGTACATGCTTTGCTTACATAAACGGCCCTGCACTGTGGCACCGCCATCATCACAGACACATTAAGCTCGGTATGTAAATACATCCCAATATTAACAGCAGCAGAGCACAACTTTTCTCTCTCTCTCTCTCTCTCACTCACACACACACACACACACACACACACAAACACTTAATGCCCTTCTCTGACTCACTGCACTACTCCAGCCGTAAAATGTCATGACCATTTATGTGCACAAAGTCCAAACTCTCTCCTGCAGTGGTTCAGTGGAGCCCATTAGAGCTCACAAAGAGGCTGCACTTCTATTCAGTCTCTAATCTGCACTTAAAATGCAGGAAAAACTTCAACATTGCGTCTTATTCATTAAGAAAAGCTGCATAAAATGTTTTTAACAAGACATATGGGAGGTTTTCACTTAAATAATCTGTTCTTGCTTGAGCTTTTACACTTGTGGGAACTTAAACGTTGCATTTTTAGCAAATTTGAAACAAGAAACAAATATAAATATCTGGAAAAATCATGAAAATCCCGACTTTTACATATTTAAGTTCATTTTCAAAAGATATGAGGTGGTGAGACAAGCACTATTTTCATCCTTGTGGTTAAAGGGAATAGATGTCAGTCACTTAAAGTGCACATGAAAATCTCAGTGTTTACCCAAAATCTTGCCACTAGGGACTTCCTGTCAAGCTATAAAAATCAGCAGAGTGCCTGTTTATTCTCGACTGGGTCTCCAACTTTACCTTATGTTTTCATCTGTTGTGTATACCATGTTTTGGAGTGATGTCTACCCATGTAAACCTGGAAAGGTAAAAAGATCTACCTGCTGTCGTGGACCAACAAAAACCAAGGAATTCTCTAAAAATGTTAAGATTTTATAATCTTTTTCTATAAAAACTAGAATTACCGCATCGTGATTGTATGCCACCGCCATTCAGACAAGGGTCAGGTTACATCCTTTTCTATCCAGGTAGGTCGGTTTCTGATTGGTCGATTTGTAGCCTTATTCAACACCAAAGTATTGACCTTCAATACCCAGCACTATTCAGGACGTTATGTTTGATAAAGAGGAAAAAAGAAACACGATAATCTTAAACATTTAAATTGGATACTCTTTTATTTTCATCAGTATTTCAGCAGCTTTGACAAAATACAACTTATTACTTCTTGTGTCTTTTTCTTCCTCCATAGGTTTTCAGAGGGGAGGAGGGCTGTGATGACTGGAGGAAAAACAAAGGTGAAAAAAAAAAAAGTTTTTTTCCCTCTCCACCAAACAAAAGTCTTCACATACAATCGTGTTAAAATCCTCCAACGTTTCAAGTCTTAATACCACGTTTGTGCAGAGAACTAGTTGTGTTTCATGTCATTTATAGGAACCAGAACAACTTTTTAAAGAGAACTGGGCTGGACTACAGCACCGGTTATGAGTGGCATATGTAGACTGACGGATGCACCCGATCCACTGTTACTGTCAAGTGTGAGCAGAGACTTCAGACTGTCCTTTTATTTATTTTAGTCTGTTGTGCTGTGCCAAAGCGTGTGCTGTTAAAAAAAGTCATCTTTAACATTTACTCAGGGATTTCCCCCTGAACTCGTCACATAGGCGTGAAGCATGAACAGCAGCAGATATGGTCAACGCTTGTCTGTGAAAAAAATTACACATGAAATATTAGAAATGAACATGAAGACACACACACACACACACACACACACATGTAGTGAGGCAGCTTCAACGTGCCTTTATATCCTCCCCGTTTTTTTTTTTTGTTTTTTTTGAGGGGAGGACACGAGTTACTTGCTCTCTCCACTCGTCGCCTCAACTCTTGTTCTCTCACAGATCTGTTTTATTTACAGTGCCTCCGTTTTAAAAGTGCTGCACATGTTAAGTAGCTATTTACATATAGAAAAATAGGAGGGATGGGGGGAACCTACTAGTGTGGGCCATTTTGCTGACAAAGCTGTGGAACTGACATAGAAATTCATCCCCTACTTGTAATGAAATGCTTGTTCTGGCTGAGACACACACACACACACACACACACACACACACACACACACACACACACACACACACACACACATTCAGTTGAAACACTGCATAACCATTCAAAGTTCTGTAGAAAATAGTTACGTGTTCACATTCTTATACAATATACACTGTACACACTCCGAGGACGAGTGAGAGTATGATTTGTCTCGTCCCCTCCGAATATGAAAGCAGTAATTACAAGTTTAAATTTAACGCAGTGCAAAATAAGTCTTTTTTTTTTGAGACATTCTTCTGAAGAGACGACATTCAGTTTTCCTTCATACCTACAGGTGTGAATGAAGCTCATCTAAGATTAACTGTGGTGTGTTTTGTTTTTTTTTGTTTTTTGTTTTAACTTACACAACAGAAGTGTGGGAGGGGTTTTCTGTAGGCACAACCACGGATATGGATCCTCATCCTCTTTCTTTCTTTCTTTCTTTCTTTCATACACATGCACACACGCAAACAGACACACACACACGACCAACACACCACACACACATCATATCCTCCACACACACACACACACACACACACACACACACACACACACACACACCAATTTAATGTGATTCCACCCTTTTCAAACCTCCACAGTCTAAAGTGGAGAACATAAAACAGACAACAAGCGTGTAAAATCGTGTGTTTTTGAGTCTTTGCACAGACTCTGCATTGCTTTATGAAGGAATTATTTTGAAGTCTAAAGTCACATGGTGGCTCAGTCAGCAAATAAGCGCGTAAAGGGAGCCACTGTAGTAAGAAATCCCTCTTTTTCTTTACTTGTTGATGTTGCCTTGAATTATTTTAATGACCCTCGCTCGCTGCTGCCCATCAGTGTCGCTCCTTATCGCTGCAGACCAGCGGGGGCTGAACGAGTGGCTGGGTGTGAGGAGAGAGCCGGGCCTAGCTGGTGTTGACTTTGAGGTTCTTCATGCGGTGAAGCAGCGAGTCCTTCTCCATCTGAGCCTCAGCCAGCGCCATCTTGGCTCGGGACAGCTCCACCTTCAAACATTCGTTCTCCTCTATCAGCATCTGGGAACAATGAAGAAGGGCCACAGCGAGGAGTCAGGGCGTTTCTGCTTGTGTTAGCGGCATGGAAACATTATACATAAATAAAAGATCCATCCCACCTGCCGCCACACCTAACTGTGATGTCGAGCTGTACTGACACACCCTGAAGTACACTTCTTCATCACCTGAGCAAAGATTTCCCACCACATCTCACGGCCTATACAAACAGTTGGAGTTTGACCAGCTACATGACAACTGAGAGAAATCCACTCACTGATGAAGCCAATGAGATTTGGCTGAAAGCTCCAGAAAACTTCCAGAAAGCAGGCCTGGAGCTAAAGGTTAATAACATATCTTTAAGCTCACAAGACAACACTGGCTGTTTGTTCAAACAATTAAGTTTAAGTCTCCATGTCCAGTGACCCCTTGTGTTTATATAAGATGGTTAAAATAACAATTATTTCATTATTGATTGATTGATCTTACTATTATTTTCTTGATAAATCTATGAAATGATGAAAAGTAGTGGGAAAAAAACCCAGAGTGATGTTTTAAATTAGTTTTTTTGTTGATTGTTTATCTGGGTTCAGTCCAAAACCTGCAGATATCCATTGATCAGATATCAGTGTATATTTATAACGTTGTCATGACGAAGGAAAAGCAGCAAATAATGACATTTTTGTGGCTGGAACCAGAGAATATTTGAGCTTGAATAATGAGTGAAATGATTGTTACATCGATCAAATAGTTGAGACACATCAAAATAGTTCAATTTTCTGTCCAATAATCAACTAATTGTTTCAGCATTAGTGTGCATAAAAAGTACATGAGGTTAGTGTTCACTTCCTGTGTCCTACAAACTGTCAAACGTTAGTGTCTTTTAATCACAACAGCAATCTTTCTAACCAAACCAAACCTTTACTGAAGATCAAAAAATCGATCATATGAATAATCTTAAAAGGCACTGACAATGTTGTCCTTAGTGTCAGATTAGAAAACGCTCCTGTGGGTTTCTGTATTACGATTTTGTTTGTAGGTCTTGCTGATCTTAAACATCATTATGTAACTGTTCACTGTCAGTGTTCCATATGAAAATGTAATGCGTGTATTTTGCATAAATTGATGAATATCCCTCCCACTGTAAATGAAATGAAAGCCAAAAAAGAAACTGGAATAGCTTGGCAAAACCAAAATTTGGCAAAACCATCTTTTTATATCAGCCTCCAGAATGATCACTCACACAAAAGCGACTTTCTTGTTATTTTTGTAGGAGGAAAAGAAAAGAAAAGAGCAGGAGCAAAGATTTGTGCGGCTACATGCATTTCACTAAAATCTTCGCCTTTGTGATTGTTTACAGATGTAGTGGGTGACTGTTTGTGCCTTTTACTCCCTTATACCCACACAGGATGACTTCATTGTGCATCTCACCTTTTCGCTGGTAGATGGAGGAGGGCTGGTGGGCAGGGCTTGGGTCTGCGTAGCCTTTGGTATACCGCAGACGCTGCCCACAGCCTCAGGGACCGTACTCAGGGAGCTGTCAATCGACGCGCCCTCATTCCTGGGTTTGGCCTCTGCTGCTCCATCCACTGAGAGGAGGAAGAGACAACAGAAGGGAAATTGGAGGTGTGGATATACCGAGCGTGGACTTAACAGCACATGTTAAAAGGACATGTTATATAACTGCCGTGAATCAGCGCTTAAGTGGAGGTGGAAATATCTGGCAGATGAGAAGGTGCATGTGTGTGTTCGTCACCTCCTATAGAGAAAGACCCGTCGTCTCTTCTGTGTATGATGAGACTGTCCACATGTAAGGTGATCGGCGAGGACTCCGAGTCGGAGGGATTGTCTCGTGGGCCGTCATCCTGAAAGATATGAAGCAAATGTTGAGTGCAGGAGTTTAAGTTTTGATGTGTGTGAAGAGAGGCCTGAGAGAGAGAAATTATCCACATCCAGGTTTCCACATCAGTTCCACAGCAAATCTACTCACCCATGAAGGAACCCAAGAGAGAGGGCAGAGAGGCCTTTCTATGTCATTAAACATTCAGTTCAAATCCTAATTCCAATTAGGCCATGGTTCAAAATATTTAACTTGGTTATAGAAGCTGCTGCACTGTATGGCAGTGAGTTATGAGGTCTATTACTGCGACATGACTAGAAAAAAAAATAGGACAAATATCCGGCTGAAATGCCACAGGTACCGTTCTGCAACAACAACCTTCGCATAGAAGAAAAACTCCCCAGGAGCTGAAATGACAGAGCTGCACATGACTGAAGCATCATAGATCCTCACCTTTAGGTTTACATGTGTGTTCCTGATGCTGATCTCCATGGGCAACACCTGCGGCGCAGAGTCGTCCTCCAGAAAGTGAGCCAGGTTGCGCAGCGTGGACATCAGGAAGCTTGCTTGGTATCCGTGGAGACGCAGCTGTAGGAAGCCGTTGCGTTCGGCCAGCGGGGAGTGAGCGGCGGCGCAGGGCCCGCTCTCCAGGCGAGCCCGCACCTCCGGACTGTGGAAGCCCTTGAGGGACGCGGAGCTGATCTCACCACCAGCTGTGAAGGAAGATACGGAGGCTGCTGTTAGCATTAGCTTTAGCGCCAGTGTCATATCCGTGGAGTTCATGTAGAGATGATTCAGCTGAAGGACATTTACACCTGACGTTAAAACACACCCAGCATGAGGGAGGATTACTCCATCAATTTATCGTTTTGGACAATTTACATACTTTGAATCTGACAGTAAACATCTTTCTTGAACAAATCCACATTCAGTCTTTTTGATTTAGAATCTGCTCATTGGCTGTAACGATATAAAACAGTTGTTCTGATCCTGTGTCCTTGTGTGAACTGTTCAGTTATCTATTATCTATCATTGAAGTTCAGAAATGGCAAAAAAAAAAGTTGTTTAGAAAAAGTGTCAGTAACTGCAAATAAAAATGACTATTTCATTCTTTCATTCTTTTCTCAGCAGTGACATATGTTTGACTCATCTGCACTTGAGAACATGACCATAAATGTATCTGAACAAATGTGATTTAAGGTGATTATGGCGCTGATCATATAAAACTGCAGTTCACTAATGTTAGTGAGAAAGAGACACTTGAAGAAGAGTGTGGATGAGGTCCTCTCCTCCACCTGTTCAACAGTTAGCCTCATGAGCTAACAGCGAGGGAGGTATGAGTCCTCTACAGCTCCATACTTGTGGAGCCACACACACCTTTGTGTGTTCAAATCAAATGTGAGTGGTATGATCAAATTTCACCTCAAAATACGTCTCATTACAGAAGCTCGAACTGCCGCCTCACTGTGATATTAAATTGATACTGTAATCACCCAGAAAGATGCCTTAGAATATGCCAAAATACAAATATCTTATAGGTCCTAATCAGGACATACTGAGGGAATTTACTGCTTGGTTTGATGTAAATCTGCTCAGTCTAAAAACAGGGGTGCATGTTAAGGCCAGGTTTAAACAAGGGTGAAGGAATAGGTGGGATGAGGAAGTAGAGAGAGAAAGCAGAATATCAGAAAGGAGAGTGGGAGACAGAAGTTGGAAACCAAGAAAAAGCGATGTAAGCTGGAAGGAAGGAGATTGAGATTTTGTACAATCCCACGGGTTCTTCGCTGCAGTGAAGTTTAATTATTTCCGAGAACTAGGGATTAGAGGGTTTGGAGGAAACCCCCACCTAAGAATTGAGGATTCAATGTGAAGATTTAGCCACTGAATCATTTTTTTCTTCCTTTTATGAATTAGACACTCCAAAGAAATAAGCTCTGAGGTGCTAGAAATTGTGAAAGGCATGACAATGGAAGAAGTGTTTCACCCCTGAATGACCTGAATTTGACTCAGTAGCAGTCAATGTGATGACAGGATCCCTGATTATTAAGAAAAGAGGCAGAAAAGGTAGAAAGTGAGGAGAGAGAGAAAGAATACAAATATGAAGTAATGAAAGTCAAGGCTGAGAGACATTAAACCCAAGAGGAAGGTAATTAAAACCCTCCTTTCACACAATCTTTACCAGTTTATACACACATAGTAATTCAGCTGGCAAGCACACAGTTACAGGCACAAGGTTTTAACAGATGAGAGACAACGCGAGCTGTGATAAAAACACACAAGGCATGACAATGGCCACTTAAAGAAAAAAAAATCTTTTCAATATGACTGAGAAGTGCGTCACATCCCTTTAATATGCTCTCTGAAGGAAAGTCAGGAGAGGGTTAATAACACAGAGCAAAAACATCCACGAAGAGACACACATACACACACAATCCTGTCAGCTGTTCTCAGATAATATGACATATTCTCTCTCAATCCTGGCCAGCTGGGGTTGAGGCAAATGTAGAGAGGAAAAATAAAACTAGAGATGGGAGTGGGTGAGGTGAGAGAAAGAAAAAGAGAAAGAGAAAGAGAGGAAGGGAGCCAGCAGCCAAGGACTGAGTGACTGTGATAAGACAAGGAGGAGAGAGAAAGATGGCCTAGAGAGGGAGCGAGATGAAGGGAAGGAAAGGTGGAGAGGGAGGGGGTTAAATGACAGAGGATTAGCAGGAAGATGGAGTAGGAGCTGGAGGGAAGAGTGAGGGGTAAAGGTGGAGGAAACGAGAAAGAAGAAAGGGTAGAAGAGGAGGAGGGATTGCTCTTGTGAGATAGGAGGAGGAGGAGGAGCGGTGACAAGGGGTAAAGCTGGCGTTTCTCTCATTGCCTGAATCACTGGCCTGAAACTGCAAAGTCTGCTGCAGTGGAGAGATGAAGACGGTGGGGAGGAAGAGGGGGAGACAGAGGGAGGGCAAATTAGGGCCGAGAAGAGAATAGGAAGATTAGGGGTTAAAATAGTCTGCACAAATAGTTGCAGTTAATTTGGATCTGGCTCACACACACACACACACACACACACACACACGTAAAGGTTCCGGGCCTAATGTTGCAAATAATGGGACCACTTATTCCATTACTGTCAAATTTACCCCCTCTTAAGTGCCATACACACACGCTGAGAGAAAGAGATCTCAGTGTCACATAAACACCCGCTGCTGTTAAAGATGAGACAAACACGCGCGCGCCATGCGATCACTTGCAATTGCAACACACTGAATCTATATGTGCATCTGCAGTGCATGCCGTCGAGCAAAGGTCCTGAGTCTGGGAATGAGATTTGACAGAAGACAAACTAGCGGAGAAAAAACACGCACGCACACACACACGCACACGCACACACACACACGTGCGCGCGCACGCACGCACACGCTCAAGGTGGAAACAGACACGCTGAGCCAAGCATGCATGTGAAGTTACAGATGGTGAATTAACACACAGCAGTTACCTTGGCTGCTTTGAGCAGGTATTGGTACTGAACACACCATACCTGTGGGGAGTTATGGCAAGGTAAATAAAAAGGGGGAGGGGGGTGGCTGTGTTAGTGTGCATATGTGTATATGTGTGTGTGAGCGTGTGTGTACAAAAGGAATAATAGTTAACCTATTCTTGGACATTAGTGGATGAAGACTGGGGATGCAACCAACAGCTATTTTCATTATCTCAATTAATCGATGAATCATTTGGTCTGTAAAACATCAGAAAGCAATGAAAACTCAAATATTCATTATTTCATTTAAGAACCTGAAACCATCAAATCGTTGGCATTTCGCACGAGAAACAATTTGATTGTCAGAATAGTTGAAAATTAGTTTTCAGTTGCAGCTCTGATTCAGACCAAATGTATTTTTCCTCTCAGTGTGTTACATGTTTTCTGTTGGCGTCTACTGTGGGTTAACAGGGATATCCTCATAGTGCTTGCTGGTCATCTGTCTTGTGTTAATGTTAAATGTGAACAAGCAAAATACAGTGACAGGAGGGGTCAGTTATGGAGCATCCTGGTGGTTCAAAGAACCTCCTCTCTTCCTCTATAACATGTCCTTCCTCTCTCTTTCCTCATGTTTCCTCTCACTCTCTACTGTCAAAAAAACAGATCAACTAAAAATAAACTAAAAAAGAAAAGAAGTTGGTTATGTGGCTGAATTTATTCTAACTCCACAAACACACAGAGTGCAGTTATCCCCTGCTGATCCTTCTTGTTTGGTAGCTGGTCCCTTCACTTTCATGTTTGCCATTAGTTTGATCCTAAGAAACAGGCTGCAGCCTACTTCTACAAGTTTATTTTGGCTGGTTTGTTTTTATGTATTCAACAAACTAAAAAATTAAAATATGACCAGCTTGTTCCTAGCTCCAGTATTTTGTCTGTTTATGATTAGAGAAATACTGAGACATACTGTATATGAGCAGCTCTTCTCTCATTCCATCATCTATTATTGCAAGACACTCTTGGTTTTCTGCCTGTTTTCTATTTTAGGTTTTGTGTGTTTGCCATAATTAAAGTACCTTTTCAAATCAGTGGTAATGATTGTTTGATGCTACAATGCTACACACAGCACACAATATAAAAACACTAATTGAAAATGTGAGTCCTTGCAGCCGTGCAAAAAAACTCAACTGTATATTTAAGATTTTAAAACGGTACAGCACATCAGAGCCAAAATAAAAAGCTCCATATTTCATGCTCGGTCACAGAGAACGTGTGCATGAAGACGACTTTTTACCCAGGCTGCGGTTGCTGAGGTACTGTCTGAGGCTGACGTTGCCCAGCTGGCTGGGTGTGACCTGGCCCACCTCCAGACCCACGGCTGTGCTCTCGCCCACCACCTCCATGCCCACACACACCGACTGCACCTTCAGCACCAGCACCGACACCTGGGCGACACACACACAGAAACAAGCAGGAAAATTATAGTCAACATAATCACCAATTTACACATTCTACATAATGTATGTCAGTCAAGTATAGCTATTTATTAGGTTATCATCACAGTATGTGAGATGAAAGTGGTTTGTTTGTGCTTTTGCAGACTTTTGGAGGGTTGTCATGTCTTACTAGATCTTTGGTGGGCTCGTCGATGCTCTGGGACGTTGCGCTGACAGTGTCGGGGGACACGCCTCCCTCCTGCTCCTGACCAGTCGCAGCCTCGGTGGCACTCTCTGTGGCGCTCTGTTCACTGATGGCATCCTTGAAGCCTGAGATGGACACGTCATCTATGCATGAAGACATAAAAAATGATGATTTACAAACAAGTACACAGATTTAATATTGCCTTTGTCTTGCTTTGTCAAAACATGCTGGGACACTACTATCACAATGCTGCCACCTTCTGGTCAAAACAGCTGCCTGCAAGTACAGTAATGATCATTTCTTGTTTCTAATGGGGAGACACTTCATCATTGAACCCTTGCTAAATAAAGATTTGTGTGTGTGTGTGTGTGTGTGTGTGTGTGTGTGTGTGTGTGTGTGTGTCTGTTCCACCTCTCTCCAGCAGGCTGTACGTGTCTCCATCCTCCATCAGGTAGCTGTCAATGGAGATGTTGTCAAGCGACTGCAGGGACGGGCTCTTCTTCATGTTCTTATAGGACACTGAGAAACTGGACTGGGAGCGATCCCGCATCAAACGACCGCTACAACACACACACACACACACACACACACACACACACACACACACACACACACACACAAGCATGGAGTCAAAACAGGAATATGTGTGAGCTAGAAGAAGTAGCATAAGCGAAAATAATTTATGTATCATTTAAAGTCTTAGATATCTGCCTGGGAAAAACTGTCCATGCATGTTACTGATTTTAAATGTCTGATATTGGGCAAATTGACTGAAACAGACAATGATTAATTTACAGAGATGAGAAAAGAATAAGATAAAAACAGGTCCTCTACTTTTATTTCACCACATCTGACAGGACTTTTGTTCTTATTTTGACACTGAGCCAAGACCACGGCGCTCTCACAGAGCTGACTCAACAAGTCATGAATTAAATATCGCGTCATTCCTTTGTGTGGGGTTGTTTAAGGTCACGTAAGAACCAAATGTGCTATCCTCCCAAGCGGCAGACACGATCTAAAGAAAAATTACGACGGACAAAATCAAAGTGGCTCCCAAAAGACTGAGAACACAAGGCTGGAAAAAAGAAACTGACGATGCACAAAGAGTTTCCAGTTTCATCTCTTCCTTCACCACGACTCATCAGGTAGACACCAAACACAGAAAAAAACGACTCATTTAATACATACAGATAGAACACAGACACATACCAGCCTGTCATGCTCACATGCAAATGCATGCCCACAGGGGATTCACATTCACAGACACTTGTTGTTGATTTGTATTCATCCAGGGATCACAAGAACAAGGACACACATACACATACAGAACATATGCACCCGTACACACAGTCATTAGTACAGCTAGTCACAGATCCAGTGCCTTACATGTTGGACATGGAATAAAGGGAGGTGGATCTGCTGGAGTTTGAGGAGCTGAGGAGATCAGAAACCACAGACAAACTTCCTTTCCTTGGTAGAGAGAAAACACACACACACACCTCGCATGGATCAAAGCAACGGTCAAGAAGCAGAAAAGGAGGTGAGTGAGTCAAGAAATGACAAAATATATAGTGCTGACAGACAGTAGATGAGAAAATACACAGAAAGACATGGCAGCTAGAGAGCAGCCGGACACACATGATGTGAGAAGACTGAACACTCATACTGACAAACACTCTCATGAAGGGGTTCGACACACAGCGCTTGTGTTCAGAAAGACAGATTAACAGAGAAGAGAGACTCATTCATTAGGTGGTGATCATGTAGCTTAACCACAGTGAGTCTGAGGGGGAATACTGAAAAATATAAAAACTGTAACACACAATTACATGGATGAGATATGAGCTTTTAAAGGGCTCCAAGTAATAATTATTTTAATCATTGATCTGTTTTTTTCAAAGAACCCAATTAATCGTTGACTCTATAACATGTCCGAAAGAGTGAAAAATGTCAGGTGGGGTTGAAACGATCAATTGATTAATTCATTTCTCAATCAACAGAAAATTAAACAGCAACAATCTTTAATAGTTCTGTCCCTTACTAGAGCAAAAACATAATATATTTGCAGATTCCAGCTTCCTAAAGAAGAGGATTTGCTGCTTTTATTTGTTTTATATCAGTGTAAATTTAGTATCTTTGGGTTCAACGATTTAAAACATCATCTCGGGCTCTAAGAACTTGTCATGGGCATTTTCTTATTTTTTACAATGAATCGATTTATCCAAAAACATGACGACGTTGCAATTGTGAAGCCAAATACAGCAAATATTTAGCATTTTGCCTTGGTAAATGGTTTATGTCAAGCTACTAATTCATTCATTATTTAAAGTAGAAAATAAATCAGCCTGACAGGTGATCACTAACCCTTTTCTTGAAGGTAAAGATTCAACTATTTTGATAGTGTGACTAATGTAAAATGTGTTTATGATACTTGTAACAACTTCATTTAGTAAGGTCTCTTAAGTGATTGAGTGTAACAGTAACAGTGATCAATGATCAATCCAGTACAGGACTTTACTCAGTGGTCAGGACACTGTGGTGTAAACTGATGCATGTTTGCGTGACAAACTGAATACCTGGATATCGACTGAGGCATCTTAGCAGCTGCAGCCTTGTCTTTGTCGCTCCAGTCTTTGCTGCTGAGCGGGTCAGACAGAGCGTCACTTGTCTGGGTTTTAGAGTCTGGTCCAGCTCCCATCCCCTCACCCAGAGCCAACCCATCCAACTGCGCCTCGCCCCCTTCTTCTGAGCTCCACCTCCCAGGGTTCTTAGCTGAAGTCCTCTCTTCCAGGAGCGCTTTGTGATTTAAGTCAGGACGTGCAGCTGAGGTGGAGGTGGGGACGAGGGGGGCGGGACCCTGCGTTGTTCCACTCTCTGAGCCTTCACCACATAACAGCTGGTCTACAGTGCATGACCCTTTAGCTGCTCCTCCTCCTTCAGACCCAGACCCTTCATTACCCTTATCCCCCTTCTCTGTCCCCTCTCCTGCATCGCTCCCAGGCTCCAGAGTTCCTCGGCTCTCTGAGGGTGAAAGCTCGGACACCAGAGGAGATCCTGAACCGTCAGGCTGGGGTACGGGCTTCAGCAGCAGGGACACTTCAGCACTTTTCAGCAGCAGGCCCAGGCAGACGGTAAAGGGCTGGTGATCTGCAGGACACTGGAAAAGATCCTTCCGTTCCCTTTTGGAGCCCATCTCCTCCAGGTCCTGCTGCAGTGTCTGCTGCAGGGCTTTGATGCTGCGCTGAAGATGCATCAGAAACACATACTGCCGGTGGCTCACCTGCACACACACACACACACACACACACACACACACACACACACACACACACACACACACACACACCAAAGTGACTTTCTAATAACATAATGAGGAATCTGTGGTGAATCAAGCTTCTTAATTAACATTAACAGAATAATGTGAGAATAAACTGTGGCAGTGTGTACAGTTGTGGTTCCAGTGATCCCAGCATTAAATTCATTTTGGTTTAGCAGGCTCTAATGTTTTACATATTGGAGGTCTGAATATTGAAGGAAAAAAATCAACAGTTTGTTGGTGCTGAGCTGCAAAAACACAGTCAACTTGTGATCATTGGGTTTTCTTCCTCCAACAAACAATCTTTGGCTGAGTGTAAACACCAGAGAGCACATTAACTAGACAACAGATACTTTATATAATCATTTTGGCCTTTGAGAAAATTAATTACAGCAAATAATGTTTACAACCTTCATTTGCAGGCATTGCCATCTGAACCTTGGAGAGTGCTCGCTAGAAATGAGAAGCCTGCTGCGTGAAAGTTTTGTACATTGCTCTTCGCTAATAAAAAATAAAAACAGCAAGAAAGGAAGTAGTGAATATGAGATCAGCTTAGCAAATGTGGGTATTTTAGCGGCCTGCAACTGCACCCAAAACATGCATCGCTCATTTAATCAAAAGTCTGATATCTGGTAAATGTAAAATCACACACAAAAAAATAAAAAGAGAGATGTTAAACCATTATCCCACAGGCCCTTATTTTGTAACCCAGAACTTATAAAGATTAACGTCCATGTAAAGTTCCTTCATCTATTCTGCATGTCTGAAAAAAAATGTAGGAATCAAAAACATACCTGAGCACTTAAATGCTTCTGCACATGCACCAACATATGCACATCTGCATTTTCACTTGATGGTGACGAAGAGGAGGAAGGCAGACTGTCCAATGAGAGGGGTTTATGGAGTCCGTTACTGGGTGGAAGCGTAGCATCACCGCTGTGAGATGATGTTGGTGTACCATCAGTGCTGTAATACTCCTTTAGCAAGCGTTTCCTCTGTATGCGTGCAACAGCCTCTCCTGATGTACTTCTGGACAGACCTGATCCAGCAGCGCCTCTCAGCTTCTCCTGATGCTGGACGACCTTCGCTGGCTGACACGCCCACACAGTGAGAGGGAAGGAGTCCACGAAGGGCTGCGGCCGCCCTTTGCCTCCACGGGTGCCTTCGTAGTCCACCCAGAACTGGGCGAAGTGCAGCGCCCAGAAGTCTGTGGCAGCCGGCATCTTGAGGGCGTTAGTGCCCATCGTCGGCACCACCAGGCCCCGGTAGATGTCGTGGAGCCTGGTGTCTTGTTCATGAGCATGACGCTGGAAGACAGGGTGGAGGAGGGGTAAGGAAGAGGAGGAGCGAGGGAATGAGGAGAAAGATGAAGAGAAGAAGGGCTCCTCTTCGAAGGCCTGCAGCAGGGCCTCAAGGTGCGAGCGGGTGCAGTTGGCAGGGTGCCGGGTGTTAGTGGCCACCATTTCTGAAGTCTGTACTGAGATGGAGCGAGGCAGATCCGGAGGGCAGGAGGCCTCCCGATCAGTCGGAATCACCAGCTGATGGAGAGTAGGAACCAAGACATAAAAAGAATAAATACCAGAAAATACATTCCACACATTAAACCTGAAGAAAGGTCGTGTGTCTGCGATCCTCTTTACCTTGAGCATGAGGCCATCGACCTTGATGTCAACATGCTCGTCAGGTTTCTGGGAGTCATTGAGCTTGTAGATTTCCATGAACTGCTCCAGACTCTGCCTGAGGTCAAGGGTGAAAAGGTTGATCCACACCAGGCTGCGAGGATCCAGGACCAGCTGCAGGGCGTTCAGCTGGGCGTAGAGGTTGGGACACGGGACTGAAGGAGCAGGAGCAAAGGGGGGAAAGGTGGAAGAAATATGGCATTACTTATTCTTTCGACATAGAGAGGGGGGAAGAATGACACATTAAAGAAATCACAGAGAAGAATAATGCCTTTTACTGCTTTCTCTGCAATGTTGTATGCATTTTAAATTAGCAAAAAAAATTACTGTCTTGACAGATTCATTAGTCAGAAAACAAAACCTTTAAATGTTCGTATAATGTTTCCTAACGGAGTGAATCTCTGGGAAATCCATAATATGAATTAATTGGGTGATCCCTCATTCAGAGCACTGGGTGTAATTCAGAAAATCAATGACCTCTCAGCCACACAGCACTCATTGACTTCCCCACAGCTGAATGAATGGGCTCAATGGATCCAAAAGGGGTGTAAGACAAAGAAAGTCACAGCCAAAACAGTGGGCAGTATAGAAAAGCAGCTACTTACTCAGCTCATGACCCACTAATAAGGATTAATGTTTCTAAAATGAGATACTGCTTTCTTGATTTTATAGTAGCTAGAGTTTTAAAACACAGAAGTCATACTGGGATAGTCTTTTCCATCAGGGAAGTAGTACTCTGTGAACTCGACGTGGATGGCTGGCATCTCTGGGGGAAGGTACAAGGACTTCTTATTACAGGAGATCATGGTTTTGGGGCTGGAGCGACGCTGGTCTGCCGTTGACACCTTCAACGCAAGAAAAGGACACAAACATTCACTCAAAGTCAGTAAAGGAGATAAATTAGTCTCAGAGATTGTATATATGAAGCTTTGTCGGACAGTGTATGTCTGTATTGACCTGGTAGATGCTGAAGTCAGCCATCCGGAGAACAAAGGAGCTGGACATGAGCTGGGTCTTGGGAGTCTGAGGGGGAGTTGGGCTGAAGGAACTGCTGGAGGTGTTTATCTTACCTGAAGAGAAAGAAAGTAATGTAAGGGTAAAGAGAGAGAGGTAAAAATGAAAAAAGAACAACAAAGAAGAAGAAAAAACACAGTGACCACTCAGTTCTCCAATGGGAAACCTCTGTGCCTTGAAAAAGGTGTGTATCACCGCACCCAGCTGTGCGCACACACACCGCGGTACCTGGCTCTAGACACCAGCAGCACTGGGCTGGAGGCTGTGTGTGTGGGCTCCACTCTAGGAGTCCTCCATCTGCCATCTCCCTAAGCCCTACTCCTCCTTCTGTTCTCTCCTGACTTCCTAGAGGCCCATACACATCGTCCCTAAGGGACACTGGAGGACAGAAAACCCACAGGGATGGAGTAAATGCTAGTGTGGTGCTGCATTTGTGCCAGGAGACACAACAAAAACACACACACACACGCAGAAAAACTTGAGATATAGCTAATCATGTTTATTGTATGTCCAAGTGTGTTTGTTTACCATGCTGCGGGGAGCCATGTGCAGGAGCCGGGCCTTGCTGGTCTCGAACTGCACTCTTTAGCATCTCCACGTTGGACTTGAACTCATCAAGAAGGTTCCGCGCCCAGCCCTCCCTGGTCTTGGTGGCTTCGCTGTAGTGCATCCAGTGGGCACAACTTTCACCTGGGGACGTTGGAGAGCAGGAAAATGGGTACAGGTAATTGGACATCCATGGGAGTGGTTTGAGATATGACCGAGGATACAGACACAAAGGTTGAAAATAAGACTACTTTGTCATTGAAGTGAGGCGTGGGAAAAATAATCTTCATTTCCTTGAAGCTTGCATAGTGAAGCCAACTTTTAAAACTGTTGGATGTGACACAACAGCAATGAAAAGAGATGCAGCAACGATTGGATGGTAGCAAATAGGTTGCTGTGAATTCATGGTGAGGTGGTATTGGCCCTAATTGATGGATTCATACCTGCTCTGTGGAAAGGGTAGTAATCCAGAGTGATGGAGCTGAAGGAAAGCTGCATGGCTCCACCTGTTATCCTCTTGTTGATCACTGCACAGTGGAGGGAAAGATAGAAAAGAGTCAAGTCAGAGCTTTTTTAGTGAAATGTTTCCAAAAATAAATCCCTGTGGTTTAAAGAAAGGCAAAGAAATGTGAATAAAAACAAAAACAGACACTGAGATCTGAGCTTTAGCAGGTGTGCGCTTGTGAAGAATCAACAAAAACATCTCTCTGCCCATGGAGTTAGAGGTTCTGCCCTTCTAAGAGTATTCTGTGTGCCTGACGGTGTCATGTTATGTATATGCACGTGAATAAATGTACTCTGCGATGTACAGCACATGTAAATCTGTGTCTGTTGTACCTTTGTCCTTAGCGTGAATGTCGTCACAGATGTGCAGATCCAGATGTGTGATCTGCAGGTGGTGGGACGTCTCGCATACATCGTAGGCGCTGAACAGCTTGGCCATCGTTGCACCCTGGTCAGCGGCTGTGGTCGCCTGCTGGGTGCGCACCTGCTGAGCTGTGGGTGGCGCTGACGACACCTGGTGAACACAGATGCACAGGCATGAAAAAGTGCAGAGACTATAATTAGTTGATGTTTTAGTATTGCTGATGCGCAGAATGGCTGTCTTGTGTTTTTCATGTGATTTTCAAGTGATGGGTTAGTGTTGTTTTTTTTATTTCATTTCTATTTGTTGGCTTACACACAGCTTGTCAAAGAAGCTGTCAGGTGCAAACGAACAGCTGCCTCATGCAGTACTGAATCCATCCAGCAGGTGGTGTGTGAGACCAAATTACTGAAAACACACTGAGTGCTGCACAGGAAGTCAGCTGGGATGTGAATGTGTGAATGTGTGAATTTATGTAGGCGATGAATGTATGTATGTGTTCAAATGGCAAGAAAATAGGACACAGACTGAAAGGCAGCAACAGTGAGAGACGAAGAAGGTGTGGGCAGATAGACGCCATATGGCACAAGGGGAGTGATACAGAGAGGGGCAGACATGATTTCCATGGACACAAGGACAAACTATCAGACCATGACATGGCTCATCTACACAGGGTGGAATTAGGACATGAACAGAGGGAGTGCAAGGGTAATGGGAAAAATGGGAAAAGAGGAAGAGACAAAGAAAGGGGGAAGGAAATCAACATTTATTCACAGTGTGAAAGAAGTTAAGAAAACATGAAATTTGTCCTCTATGTGTCGATGAAGTCTTTGTGTCTTTGTGTTTGTAGATGTCTGTGGTAATCAGTCATTTGTGCTGTCCTTGCATGTACCTGGTCCTCTGTGGCCATGCTCTTCCTCTGCTGGGCAGACTTCTCCATGGCCTCGCTGAGGGATTTGGCATACTGCACCATGGCTTTGAGCTGGGAGTCGGTCAGCACCCATAGCAGATCATCCAGGATCAGAATCAGCTTGGAGGCCACCACGTTACAGTCCTTAATCTGTGTCAGGCAGAACCGTTGGTATATAAACATGCATTATGCAGGTGGAAGTAGCTTCAGAGCTTCCACTAATGTCATATGACACTTGTGGGGGAATTCTCTTATTGTGTGAAGTCTTTTTTTATAACCAACAGGTATAAACTACATTTACTGGAAGCATACTGAACTCTCTACAAACCAACACTTGGAGCTCTTTTTCAAGTAAAACACAGACAAAATATCTACTATAATTGTAATTTGTCCAATAATAAAAGCTTTATTCAGCACTTCTTTTTTAAAGCCTGGAGAAACACATACATACACATTACTTTCACAGACCACACACAAAAGCCTTCTGTGCACTTGATACTGCATTATATTGAATAGTCAACACAAACATTAGTAGTCATTTTTGTTTAAATAAACACTAGCTGTATGATGAATGGCTGCTGCTCAGCCTGCAGCCTGCGAGGCCAAACAGAGGGATAATTGTTCACAGCAGACGAGAGGATGTTGCTTTGAGCAGTTTTGGTTTCCCAGTCTGATCTATCAGATTTCATAAAGTGAAAATGTCTGAATCTGTTCAAAGGATCTGTGTGTGTTTCTGACCCGTCTCTTGAGAGTGACTCGTATCTTGGACTGGTTAGTGATGAGGCGGATGGGGGCGCTCAACATCTCATGCTCGGCACTCTGGATAGCATCAGCCTCAATACGGATCATCTGCCAGCTTATCTCCTTAAATGTCAGAATCTGGACCAAACAGGGAGGATAGTAGTGAGTTAGAGAAGTAGGAAACATACAAATCTTAATTTGGCCATTTAAACAACATGACAACCCAGTAGTTTTTACTCATAATTTACTGACCTCTCCCCTCTGAGGGTCCTGGATGCGGGTGAATCGCAGGTCACTGATGCTCCAGCTGGTGTTGACACTGTAGACCTGCAGCTGAGAGAGCTCAAAGGAGGCATTGAAGGCCTTCGCACTGATCCTGATCACTATGGAGTTGATGGACAGGGACATTCCCTCTACCACCTTTTCAGCAAAGCCATATTCACTGTATGAGAGACAGACAGATGGACATGGGTGGAGGGAGAGTAATGTAAACATGGTGATAAGAAGTGCTTAGCAACAGGTGGGTGCAATACATTATTGCTAGTCTGTGTTGTGAGTTGGATTGGGCTGCTAGCTCGGAGGTTGTAGTTATTTCCCGTAGCGAAGGGGATTTTAAAAACACTAACAGGCAGGGGAAGCAGAAAAGGAGGAAATGCTGCCTGGAACAAGCATCCAATGGCAGGCTTATACCTACAGCCCACATCCAGTGAGTCAGACTGCTAGAACATGAACCTTATGTTTACCTCACACATTTTTTCAGATCAACCTCATTGATCACATGTAAAAAAAATTGTCAGTGTCACAGCAGAGAGATGAGAAACCTAAAATGAACTTTAAAAGCTAGAATACTATACACATTATGAATGTCTACTATAGGCAAATGAAGCATGAATAACTAAAATACACTACTACTAAATAGTATTGACACCACCATAAACTGTGTCAAACGTGTAGTGAGACAAAAGTTGTCACAAATAAAAGAAATTTGCAATAGAAAATTAATACAAATTTCTACTGAAATTAGAATATGTTAAATGTGTTAGAGTTTTAACTTAATTGAATCAAATTTGCATAAAAAAAAATATTTCCACCCAGGCAAGAAGAGCCATAAAGAAGCAGACAATGGGGTTATAAGAAGTTTGAAAAACAAACAAAACAATCACAGCACTCACCTTTGTCCTGATGCTGTTGCTATGGGAGATGGGCCATTAGGGGGACGGGGCTCATCGCACGTACTCATCTCCATCACCACTTTATCCAGGGTCTTAAACAGTAAGTGAGTCATAGGCTTAGATACAGACCAATAAACAATGCCTGCATGAAAATATTTTCTTAGCTTTTGATTGTGTTGTTGGCTCTTTGTTCACAGGTGTATTGTCAGGCTGCTGAGGCCGCTTCCAGTGACTGATGTTCTACTGTTTTGGCTTCATGGCATTTATTTTGCACCTTGTTCTAGTGGTTTTTCTCATTGTAAGACATTTGCAGTGTAGTTTAACTGATCAACACAAATGGAGGAAGGTTCTTGCAGCTTGTGTGGCCCTTTGCCACTGTGACAGAGAAAAATGAAAGGAGGATGGAGATGTGGACGCTGCCTACATATTGTTCCCTCATGCACATTGAATTATGCCATTACTATTCTCAAATTAATTAAAGTCTTGACACCGTAAGTCTTTTATCACTATACGTACCACCTTCATGAAGGAGCCTAAGGCTGTGTTATCATATGTGCTCTCCCTTTTCATTCTGTGTTATAATATTTTCAAAGCCTTGCTATTGTTGGAGGTGCGATACCATTGTATTCAACAGTATAGTGACTAATAGCAGACTCAACAAAGTGCTATTGTGTTATCTTTTAATACAATGCTCCTGTATAATGTGATCCTGATAATCATAATAAATAGTGGTTTGATAATTTTATGTTCTCCTGATTTTTTGTTGTGATGTCTTATATAATATATCAATCAAAACAGCATGCCAAAATGTTACGAAACACCACGTATTGGAAGTATATATAAGGACTGAGGCTGGTGGACCATGCACAACATTTTGTGGAGACGAGTGTGAAAATGGAGCGTATGTTCCTTCTGCTGTTGTTGGTTTCCAGCAGCCTGTGTGCTGGGAATTACAGCCACCTGGGGACTGGGACCAGTCTGGCGGTCTGTCAACCTGACACCTGCGCCCTGCTCAGCGAGGTGGCTGCCATGAGGGAGAAGCTGGCAGCCCTGATGCAGACACAAAGTACGCTTGAGCAAAACCTCAGTGCAATGATGCAGAAAATGGCTACCGTCGAAGCCAACTTGCAATCCTACAAAAGCCAGGCCGAGGAGCTCTGGAAGGTAAACCAGGCTCAGGACAAGCAGCTGAACGCTCTCACAGACGTCTCATCCACAAGTGTGTCAAAGATGGCTTTCACCGCTGCTTTAGGAAGCTCAGTGGGTCCGTTTGAACAAGACACGCCACTGAAATATCAAAGAATCCTTTCCAACATCGGCAGCGGCTACAATCCCGCCACTGGCATCTTCACCGCCATGACCCGGGGGTTGTACTACTTCAGTTACACCATGTACAACAACAACTCTGGACAGCCCAACTCGGTGGCTTCGCTGATGATGAACAGTCAGAAGGTGGTGTCTACCTGGGACACTGTGGGTGACGACAGCCAAGACAGCGCCACCAACGCCGCTGTGGTACAGCTGGAGGCTGGAGACAGTGTGTTTGTGAAGCTGTACGCAAACAGGGTGCTCTACGACGACGGGTATTACTACAACACCTTCAGTGGTTTCCTGCTCTTCACTTTGTGATAAACTGCATCATTTAACATGTGATGGACAATAAGTAAATTATGCGAGTATAGGTGGTTAATCTGTCCTATTACACTATTTGTTATCTTATATGTAAACAGATTCAATGACTTCCATGACAATAAATATAGAAAAAAAAACATATCAATGAGCTGTTTTAATTATGTGAGCAACAGGTGTGGTAGGTGAAACTTACCAGAGAGATTGGGTGAGTCTTCAACTTCGTCCATGGTATCTGTGAATGAAAAGAGCAGTGGCTCAGCTTTTGAGCCATATAGTATCATGATCCTTACAGCAAGGTTTTGGCCATTTGGTCCTCCCAAAATGTTAAACTAAATTACCAGTCAATGGGACACACAAATAAAATTAAATGCAACTGAACTACACAAAATTAAATCAAGTCAAAACAGCAGGAACGGTAGCTCAGAGACAAGGGAAGAAAAAGAGAAATCAATGAGTCTAGACTGGCAGGAAGTTCCTTCCATTCAGCTCCAGAGCTCCATTAATCCTCAACATGGAGCCTCTTGATTCAAGTCTATGTCAAATTATATGGCAAAAGAGATTAAATGCTCATGTTCACTTGCAGTTTTTTTTTTTCAGTGGAGCGACTCTTTGAGACGTCACAAATCAAAAAGTGAGGAAGTGCTTTGGATTTGTGTCTTTAATTGCATTAAACACATTTCATTCACTTGCCTCTGTCGTAGACATACTATGAGATGCCAGCAGGGGGTGTAAGCTCACATCTGTCACTTTGATTCCTCACAGCAGAAACGTTTATTGCAGTTTACATCAGTGTATGCATTTATGAGCGTGTGTAGAGCGTCTCTGAGAGCATCACCTGCTGCTCTAGAGTTGATTTCAAAAAGTTTATCCAACAAGGTCAATCAATAAAGCAGCTTTTATTGACAATTAATTTGTGTGTGAGAGTCTTTTAAAATGAATAGGTAAGAGTGTTGGGTTTAGCTCCTCGATAACAGGAAGACACAAAGATGAGACAGGGATTTAACAAGTGAGGAAGTGAGATACACATCTCTGTTCTCTTTTTAACCAGTTCAACAGTGAACTCTGAAATAAACACTAAGCTGAAGAGAGGCAGTGCCACAGGTTTGAATTCACCAGCTCCACTGTTCACTGAGAATTCTGCTGCTCCATGTACACACACACACACACACACACACTCACTTTAAATGATGTGGGTATCATAGCTGCAATACTGCATTAGTATTACACAAAATGTCAACGACACAGCAAATAATTCAACAAAGACAGGACATATGTAGAAATGGCAAGCAAATAACAGGATGGTAAAGGAGGCTGTGGCATTTCTTTTGTTATTGAGACTAGCATTGACATAATAACCTCTGAAAAGGAGGACGTAAAGGCAGAAGTGTAAAGAACAGTTTGAGAAATTATGTTAAGAGCTGAAGAATGGACATGGTGACTATAGAGAGAAAGTAATGATTTGAAGGAGGAAACAAAGAGGTGGAAAGTGGACCTTGTTCCCAATAGAAAGTCCAGTCATGATGAAAATGTCGCAGCTCCATTCACTGTTTCCAGGGTGTGTCAGAGTCTGCTCTTACACATGGCACTTGGCTGACGACCATGTCCACATTAGGGCATCGGCCAGCTCCAGCAGAGAGTGTGTGTGGTGCAAAGACTCATTGGTTGTTGGTGTGGTGCAACATGATTGTTCACAAGTGTGTTTATTTGCTCCTACACTACGTCCTATGATTAATGTGCCTGTTTGTAACTAAACAGAGGACAATTATATATGATTATATTCTGAGTTTCATTTGCTTTAGGCCTGAAATAAAACCATATAAATCATTTTGATATGCAATTTTAAATGTCAGTCAGCAATATACATGTTATCTCTGTATTTTGGATTTACCAATAGCAATAAGGAAAGTGACAGAGTCTGATTTGGTGAGTTTACACCTTCAAGCAATAAAGCTTGACAACAAACGTTCAATGCTTATTTATTTTTTCTAGTGAAGAGTCAGATGAGAAGATTAATACCTGTCTGTTAAAAATAAAGTTATAGCCAAAAGTCAGTTCGCTGTGTGTAGCGTGAAAACTGCAAACAGCTGGAAAAAAGCTGGTCTGATTCTGTCTGAAGGTAACAAAATCCACCTACCAGTGCATCTTAAATTCACTAATTAATACTCAATATCTTGTATGTTTAATCTGTGCAAAAACCTAAGTGTAAAAACAACAATTCACCATATTACAGAGGGTTATGTGTTGCACCATTTCTTGGCTCTGAGCAGTTGAAAGGAAACCAGTGGAGACTCCAGGAAGTTGCTCTACTGGGAAAAAAATAGTCAGACACAAAATGCTACATAGAGCCATGTACTGGTGTGTCCATGTATATGGATTAAACAAACAAGATATAAATATTATATTCATAATATATAATAATAATTATAAGTAGGTATTTCCACTTGTTTCAGGGTTTGTTGCTAAGGTAACCAAGGACCCATATTTACAGTAAAGACCAAAGACGTGTATCAATCTTCTCATCTAACTCTCAAGCAGAAAGCGACAAAGTGTTTTCCCAAAATGTCAAACTACTGCTTTAAAATCCACAAATTCAATATTAGACTGTGTCCCTCACCCGGATGGCGGCCTTGTTGCATTCCACACGGTTGATGGCCAGCCAGGTGGGCAGGTCCAGCAGGCTCTGGAGAACCTCCTCATCCAGCTCCAGGTTGGTGAGCTGGCCCTCCCCCTTCAGCGTGCTGAGGTTGATCTTGTCCGGCGACAGGTTCTTTGCAAACCTACGAGACACAGACAAGGAGTGCAGCTTTGAGCCTGAGAATATTTATAGAAACAGGTTCTTGGCAAAGCAACAGGCTGGACAAACAAACCCCAACTGTTTGACTTTTGGTGTATTGGATGAGGAGACAGAGGCGCCTTTCCAATGCAACACACACACACACATCATGTTTTTAAATGCATGACTTCCAAGCCATTCATTTCATAATGAATTATATTTTAGAACAAAACCCACCTCTTTTTAATGGTACACTCAGAAATAAGGCCATAATTTTGGGTTGCAAATTGCTGCTGAAGTTATATTATAGGACCATTAACTGGAACAAATAATCCATTAAACTGAAACCAGAGTTCAGTAAAATATGTTTTTCTGTTCATTTAGGCTTCATTAACTCTACCTGTTTGCTTTGTTTCCAGAGTTACGGCTTAATCTGATAATGACATGGGGGAGAGAGGATCAAGGTACAGAGTGTTTGAGTTTTAATAATGAAAACACCTCCTGAGCTGCAATATAGAGGATTTAAAGGCAGGAAGAAAGAGAACAGCCAGGGTCGTACCGTGAGAGATTAGGTAAAGGCTTGGTCTGACACTATATATATTATACAGTGACACTCAGGATAATTGGCGTTTGTGAGATTCAGGAAGGACAGAATGTGTGTGTGATCAGAGGATGAAGTGAAACAGATCTTCAATAAAAAGGTATGACCCAATATTGATATTTATGATCTCAGTGTCTCAGTGATCTCAGAAATGCATGTGGACATGCTGTGTACACAATGCAGTGATTCTGTGTGTTTGATCTATTTACTCTTTAGCTTAAGTAAAAAGACTTGAACACATAGACTCAGTGTCCATGACCAAAGTGTTTTCTGCACCCATTTGTGGTTTGATTATTGGTTAATAGTTAGCAGAGTGGCCACACACTAAATGGTTTATTGACCTGTACATTTCCATGGAGCAGCCTAATGGCATCTCTTAAAACACAGAGAGTATTGATTTCACATTCTCTACCTGTCAAGAGCCACACAGCTTCAACTATAGGACGTATAGAGGTCAAGAACACTGTGCATATTTATGTTTGAACTCCAGCAACACAGCCAGTGTGTTTAGTGGTTTGGTTTTATTCCACCAATGAAGGAAATTAATTATAACTGACAATGTAAGTGCTAAAGTAGCACTAGATTTGAGTTGGCTGGTTATCTAAAACGGTAATAGAGTTAAAAAAAAAAAAAAAAAAAAAAAAAAACTCTCTCACAAAACACACACAGTACTGGTCGGCTTAATCTTGTTACCAGGCTAATCTCTCACACACTAACAGTATGTGCCTAAATAGATCAAGATCAAAGCTCAGTTTCACAACTAACATACATTACTGACAGGGTGACCTGATTATCAGAGCTGTAACATCTAGACGACACGATGGAGCTTTCCTTTTTTTTTTTACTGCCCTACTAACTCAGATGTAACTGTGCTCATCTATGTCTTTAGAATACCTGATTTTCAGCTTTGATGCCTTAATGCTTTTTTTAATGTTTTCAGCTGAACTATAATCATCCTCACTCAGAAATATCACATAATCTCCACCATGATATGATGAGAGGAATGTTCCATCAGTGCGACCAATCACAACAGTGGAAATGATTATTCATTGATAAGTGTCTTGTCTGTCTAAGGCAGGGGAACTGATCGACAACATGACTGTCACAGTGTTGTAACGGATAGTGTATAGATTTTATTCTGAGCCGAGGATGAATCCACAATGTGTAATATTTGAGTGTACGGACAGATCATATCAAACTAATATTTTGGGTATCAAACCAATATCCAACCGGGATTTTGATCTTCTCCCGCCATAAACTTCTGCAAATGAATGTGTTCAGATAAATGCACGTTGGTATCGACTGTATGACTGAGGAAATGAGCATCCTCAGCCTCGGCAGGAAGCAGAGAGAAACTCAGTCTCCTTGTTGAAGAAAAACTGCCAGCGATTAGGTTAGATTGACAGAATAAGTAACCACAGTACCTGACTGAGAGTTTGAGTGATCTCTGTTTCTGGAACAGGAAACTCAGAGGTTCCCTTAGTTTTCACTAAACCTGCCTTTTGGTAGACACTCCTATCCTGGGTGACAAAGCATTCAACACCATCTTTAAGTACTTGACAGATTCTCACATTTTAGCGGTGAAGTTCACTACCTACTAGCCTCAAAAACAAAATAACACAAAAATATAACATAGTAAAAATGGGATACAGTGAAAACACGGCACTTATACCGTAGGAGGTGTATACAACCACCAATGTAAGACTTGATATCTGACACACGTTTGACGGGTTTGATGATCTCTCCCGATACTGATTCAAACACCTAAACTCAGGGTACCTACAAGTGCAGAGAACAAATCTGACAGCATTGTTCTCATTTCCTACATTTAAGAAACTGTAAACCTCACTGTGTGGAATTTACTAGAATTTACTACAACAACAATTTACTACAACAATGAGACCAGGGATTGCTGTGGCACTAAAAACTGAGTCGGCAGCACACTGTGACTGAATTATGTATGTAACCGATAGTGAAAACACTGAGTTTTACAATGAGACTAACTAAGACACTGAATTTTAGGTGGCTAAGTCATGGTCCACATGTGATCAGTCAAATAAGGTGAGTATCAGCACCAGAACCACTCAGACTGGTGTCTAATATCAGAAGCTGTTGCTGAACTTAAGTGACAAGTGTTCCAGGGAAACCATTTGCATTGTCATCTATGCAAAAGTGGTGATGTATGATTATAAAGCCTCTCAGTAACGGGTTAGTCTTAAGGAGACGATCTAGCTACTGGTGTGAGTCTTAAGGATATCAGGAGACATAGCAAGGTGTACAGAGAGTCAGTATCTCCAGTGTGAAAGAAACTTTGTCCATTGAGCAAAGCTTTGTGATTCAGCTGCCCACATTTTCAATTATTCAGTCAGTCAAATTCCTGCTTCTTTCCACTCAACACCTTGTGCTGGCAGTGTTAGATTCTTCTCTAATTCACCATCCCTGTAAATTATTCAGTGGTAGCAGCAGACGAACACAGAGACTCAGCACAGTGGAACGAGGGAGAAGACACAAAACACACACTCTCACTAACAATACACAAATATTATGTGCACATGTGGTCTCACGGGCATACACTCAGAGACAGACAGCCAGTTAGTTTGTCTCAGAGATGGATGTTGTTGCTGAAGTGTCTCAGCCTTGTGACCAGTGAAATATTCATCCCCGCTGCTGATCAAGTATCAGCGAGCCAGCCAGCTAACTTCACTCACTCTCTCGCTCCTTATCTGCCTTCTCGGCCTCCCTTGGGCGACCTCTCGCTTCCTCTCCTCTTCTTCCAAAGTCATAAATAAACCAATACTGTAATCAAATGATTTCTTGATCAACTGTCTAATATCAAGGCTACTAATGCAAAATAAGGCAATTTACACAGACAGAAATCCTACTCATTATTGAGAACAACAGCAAGAGGCAGAGGGTATTAAGTTCACACACCGTCATCTTCCCCTTTCATCTCCCTCTCTAGACTTCAGCCATTATTCCAGTCAGCAAGGCCGAGCTCACCGGACCAAATCCAGGCCCATAAAGAGATTAGGAATGGCTACTGACTGGAGAGGGGTCTGCCTGCCTGTTAAACACTAAATTAACCACTCAACAGAATAACCCATGACTACATTCCTCTGTAAAAGTTACTTTTAACCTGTCTTCTTTATAAAAGGAGAAATTATAAAAAGGTAGATAGATCATTATAAATTAAACTTGATTAAATAAATAACAGCGCTGGTTTTGTGTTGCTCAAGCCTGTTTTAGGGGCTGATCTTGCAGCTTTTACCCTTTTCCACAATCCTGTAAGAGCAGACTTTAGACCGCCACACTTTGCGCTGATGTCTGTAAATGGAAAGTTAGACTCTCCCAGCTTTTTCCTGCTCTCTGACAGTGCATTCGTGGCGCAGCCTGATGACATCAGTGCCAGAAAGAGAGGAGCCTGAGGGAAGATGGCCAGGGTGACTCAGACAGAGCAGCTTGTTTTAGCAACCAACACTCTGGAAACATAAAGACAGAAAGAAATAAAGAGAGGAGAGATCGACAAGAAGAGAAAAACTAAAATAAAATATAAGAAGAGAAAGAAAGAAAGAAAGAAAGAAAGAAAGAAAGAAAGAAAGAAAGAAAGGAAGTGTCCCCGGGGGACTCTCTCAGGAATTAGGAATGTGGTTTTCCAGGAAAAAAAGGGTGATCTGAGACGTTACCACATTCTTTCCTGCCAGTGTTGATTTGACCAAGCAGCAGACTTGGCTCAACAACAGAAATGGAGAATGTGACATTTAAAATGGGCCTCTAAATCCTTCAGTAGCCCATTCAGTGTTAACAGCAGACTGTAATGAGTCTGACATCTCCTTCCAATAAAGTCAGTATTCGTGAATAGACATGAAGGCACTTAATTCAGTTAGAGACCAGCAGGCAAAACCAACAGAAACAGCCACTGAAGCTTACAGGATACCAGCAGCAACTGTGACAGATTAATACAATCAAGTGTTTATAAAAGGTGTAAACATCTCAGATCAATTGTATAACATGGTGATGGTCAACCAACTTCGTTTTAAAACAAGCCTCTCTTACATTTTATATGAAGCAAGTTCATCAAATGTAATCCAATACTGTTGACTTCAAAATATATTTTTATTGGCTGGTCAGAGATGATATGTTATCTATCCACTGCACTCCTGTTAGAGGACAGTAGCACTGCAGTGTTTGGAGGCTGACTGCCTGCAGTGTGGGTGTGTTGGCAAATCAAATGGAAACCTGAAAACAACCTAACTTAAAAATAACACGTGCCCACATTTATGAGGCTTTTCTTAATTATCAGTTTGTGTTGTCTACCATCTTTTAATATTCACATGAAATCATACCACCTTGAGGATTCGGCCTGTCATTAAAAAGCCTGCTCTGACAATCCAAGCTTGATTTAAGATGAGTAACACAAACCATTAACAATATCAGAGAAGGAGAAGTGACGTTCTGTTGCACCTGACTGTCTCTGCTGACCTGTTTTGTATTTCAATAGTGTACAATGCAGTACAGGTGTCATTATGGTACATCTTCCCCTTTTTATTGAAAGATGGCTATGCAGCTTAAAACATGAAATTTTGAGAGCCAATAGATTTTGTCAGTCACTGTGTAGAACAGAAATCAGGTGAGCTGCTTAATGGATTGACAGAAAATTAATTTGCAACAAATACTTTTAAAGTAAAATGACAAAAGTTCACTGTTCCGAGCTTTTTCATATTGTATTTCTTGGTCTCATATGATTGTAAATTGAATATTTTCAGTGATATTGATTCTTATTATTATTCTGATATTGCAGGTCTTTGACAAAGTGCTTGTTGTGAAAATATATGTTGAGATGAAGACAAAACTACATTGTGCAAACAGAACAGTTATTAAAACAACTGCGTCACCTCAATGTTATCATCAAGAGGGATCACTTGACTTACTTTCTAGCCTAGATAAACAAACTCCCCCAAAAACGCCTCCACACACGTCAACAGGGACAACAATTCAAAAACACGCAGGCAATCTGTCAAAGTGAAGTGAGTGTGTATTAGCAGCAAAGGCTCAAGAGTCCTGGAATATCTATGACCCCGTGGAGACGGTGAAAAGGTTAGCGTGAAGGAGAAAACAATCCAAGACCAATCCCAGTTACACAGCATAAGAGGATGCTATAGCCTGGAGGGACCCTGTCCAAATGATGCTCTCACATAAGAACCACACACATACTAAACATTTAGTATGTGCACGCGCATACACACAAATATTTCACAGCTACACACTGATGAGACACCCACAGAAAGGCACTCAGTCATGACTCATGGCATAATTGCCTTCCCACCAGCAGCGAGCAGTAACACTGGGAATAGTGGAGTTCATCACCATAGTGCATCATCATGCAGCCACTGCAGGATGGAAAGAGTCAGGCTCACGATGACAAACACAACAGAAGAAATGAAACCATCTCTCACGCTGCAATGGGCTCTAAATCGCCACTGAGGAGAAGAAGAGGCTTGTTATACTTGCACACAGTGGATGGCACGTTCATAATACTGAGTTACAATTCCTTATGCTCAGACTTAGCTGACTCACAGTTCAAAATGTTCTTCTCCTCACTGAAGGAAAATTTAAGGGATAAAATTCTTGTGGGATCAGCGGGTGGTCAGACGATTTCCAATAACCAATGCGTCATCTTAATCAAATCATATAAAAAGCTTAAAACAACACTGACAGGATGAAACCCCAGTATTGAACTTGAATCCTACACATTAACCATCAAACCCTGAAAAGGAGAGAAGTTCAGAGAACTACGCCTGAGCGGAGCCATCGTGTCAACTCTCCTATAACATCCTGACTTAACCCCAAAATGGTCCTCACACACCGGCCTGACTATAAGACTAATCTTCCAGGCCATGAACTCTTTCCGTTAGAGGGTGACGTGATAATCTTTTCATTCTAAGGGGCCCGTTCTGTGTAAGTTTCTCTATCAACAGCTTTACCTAATGCACATCAGGCAAATCTCCCTCTCCTGTTCAAACTTACTAGATTCCCCTGTGCCCAGTGTCTACCATTAGCTGTGGTCCTGTGACATCAATAAGCTGCAATTGAGTCTGTAATCATGATGGTATGAAAGAAAAGGAAAGAAAATGAAATGAAAGGAAATGGTCATGTCAAAGTTAAAATAAACTTTTGAATAACTTTGGATGACTTTTAGAGAGGAAAGTTGGGTCCAGACAAGAGTGGGTCTACAACTAAAGCTTATTCTTATTATCAGTTCATCTGTCGAATATTTTCTTGCTTAACCAATTCATCGTTTGGTCCATAAGATGTCAGAAAACAGAGAAAACCTCCATCACAATTTCCCAAAGTCCAAGCTGCTGGTTTTGTCTGACAAATCATCCAAAACCCAAAGGTGTTTAATTTAACATCATAGAAGACAAAGAAAACCAGCAAATATTTGCATTTTAGAAGCAGGAATGTGTGTTTTTGCTTTACTTTCCCTAAAAAAATAACCATTAACCATTTATCAGTTAACAAAACAGTTGCTGATTATTTTTTTGTCTTTATCTGTCAATTTATTTACATATTAATGCAAGTTAAGATAAGTAAATCAATAGTGGGGATAACATACACTTAAAGGCATGCCAACAAAAGCTGTAAGGAGAGATGGAAACAAGAATAGAAAGACTGCATATATGAGGGAAGTGAGGAAGGGGAGGGTCATTCACACTAAGTATAATCCTCATTCTTCCACTGGAACACTTGTATTTAAGCTACTGTGTCAGAATATCTGCCAGCTTCAGAGTCTGACCTTTCACTTTCCTGTGGAAACATGAGAAAATCTCTGCGGTGGGAGAACAAAGAAAAGAGAATGTGACCGTCAACTGAGCATGTCTAACTGTGTTTGGCTGAATGTCCATCCATCTGTACTTGTGTGTGTGTGTCAGTATGTGTAATAGGATATTGTGCTGCCTGGCTCTGGGCCAGGGTCTTATCGATAATCTTAACCTGTGTGTAATGCAGATACAGACACACACACCTTGTCATCAACTCCCCCCCAGGGGGTGCCTGAGTTCGACCCTCAGTTAAAACACTTCGTCAATACTCTCTCACATTAGAAAAACACACATGTGCTTGCCAACAACTCAGCCATGTCTCTTAATATTCATAAACCCGTCCTTGCACATGAAAGGCCACACACACAAGGCTTCTACCGGTTCACCTTGTACAAAAAGGCCCTCTCAACTAGTTTAATATGTCATGCATGCCTCAGTGCGCTTGTCTTGGCTGGAGGAGGAACAGCCATTGCAGACTTCTGAGTCAATGAACTGTAAAGATGTGGTGCTGCCTCACTGAGACAAGCTTGTCCTGGTCACAGACGGTATCAGACAGACGTGTGTCCTCTGCAACAGTTAAGCGTGGAGGCTGAGCTGGCATGTTGACACCCACAACATAAACTGTAGCTGCGTAAGCACACCTACAGTGTGTATGAATAAGCTAGCTGGAGGTACAAACTATTCCTGGCTGATTCTGATGAAGCAGCACGAGGCTGCAACTGAGCAGACAAAATCTAGCTAATATCTTTCAAACATACATAATAAGCATAAGCTACTGTAGCTGTACAGTGGAGTAGGTGGTGGTGAGGTGATGATGATGGTGACACTTTTACTGTGACATCACTACACCAAACGGCGCAGGATTGGACAATTGTCAGATGGGTCAGCTTCCACTTAGTGCCAGACCAAACAGGCCAGAACAAAGCAGATCAGATGGCAAGCCCAAAGACAGATGACATCACTACTCCTCCAGTCATTTCCTGTCAGTGTTGATGCTAATGCTACTGAGGCAGTGCACAGTCATGTGCAGAAACCCTTGTGCATTGCCTCGACACACACAACCTAGAGTACTAGGACAATGAAGGACATGCCACCCATAGGCTGTGTGTTGCAGGCAATGCAAATCTTGGCTGTGGCATTGTGTAAGAGTGTGAAGGACAAAGCAGTCACAAACACCATTAAGGTATTGACCAGTGTGTGAAAAATTAAGTCACAATTCAGTCATCACAGAGACTCTTCTCACAAAGCACAATCACATTTGTGCTCGTTCCTTTTAAGAACACAAACCAGTCCACTTGCATACTGATGAGCTTTTTCAAAGACTGAGTCATCTGTGACCTGCAATTTAAACATGACAGCTGTCATTTCTTATATTGCATGTAAGCTCTGTCCACTTTTGAGTTTAATACCCTACCACTATCATTATTATTCAATACACTATTTTGTTTGGACATAGTTCAAGGTGTAAATGTGCTCTGTAATAGGTTATTAGCAATTTAATATGTGGGTGGAAAACAGTGCTGCATGTTCCAACCTCTCCCCCTGGAATAAAACAGGGAAGCAGTCCAATGAAAGTCTCTTGAGGGACAGTGGAAAAGAATAAATAATGCATGTAAAGCAGAAAGCTGAATGCTGCATATAACAGCAGCACATTGAAAAAATGAAGCCTTACACAGCAAGTGTTATCTCTAGCTGCATAATAGGTTTGCTTAACGGTGACATAAAATGATGACAAATGTGTTGAATTAAGTATTTATATACAGAATTTCCCTGTCTACATGATCTTGTGTTGAGTGTTGATATTGTTCAGGGTTCATGTGCACTATGCATGATCTCTAATGGCAAGGCCAAGACCAGATATGCAGGGTTTAAACCCGTGTAAACAAACCTGCACCCCGCTGAATTGCCCTTGCGCAAGCCCTTGTGCAAACCCTTCTCTGATTTCCCAACTTATCGTATTATCTTTGTAATACTATTAGGTCTAGCTACCTCACTACTACGTGATTTATACTGCAGAGAGTGTGTTTAATAGCCACTGATTGCTGATTGATGATTTGCCTTCAAGGGAAGGCTGAGATTTTTGTTTTAAACAATCTGACTCAACCTCTCGAGTGGTTCAACCTGCCAAGGCAAGTGTCGAGGTATTAACCGTTCACTGACGCTAGCTAAGCCCGATGCTAGCGGGTTAGCGGAGTAGCCACGTCTCAGGTCGGTTAGGGTTACATCCACTGAAAACGCAACTGACAGTCTGACAGACATCAGGGGTGTGGGCTAACTTACTAAACCCCAAGAGGGAACGTTTTCATCCACACCCAGCAACACAATACACTTGTTTTTCACTTGTAAGGTTAAAGTAAGATTTTGTTGATAGCTTGCTAACTCCCTCCGTCGTCCTTTTCTCTCCACTCCCTGTCCGTTAACCACAACTCAGCACTGACCTGGACAGATGCTTCAGGATTTGCTTCTTGATGAGCCCGGCCATGGCCGCGTAAATCCGATATCCCAGCCGCCGCCGGCTGTCTGAGCCGTCAGGCTAGCTGGCTAGCCTAACCGCTAGCTGTTCCCACTCGAGGTATAAACACTCAGCTCAAATTCTGATACCCGTCTGTTTTCATTTTAACGGCGCTCCCGCGTCACTCTCTGGGAGATGGATGAGGCAGTGGGGGACGGAAAAACGGCATTTCAGACGTCCGAGTGAAAGCCGGGTTAGGTACAAAGCATATCACGTTAGGCCATTTCATGCAGATATACTGGTAAAACCCTCCGGAGCTCTGCAATATCATACACCGAACACCTGGACGGTGCGTCGTAGGAACAGCGTCTGTTGTCACGGCGTCCGGGAGGGGCGTCATGCTGCGTTCACGTCTGCTGGGAAAATTTTCACTTAGAGATGTGAGCAGGGGTAAATATTGGCATTTATAGGTATCGATACTAGAATAATTTCAATACTAGTGTACCCGGAAAAAATATGGTTATTACCCAGAAGAGATTTAGTTTCAACTCAATATAAATTCAGGCATTGTTTAGTGTAAGTTATGACTTATTTTTGACTGTACCTTTAGTCAAACCTTTTGGTATGACCTTAACAAACTGACTTGATTTTACATTTTAAATATATAACTAAATAATCAACTCAAAGAGAATTTGCAGTATCTGGTATTTAAGTGGCTTCAAATAAAATTTATGTCAATTAATCTTATTTCATATGACCCAGCACATTTGCTACACAAAAAAACCCAACATGCCTGCCTTCATCTTAGCTGTGAGGCTGTGAAAACCAGACATTTATGTGAATACCTTAATTTGTAATAGATTTGAAAAAAAAAAAAAAATTCATTTTTCTGTTTTATTATTGCGCATATGCTACTAGCACTTTTACAAACAAACGATAGGCTAAATGTCACATTTATTAACTGCTAACATATATATATTTGACATTGTAGGCCCTATACGTTTACTGCAGTTTGGGTTTGGCCTCAGACGATCATCTACGTTGTCAGTGTCTCACCATAAAACGCTCTTATAGTGACATCTAGTGTTTAAAGACATGCATTGGTCGTCTCTCCTTTTATCTTGCCTTCTCTTACAAGAAAACGATCTGATGTGTCTGTCATTGTGGGTTTCTTTTTCTTTTTTTTTTACCCAGAATTCAGAGTAAGTGAGAATTTTTTTTATGCATTAATATTTCCTTTTTCTGAGCGGTAGACTGAACTTTAGAATTTGGTCACCAAAAAGGGGTCTAAGAGAAGTAAAGAAGTATCAAAACAAAACAACAGGTAATAATGTAAAAAGAATTATAAGGCCAGTACTGCTGAGAGCCATAACGTAAAATTAATAGGAATATTATTGTTATATTTGTAATTTTTCTCATTGAAATACTTACTTGTTTGTTCATGTAAGCTCATTCACTTGCACAGAAATTTATAGTGAGCTAAAATTAATTGACCTCTATAATTTGCTGACACAACACGAACTTTGGACTTTTTACTTCTTTGTCTGTGAACCTAAAAGTTGTGATTTTAACTGATGTGTCTGATGTAGCTCCCTGAGAAGAGTTGTATTCATAGGATGTAACAGCAGCCTGCAGCAACACTGCAGCTGCCACGTAGGCTGTGAAAGGAGGGGCAAAACTACAGGGAAGAACCCCTCCCTGCGCTGCCCTGCTGCACCACGAAGCGCTTGCACAAAGTTTGCATCAGTCTGCAATAGTTAAGTTATATTTATGAACACGTGCCACAGTAATAACACGTGTATATTAGAGGATTTTAAGTCAGTAACACACATATTGTCAGACTTTCCCCATTTGGTACAACGTTTTGCTCCAAGATGGTGCATCTTTATCCTTTAATAGAGCTTAGTGACATTTTCTCGCTTCAAGTTACTTAAAAAGTGAGATTAATCTAATGCTATGAAATGATATGATTGATATGAACATTTGGTGTTGCCTAATAAACCACTTTTGTGGAGACCATCACTGCTGCTGCACCAGAGAGATGCTTCTGTAGAAACTTGTCTTTGGATGATTATTAAAATGATCATAGTTGATGTGGTTTCTGGTGTAAAAATACAACGTAATTACCAAAGTGTAAGAGCAGTAGAGATCATTCACTGTTTTCCTGGTGTTTTCTGTTATTAAACTGGACCCATACAGAGCTTGGAGTTTAAGCTGGGACAGCCCCCATCCGCATACCTCAACGCAAAAAAGCCCCGTGGAAAGACACGACGCGCTCACTGATACGCTGCTGGTCCTGTTTGTGGGCCTGGACTGGAAACACTCTCCATCCACGACTGCAAAACTAGAAGCACTCACATCACACACACACATATCTCAGCGATCAACTACTGACAATGACATTAAAAAACCGACATAAGAACAGCTCCAGCGAGAAGAGCCCCGCATCCAGCCAAGAGGATGCGTCGAAGAAAAGCCCGAAGAGCACAACTACAAACGGAGTGAGTGGCTCCGGAGCCCAGGGGCCACGGTCACGGAGCTGCCTCGGACTTGTTGTGACCACAGTGTTTTATGTTGCGTTAATAGGCGCTGCAGGGTTCGCTGCTTTTTATCTTCAACAAGTAGTGGAAGAAATCCGGCAGACCAACGCCAGACATGAGGAGAGCGCACAGCAGAACGCAGAGCTGAACAGTAAAATGGAGAGTGTCGTTCAACAGGTTGGTGGAAAATGATGAGAAACAATCAATGGACACTAAATCCAAATTCACTTTTAATACTCTCAAACCTTTTTTCACGACTCAGTGATGAAATATAAACAGATAGGAAGCGCACACCACTGGTTTTTGTTGTTAGACCTTATTTTATATGAGATTACATAACTGTCCATATACTTGTACTTCATGTACAGCTGGGGGGTTGGGTGCAGGTATATTGTCAACTACAGGGATGGATATGGTTGACGTCCAAGAACTTAAATTAAAAGTTGACATTATGATGACAATATACAGTAAACTTTCTTCAATTTTTTCCTTTTTGTTCGAATGTTCTTTTCTTTGAGGATACATAACAGATTTAAGACCTTATTGTTAAGCGGCAAAGGGCAGATAAGGATTATTGACACTGTCAATCACTGAAGTTTCAAGGTGACACCCTCTGTTGTCTGATGACTAGTCGCTTTTCTCAGGACTGAAAATGATTTGTAAATATATTTCCTTGTTCAGTGTTAAGTGTGTGTTAAAGCATCGTATGGCTCCCGTAGTAATCTTCATGCATGTTTCAGTACAATGTGTATGACTGAATAACATTCAGGATGAACAGTAGCATCACAGCACTTTTTTTTTTACCACAGCAGGCTTCAGTTTTGTGGTGACTCAACTCTGTTCATGCAAATGTATAGTGTAGCATGTCTCTTGTGCTCATTTACTTTGGGCGGGAGCTCACTTCTAAAATAGTTCTTAGTAAACCTGAACTGCATTGTGAACATTAATCACAGTCATAAAAATCACATTATTATCTATTTCCTGCACCACCTTTTCCACCTGTAAGAGTTTCAAACCTTGGAATATTATCTGCTACATTTACTAATCAAGCATAATTTAATTAATTTAAATTAAGCACAACCACAATAGTAGCTACAATAGCCTTTTAAAATATGGGAAAAGCAACCAAGTTCTAAGCTATTTTCAAGGAAAGATTAACATTAACATCTCCTAAATATAATATTTGAAAATTCAAAGGTAAATAATAAAACTAACCATAGGAATAGAATCTTAACAAAATAATCTTAACTCAAGCATCACTTGCATTTTCCTGGAGCTTTTAATCACATTGTGTGGTCTTCATCAGCAAATGGCTCTATCTCAGTACACTGAGCAAACTCCATTACAACTGGGGACAACTCAATTTGCTGATGAAGACTGTAAGATGCCACTGAAAGCCCAGGAAAGGGCAAGTAAGTAGTTGAGTAGTTGAGTTGAAAAATATTTTGTCAATCTGCAAAATTGAAGTTCACTTGCCCTTTTGTTATCATCTGTAAAACTGTAATAATTGTAGGTAATTTAATATGCTGTGTGTTTTCCTGCCTTGTTGCACAGGTGGAGTCTCTGAGGAGCGTTGTGGACGGGCTGGAGTCGTCACTGGGCATCACACGGGTGGAGCTGGAGGGAGCCATCAGCCGGATGAAGAGGGGCGAAGTGGAGACGAGGAGGGTGGAGGAGGCTCTTCAGAACCTCCAGAACAATCTACTCAGGGAACTCTCAGAGGGCATCAAAGAGGTAAAGGAGGCTCGTGAGAGGGACTTCTCCTCTCTGGAGAAGACTGTGGAGGAGCGCCTGGCTGAGGTGAGTCAGTCCATCACAGCCAACATGGCGGAGTTCACCGAAGCTCAGGGTGAGGCGCAGACCCAGCTGGCTGATCTCAAAGCCCGTCTGGGTGACATTGAAGACCCTGCGCTCATCAAACAGGAGCTCTCTGCCATTGTTGATACTGTGGCTGAAATCAAAACTGCCAAACAGGCGGCTGATTCCTCAGCGAATTCACTCAGCGAGCAGATCGGTGCTGTGAGGGAAGAGCTCCAGACTCGCAACCAGGAGGTGGCCTCTCTGTCTCAGGAGGTGCAGACAGTGAGGTCAGTGATGCAAGAGGCTGTTGGGAGTCTGAGGCAGGCGGTGACTGAGGCAGAGGCTGGAGTTCAGGCTCTGAAGGAGAAAACACTGATAGTGGAGAGTGAGGTGGAGCAGGCCACTGATGCTGTTCGTGGTGTGGAGAAGCAGGTGGAGGCAGCAGCAGCTCAGGCCCAGAGAAGGACAGATGATCTTGAAGTTAGAGTTAAAGCATCAGAGGAGAGTGGAGACTTACTCTCTGCATCAATGTCAGAAATTACCTCCAAAGTGGAATCACTATTTGCAAAGTATGACACCCATGAAAGCACTCTGGCTACTCAGGGGCAGGCTGTGGAGAAAGCCAAAACCGGATTGGAGCGGGAGCTGGAGGCACTGAAAAGCAGCCTGGAGCAGCTCCAGGCCAACATGGCCGCTCTGGATGGTGCCCAGACCCAGCTAGCTTCTAAGGACTCCAGTCTGGATCAGCAGGTGGAGGACCTGGAGAAGAGGCTTGCTGCTCTGGAGGCCAGCAGCAGCAGCAGCAGCAGCAGCAGCAGCAGCAGCAGCAGCAGCAAGAGCAGCGTGATGCCTGAGCAGCTGGAGAGCTTACGCAGCATGGTGGCCGGATTGGAAGACAAAGCAGCCAAATTAGAAGGCCACGATCAGGCTATTGCTGCTCTTCAGAAAGCACTGCAGGAGACCACACAGACACTCGCAGGCTTATCCAAAGCACCCAGCAAGAAAAAGTAGGGACCTTCAGCTCGCAAAGTGACATCAGGATACCAAAACATCCAACAGCAGGGACAATAATGAATCCAAAAGGGTGACCAAAACCCACTATTCCTAATTTTATGAAGAATTATTACTCAAAACTTGATGGTGCACATTTTAGTAGAGAAGAAGTGAGGAAAACTAGGTTAGGTCACGATAGAGGGGCAGAGCTGGACTGCTGATCTGTGAATTCAAATCCACACCTATTCTGCACTGTAGTTTTATTTTCTAGTGTTTTTAATTGTTTTGTTAGAATTAAAATTTTCCAAGCCAAGGCTGTTTTATGAACCTCCAAATGCAATAATAAGCTCTTGTTGAGCACTCCTTTGTTTACTCACTACGTTTTTATTGTTTTGGTTTTTTTGTTTTTTTTTTACAAGAATAAAACCTCTTGTCGACCCAAAGCTGTGAGAGATTATTGTGTTGTTGTGAACATATTGGTAAAACTATGATCTGCAGTTTTGGGTTTAGCTGCCTTTACTCTTACATCATGGGTGCTGTGTTGATCCTATGGGTGGGAATGAAAATTTACACTTATTGATAAGTGTGATAAACCCGAGGGCTGCTAAAATCACATCACATTAAAGCAAAGAGGGATCTCAACTACATTTTTACGAAAGCATATAATTTTGAATTTATTAATGAAGCTCAATTCATTCAGCAGGACAATCTGTGGCATAATCTGTGGCAAGACACTTCACACATGTCGAGTCAAGCAGATTATCCTTAGCCTCATAATGACAGAATGCCACATGCTCTGCTCTATAATCTGCAAACACCAGTGACAAATAATAGATCATTTTCTCTGTGGGTGTTTGGTTTTGACTCTCTTCCAGGTGTTCTGCAGAAATGTGCTTCACCTTGTGCAACACCCAAGGCGGTGCTTTTGTGGCCACTTCCCCAGAACACTTCAAAGTTTTACTGGAGGGTATTTGGAAGCCAGTAAACTCCAACAGTAATGTAGCATTACTCATAGTACATAGTTCATGTTAACAAACTGGAATATCAAGTGTTGTAACACCTTAATGGTTAAGGCGAGGAGCTTTTGTCCAGGGTGCACCCATAAAATATTGTGTGGTTAAAAAGTAAAAACTGCTTTAACATGAAAGTGGCATCTATAACTTTTGATTAGAGAACTAATGAGCAAATGTGCAAATGCCAAACTATTACCTTACCAGTCATTATTTTGTTATATAATACTGTAACTGGACTGGACTGGACTACTATAATACTGGACCTTCAAAAATGACCAAAATATTACACTTGTCTACATTTCCTCCACAGTTACAGCCTCTGAATCAAGTTTTACTAAACAAAACCCATGGAAATCAATTATTTTCTGTTGAAATGTGGTAAAATTTCATATCAGGATCAGTTCAGCATCAAACCAGTGACAGTAATGTAGCTGAACAGAGGCAACAAAGGGAACGTCTTTGTCATGAGCTCACTCAGCAAACTTCCCACAACTGTAAGACATGTTGACGGACTCGCTGTTGGATTGTTTACATTCATTCTTCTTCATGGGTTCAGGTTTCCTGTTTACAGATTTATGCTTGAAGGCTGTTCAGATTGTGTCAGAGTTTGGTAAACACAGTTTCATGTTTATTTCTGTAAACCTCTAAACAGTAGTATGACAGTTGACCAAATGAAATACTGAGCGAAAGCCAAAAAAACCATCAGTCTCCACTTTTGGTTGTTAGAGTGTGGTGCTCACACTGGCTGGTGCATCTCTCCAATATCAGATATATCAGCTATGTCACCAACCTGTTTCGTGGTAGCACTTAAATCTCCCTCCACTGCAGTGAGATTAGTTAATGTCTGTCTAAGCTCAGCAATCTCCTGCTCTCTCTTGGTGAGATCCTCTGCAAGTCTTCCTATCCGCAGAGTCAGATCTGACAGCTGAGGCTCAAACGCCCCAAAGTCCCTCCTGATAGAGGTCACCTTTGGTTTAAGGTCACTGGCAAAGGTCACTGTTTTTATCATGCGAGCTCTGCCGCTCTCCAGCTCCCTCAAACGCTCAGAGATCTGTTTGTCAGCAGTGGTGAGTTCAGGGATGCGTCTGCGGAGCTGCTCAATGGCCTGCGCGTTGCGTTCAGATGCAGCCCGGAGATTGGAGACTCGGTCGATGCTGCTGGCCAGCAGATCCCCGATGCGTTTGACCATGTTGCGCTCCACCTGCGCGGTCTTGTCCTCCAGCTCTCCGACCTGAGTGAGCATCGACTGTAGCTCAGACTTCAGGCCGTCCATCCTGCGCACATCTGTCCTCACTGACGCCACCTAGAGGGGGGAAACAGGCAAAACAGAGGATGAGAAACAGCATCAAGCAAAAGTTTTATTTTAAAATATTCGTCTCAAACTGTGTTACAACAAAGTATTTGATCCCTATTAAATGAAGCCCCCTAAATTTTTTATATTTATGCTGATTAAATCCTGATGTTAGGTGGGGTCTCTTCTGCACTCTCTAAAGATAATAAAGTATACATAATTACCAAGTTAAAAAGTTCCACATCAACAACAAAAATGTGACGTACCTTGTTTGTAAAGTCCTTGGTGATGGCCGAGGTGCGCTCTTCGATCAGTCCCACAGCTTCTCTCAGTGAACTCAGGCTGCTCTGCAGCTGAGCCCGTCCCTCGGTCAGCCCAGACGCCCACTCCTTCAGGCGTCTGACGTCCTGCTCCAAACCCTCCAGCTGAGGCTTCAGAGCTCCCCGCTGACCCCTGAGACCCTCCAGCATCAGCTGGACGCTCTCACACTGAAACAGGACATACAGTACATGGAGTGACAGGTGCAGGAGGACAGGTGGAGGAAGTTATTTCAAGCAATTGTACTTTATCATTATTTACTGACATTATCTCGGGCTGTTTTCCTAATATTTAAACATAGTAAAAAAATTAAAATTTGTTAAACATGAGAATGAAACACATTTGCACAAATTCACAAGAAAAAGGTGATTTTATTAAATAAGCCGAGTAATGAAAAGATTTCTACGCTTTCAAAAGGTGAAACTAAAATCAGATGGAAATGTAACAGTCAATATAAATATGAAGATTTATTATACATCTACAAAATCTATTTCTGTTTCCAAGTCTAAGCTAAAACTTACAGGGAAGCAGTTCAGGGTTGCAACTAACAATAGTGCTCATTATTGATTACATTATTGATTGATTGCTAATTTTTCAACAAACAGTCCTAACCCTAAAAATATTCAGTTTATTACAGAATAAGACAAAAGAAAAATGATAATTCAAAAAGCTGGAACTAGAGAATTATTGAAAGGATTCATTGATTATCATAAGTTATTTTTCTGTTAATCAACTGTTTGTTTCCTCTCCAATAGAGTTACATCAAGAAAGACTGGCACAGATATTATAATATACATCGTATCAGTGCAAATAGCTGGCTTAAGAATAAAGGAGCATGTTTTATGCAACTGTGGAATCCTTTAAAGAGACTCTCCACATTAACCAAACCACTAAAATATATTCTTGGTTGTACCTGTGTATTACAGCGCATGTACACCTGAGTTCATGTTGAAATTACGTTACTTTTACACAATGACAGTCACATTAAAACGAGGTGCACATTTTTACAAAACATTAATACTGAATTTTAACAGCCTTTTACAACAAATAGCCTAGCCTTTTCCCTCACTAAATGAAAATATATATGACATCATTCAGTGAGGTAATCAAGAGGCTTATTTTCTTCATCCTGGTCATTTTTTTCCCACTCCTCCTCCTCCTCTTCGTCTTTCCATTCTTCTTCCTCTTCCAGAGTGTCTAAGTCATTTTGGCTGTCAACCCTATTTTCCCTCAGCACCATGGTGAGTTCACGGACCGCCTCTTTAACCACGGACAACTCATTTTTCATCTTCAGGATGCTGTTTTGAGCGTGCAGGGTATCCAGCTCCTGTCTGATCTCCAGGATTTCATTCAGTGCTTTCAGCATGCTGTCCTCGGTCCCAAACACCTGTAAGGTCACCTCCTCCAGCCTCTTCTCCGCTCCGCTCAGATCACCTCCCAGCCTCAGGATGGAGCGCACCGCCTCCTCCACCTGCGGCAGGTGTTCCTCACACTGCTGTGCCCGGGGAATGTGCTCCTGGAGCTGAGAGCTGAGTTCAGCCTCCCTCTTGGTCAGGCTGCCGATCTGCTCCTCCAGCTTGTGGATCTGCTTGGTGTTCCAGTCCAGCTGATCCTGCGTTCGTTTGGCGTCGTCCTCCTCTGTGCGCTCCAGAGCTCGGGTGTTCCTCTTTGTGCTGTCCTCAAGCTCCTCCAACCTCTCTGCCAGCGACCGAGCCCTCCGCTCTGCCTCGTTCACCCGGTCAGTGGCACCGGCGTGGGCTTCCCGTGACTCGGCTTTGAGGGCAGCCAGGTCAGAGCTGATGACCGCCAGACGCTCCTGCCACGTCTCTGTCACATTGAGGAAGTGGGCATTGACCGTCTGCAGGTCACGAGAGGCGGAGTTCTCTTCATCCCGCATCACCATGACAGCAGCGTGGAGGGTGGAGATGTCCTGCTGGAGTCTAGTTGCCAAGGAGACAGCGGAGAGCGCCTCCTGTAGGTCATCCTCAGAGGCAGCAAGCTGCAGCCGTAACACAAAACAGGAGGGCTGTTTCTGTGGGAGCTCTACGGTCCTCAGTATTTATATATAATACATTCAGTAGGAAACAAAGCTCATGCATATAGATAGGGACTGTCAAAGACAAAATTATGTATTGAAAGAGCTCAAGTAAAAACAATTTGTGCTCAGCTGAAAGTAATTTTTCAACAAATTTTAGGCATGCAGAGGGTTTGTACATAAAGCATATATAATTTAACACAGTGGTATTTTTTCCCTACCCAGGTTGTTCCATTTGATAACTTTTTATGGGACTTAATAGGTAAAAAATATCCAAAATTTCACAAAAAAATTAACTAAAGAAACTAATTTAGTTTAGCAGAAAATTCTGCATAGGTAGTTTCCTGTTCTTTCCAATCCCATGAATCATCACATGACCCCTCAGTGAAGCGAACACTCATGTTGTCACACAAACTTAAAGGATTGTTTCAACTAAATTACACAAAGACAAAAAATTATATTTTTATCAGTTAGCTCAGGTGGTATTTAGCCATGCAGATAGTTTGAGTTTTATTTATCCGGGTTTTTAAACACCTGTCTCTGAAATTTCACAAAACCTTTCAAAAATGTTTAAAGCAACAACTGTTTCTCAGAGGCGTGTCCCTGTTATGCTGAATAATCCAACATTTAATCAAAAATTCATAGGGATTATTTCTTCAGTAGAAAGTAGTTCCAAAGAAAATTTAATTCATTTTTTAATACTGTAAGCACCACAAATCAAATTCAATTCATCGCCATTGCATTGAGGTGGAGGCAGAAATTTCAGATAGGGGCAATTAAAACCAAAGCTGTCTGCATGCCGACCACAGGGTAGCACAAAGTATGCTTTGTGTGATTTGGATGAATTGACCCTTTAAACTAACATCCCTCAGTGTAGTTCAATCTCTGCTCCGCTGTAAATCAAACGTACCTTTTTAGACACTTTGAGGACTTCTTTCTCCATGTCGAACAGACTCGAAGTTTTCCCGTGTATAGATTTGTATTTTTCTTCCATTTGGGAAAACCTCTCGTTCTGTTGCAGCACCATCCTGAAACCAAGAAAGAAAACACTTTATTAGAGACATGCACACTGGGAAAAGACTTTTTAAGACTAAGAACACTCAACTGTTTACTTACCAACTCATAGCTCCGCACGCTGCAAGCGACAATACGCACATTATACTTCTAATGTCCAGACTCGAAGACGTTTTATTTGCCCCTGTGTTGTTTCCAGACTCCGTCTTCACTTTTCGTGCTTCATCTTTACCGTTAGCAGCCGACGTTTCAGGCACTTCATCACTTTGTTTTTGTGTCTTCTTCCTCTGCTTCACTTCAGTAGGCATTTTAGCACACTGGCATATACTGTTAGTAACTTTTACTCTGAAGGAATTCAGCAGGCCGAGCAGGAAAAAAAAACGTCTAACGGTTATTCGTTACGTTGTAACGCAAAATAAGGCCCTTTGTTTACAGTTAAGTTCATAATGTAGGTTACTAAAGTGAAAAACTATGATTAACGGCTGTGAACGCTATCAACAATCCTCCGGCATTACCCTGTTCCTTGGAAAAATGTAGCCTTCAAGTGCTGCTTGAAAGCTCGTACATACGCAGACTACCAGTTAGTTAGAAAAGTTAGAAACAGCACAACACAACAGTCCAACTGTAACGTATATGCCCACTGGATGGATGTTTTTTTTTTTTGGCCTCAAGCTAAAAATGTCTTTAAATAAAACTACAACTTTCAGTCATATTTATCAACTTCGTTCAATGGAACTCCAGTTGTGTGATTTATTTCCGACAGCCCAGGAAGTACTGTAAACGCCTCAGCCAGCCACGTAAGCGGCTGCCAGCATTTGTCCTGAATTTGCTGATTTTAATGTCTGGAAGTATAGCTGTAACAATTAATCGATTCATTGATCAGTCGATGGACAGAAAATTAATCTGCAAACATTCTTGATTAAAGATTAATTATTTTTTATTAAGTAATTTATAGAGGAAAAAAAAGTCATACTTTCTCTGGTTTTAGCTTCTCAAATGTTAAGATTTGCTGCTTTTCTTTGTTTTATACAATTGTAAATTGAATGTTTTTTTGGGTTTGAAAACAAGACAACTGAACCGGTTAACTTGGAAATTGTGATGTAATTTTTCACCATTTTCTGGCATTTATTTTCTAAACTAAAAGGTTAATCTAAAAAAATAATCTAAAATCTTACAAATTTACAGAGGGCACAGAAAGTATATATCTGTACAGTGCAGACTTTATATTCAGACAAATAATTAAAAGACAGAGGAGTTTAGGCACAAGCCATTTATTAGGCATGTTTCCAAAAAGTTTACTTACATCTTGAGTGTCAAAAATTGTCAAAATTTGATTATCAATAGCTTTCTATAAATGGTAATTCAAAGCCCTACACAAGATTGTATGCAGCAGTTCCAAGCCTACTATACAGTTATTAGTGAGCAATTCTGTTATTCCATTATTGTTTAAATGAATGGGTCATAGCAAATGTATGCTATCTTGTACTCTTGCTGTTGTCAGGGTGTTCAAATAACTTCAAGGGCCATGCAAATTACACAAGCTGCTATTCTTTTATGTAACATTTAGCAATATTCAACAGCAAAAGACACAATCTTACAAAGTAAAACAAAACTGAAGTGAAACATGGACGCATCATCAAGTTAGAGGCAAAGGTTCAACTGCAATACAGTACATTCAAGCAAAAGCTGCCACGTGCAATTTCTAACAAATTATGTGCAAAAAGGGAACCGGATGACTCCACAATATTTTAGGATGGATGATTAAGAGATCTTTGGACTAAGGCATATAGTGATGGAGTTAAAAAATATTTGGTCATTGAAAGATGTATAACTCCTTCATAGTGTTTCATATTTAACATGTCAAATCACACTCCTGAGAAGCATAAACAGTACGGAAATTGCTCAGTAATATAATCATCCTGTTCCCAATCTGGGCTTCAATAACACTAGTGCCTTAACTCATAAGTAAACTTTAGATAAATGCTAAACGCGCAAGCTGTAGTTCTTCAACACCAAAGCCATATATAGATATCAAGCTGCTTTTCTATTGCTTTTAAAGGTCAAATCCCAAAGCACAATATAGCACCACCTGTGCACTCTTTGTGTCTCATCACCGCCTCTGTTATATTTGACATAATTAAATATATCACTTGGACCTTGGCAGTATGTTACAGCAACAAAAGATGAACTTCGCTTTAAAGGGATCGTTTACATTCATTTTTTTTAAGTGGACATGTGTTGCACAATGGGGCCTGAAAGTGGCAAAAATGTCCCACAGCATCAGGAAATTCTGAGTGAGTGCCATTAAATAATATACCAATGGGCGCAACCAAGGAATTAATCGCAAACGTCAAAACAAAGAAAAAACCAAACCAAAAAAAATCATTAAAAGTAACCTCCCAAATTCAATAAAACTATATTTATATATATATATTGTATATATATATATTACAAGGTTGGCCAAATGCTTAATTGCAACATATTTATAGTGTCTAATTCAAGACAACAGAAATTACTTTTTTTTTTCTTTTCTTTTTTTTAAGGAAGAGGTTGACATTTTCTTGACGAGTGAGATGTGAAGATTGATAGAACTCTCACATCTGTCCGTAAATATGAAGCTACAGTCTAGAGCCAGTTAGCTTAGCTCAGCAAACAGACTGGAAACAGGGTGGAAACAGCTAGCCTGGCTCAGTCCACAGGTAACAAACTCCACCTAGCAACACCCCTAAAGTCCATTAATTAAAACGCAAAAATACAAGAGTGGTATCAATCTCCTCATCTAATTTTTGCCAAAAAAGGCAAATGAGTGCAAACATGAAAAAATATCTTTAAACTTTTATAGCTGCTTAAGCTCTAAGTCATCTTGTCCTTTTGGACTACAGATGTATGACCTATAAAAAGAAGAAGAAAATAAAGAAATGTAGCTATTTGCAAGTTAACAAAGGTTATGTGCGAATGAGGCCAATATCAATTCATATAATGGATATTATATTCAATGAGGAAATATATATCAGGTCCCCTAAGGCCTCATTATCAGCTTTTGGTCCTGTCTGTGGAAGAGCAAAAGTAAGTGCACTTTGGGGACGGAAAGGACACTTTCAAACCTGTGGGAATGTGCAAGACTTACAAAAAAAAAGTACACTACAAAGTGCATGTGATGAGTGAGTGTGTGTTAACCAATTAAGTACTTGCAATTAAACTGTCTCTGCTGCTCATTAACCAAAGGAATCAAAAAGAAAATCCCTCCTTCATGATGCCTGAAATCCTCTCAGACTGCTACATACAGTATTTCTAAATATTTAAACCCCAAGACCACAAAGCAAACTAATATACTGCAAACTATATATTCTTCATGACTGTACTATACAGAGAAATCTCCCTTCAAGATGCCAGCAGAGGAACAAATATTGTGCTTAAGTCATCTTGATTCTAACCACTGTTGTATATATACATTCTCTAATAAAAAACTAGATGTAGATGTATACAGGGTAATCTGGGGGTACATTTTTATGTGTCCTCTAGCAGATTTGCTCAGAGCACTGATTGATCTTTCTCCTTCTCTCTCCCAGATAAGGAACCACCACTCATTGGGAAAATGGTCCAACTCTGATAATCAGAGGACGGCTACAGTCTAAGAGGAGACACACCATGACTCAGGAACTGTAGTGATCCTGAAAAAAGAAGAGAGTAAACATCATTAGCAGGTGAATTTATGTTTGTCAGACAAGATGCTCATACAATATTGATTCAGGTGCTGCATTTCTAACCAACCTGAATTGAGCTAACTACGCCGCTGGCCATGACAGAGAGTTTTCCTGCGACTGAGCGCACTCCCAGTTTGAGCTGCGACATGTCAGGAGCATTGGGCAGCACGTTGGTCAAACGGTACGAACTCGCTGTGTACACAAGACAAAGGAAAATAGACACAGATGAATCTATTTTGTCTTTAGCTAATTATACATACATTTATATTCATTCATTCATTCATACATTTATAAATAAAAATAATTTAAATGGTAAGTAAATGATACGCCAAAGTTGTTTTTGCAAAGTCAGTGATGGTGCAGTGGTCTCTTACCAGTCTGTTTCTTTGGATCATCAAAAAGGTCTGCTGAACTTATAGAGGCACTCCCAGCAAATCGTTCCAGGCGTGTTTTGGCCTCATACTACAGAACAGGAGTACAGACAGTGTTTTAAATGTTTCCACCAGTAGTTTTTCTGGGAACATTCAAGCTTAGCTCATACTCAAAATACCAACTGAGGGTCTTCACAGGTTCACTCAGTTTTAAAGGAACCAAGGAACCAGGAGGCGAGCGGTAAAGTTATACTCGGCCTAATGGGGCAGGTCTCACTGCTCTCTCTCACATCTTCTACTTATCACCCAGTTGTCTACAGAATGTGCTGAAAATAAGACTTTCAATGAGTCATTCAGGCATTAGTCTTTCATGCATATAAAGAAATATAATCAATAACATCTCATTTATTCTTTGGACATTATTATTACATTGCTGCTCATTTTGAGGCGGCAGCTCATTAGCTGATATTACATCATGCTGCTGCAGTGTTTTCTCTCTATTGGGGGCCGTTCAGGTCGACCGCATTTTGGAACAGGTCTAATAATCCTGGCATTCCCTTTGGATTGGGTCACTGACACGCAGTTTGCAAGTCCACTATAATCATGAACCACACAATATATATAACATGCTAAAAGGCTGTACCTCAGAGTTGTCTTGTTTTCCAAAGTACATGTCAGAGGAGATGGCTTTGACATCATCTCCAAACTTTTTCCGAGCTTCTCCTGAGTCTGACACCGGCACTGGTTCTGGTTTCCTCCTGGATGTGGGCCTGATAAAAGATCATGGTTATAAATTAAAGCGATATTGACAATATAATCTGAACGATTCAAGTATTAACCCATATTCTCAAAACACACTTTGATCACATTAAAAATGTCACTCCTCAGTCACTAAGTTTACCCTTTACCATACAGTACATACACAAAGGACTTACAGTATGAGAGAGTCTAAATATTATATTCTTTATTTCAGCCATAATTCAAAAACAAACCTGACATTAACTTAAAACATAATTACAAAATTATCATGTGATTACAACATGATTCCAATTAAAGTGGATAAATGATGACTTAGAATTGCCTTGTGGTGGAAGTGACAGTGCCTTAAACTTCTACTGTATGTAGCCGCAACAGTAGGTTGTGCAGACACTGTTAAAGTAACAACAGCTGGATGTATATAAATCATAAAACAACGTCTCCTACCTGTCATCAAGTGAAGACATAGTGGAGGACAAGTAGAAGTCTGGTTCTGGTTTCTTGCTCTCCTTTATCCAGCCTCCTCCATCGCCTCCATCACCCCAGCGTGAAGAGAAATTATCAGACAGTTCAGTTTGATCCTCAAACCGGGACAGGATCCTAAAGAGAGAACAAGTTCAGATTAATGTCAGGTGGACAATCAACATGTGAAGTTGAACTGTCATCAGCAGCAGCTGAAGAAAAGGCAGATCTTCTGTCTTCGTCTGACCTAGAGGTGAAGGACCCTTCGTCATCATCTTCCTCAGTGTACCGCCGCCCTTTGGTGGTCTTTCCCCGCAGTGGATTCTCCTGCTGAATGATGTGCATGTCCGATGTCACAGAGTGAGAAACTCCACTACGGAGAAGAGCAGAGACAGAGTGAACGTATGAGCCAGAAACAAAGTCTTTGATCAGTTACAGGATCACTAGTATTTGCCTCTTCATCATCATCGTCATCGTCATCATCGTCATCATCATCATCATACCTCCTGATGCCTAAACCCATGCCCAGTCTCTCAGCTTGCTCCTTCTTATTCCCTTCTAATCCCTTCAGCTTCTGCTCGTCTTTTTTCCTCTGCTGCTCAAGATCTTTATAGGCCAGTCGCAGAGATGGGGCGCTGAGAGGAGGAGGAGGGCAGATGAATAAAAAAATAAATAACAACAAAAAAGAAGAAAAACAGGAGGGGATTGCAGGAGCTAACAGAAACAGGTGTATAATGACAAGGTTTCTGCTGAAGTCAGAAGATTTGAGAGGACTCTGAAACCTTTGACCTTCTCGTGGCGAGTGCAAAAAGACTCACTATTAGATAAATAGTTAACCACAAAATATGAGAGTAAAAAATAATAAAGTAAAGACACCTACATAGATTCCTGAGGTTGAATATTTTTCCTGGTACCCGCAGTGCTCTCTTCTTTCTCTCTCAGCTTGTCGGCAGCTTGAGCCTTCTTCTCCAGCTCTGAGAAACTCTGGCTGCTAACCTTCTGAGCACCCAGACCACCCTTTTTAGAAGCCAACTGCAAACAGACACATTTTTACAAATCAGACTTTGAATGCACAAGTCACAAATACGCAGTGATGAAGCGAGTCTACTCTCACAACATTACTTTGTACATACCGTTTTCTTGGCGGCGGCTGGCTTCTTCTTGAGAAGAGAGGACGGCTCTGGAAAGATTGAAGGACAGTAAAGTTACATCTCTTACAGTTTAGCAAGGATTTCAACACAAAAACAAGGTCCTTAAGAAAATGGGAGAAGCCTAAATATAATATAATATATATATATATAATATAAACCAACCTGGATTTGCTTTTGGAGAAACACTCAGCATGTCGACACTTGGACCCTCTGGATTACCTGAAAAAGTTTACGGTTTGATGAATATGTGAGGAAACGTAGTAAATGGTACTGGTTGTAGTTTTGTGGTCTTTCTTTGTGTTACAATGTTAAGGAGAAACAGTGAATACCATTTTTGTCGTCCTCTTTTTCTGTGGTTGAACTCTTCTCTGATGTGGAGGCACTGAGACTCATTTTGGCCATGTTCAAATTTTCAGGAACACCCTGAGCATTACACAGACACATATGGTAAAATTACTAATCCCCAGTCACTGTGTGGGTATCCAACAGGCAGATATGTAGATATAATCACACCTGGTCAAGGCAAGCACACTCCTTTACCTGTGAATGCAGACTGAAAAAATCCACCTGCTTGTCCTCTGGTGATGTTGGAGAGAGAGGAGCCTGACTGTCGAGCCACAGCTATGGAGAAGTAGCGTAAAATTGATTTAACTATCTGTGCACTTGCAGATATGTTTCTAGGAAAGTGTGTTAAGCAAACAGATCCTAAACAGGAAGCCAATTTATCCTTCTTTTACCTCAGTGCCGTGGCGTCTGGTGGCTTGTGTGGCTAAATTTTTTATCTTCTCTCTGTACAGCTGAGCAGCTCGGCTGTTGTACTTGGAATTGGCAGCACTGGTTGTGCATCCGTGTTGATTGAAAAAAGAAATCTGCCATAGGAAGGTCAAGACAGACACAAAAAAGCAAACAGGAGTCATCAAGTTAAATCATGAGTGTGTGCGTGTGCAAAAACGGGATTACAATCTGTTGATAATGTGTTGACATTTTTGCCCTGAAGTACTCACCGCACTGGCATTGCCTCCCACTTGCATACATCTTAGCTGGAACCAAGACCAATTAAAATCCAGCTCAGTAGACCTGTATAGGATTTACAGGATATGTGATTTGACAAACTGCAACTCAGGTTCCAAAATCATCCCACCTTCAATTTGACTCTTTTCTGGATTTTTCTATTCATACTAGGAGACTAGCACAATTATGATTTGCCAATTAAGACATATTCAATAATTTTTTTTTTTTTAAAGTGGTGAGAAATCAATCTTACTTCTGTTTTTTAAATTCTATTTTGTTGCGCATGTGTTTGTTTCTAGTCTGCATGTTTGATACTTGGTGCCAAAAGCTTTAATTTTGAGGTTTTGTTTTCAAAAGTGCTTTATTAATAAGTCCTGCCTTACCTGATAAAGCTCAGGTGTACCCCCAGAGACCGGTGAGTGCCTGAGCAGTCTATACATAGGAATACACCATAGGTGATGCTGGCCCAACTGGGGTTTTTAGCTGCACAGTCAAAGCAAACCTGGGGGAAATAAGAGATGTTATCATGAGGCTTTATCTCAAATTTCAAACAGGGAAATTGACATTTTGATGTCTGTGTTCCAACTCTCTCCTAACTAAAGAGCATGAGCATGAGACAAGAGCATGAGTTTAAAATCGATAAAAAGAGACGTGGAAGCAAACTGTGTGAAGGGTGTGTGATCATTGTGGTCTGAAGTGCATGTTACCAGTAAAATTAGCTGTTGATTCAAACAGCTGTTGATAAACTGGGTCAAATTTCGCAATGAAATTAAGTGTTACTAGAACAGCAACAAGCACAATTCCGTTGTGATTATCATTCATGATGTCTGCGCTCCTGTCTTACATTTTTACACTTGTACCAAAGGAAAGTTAAGCCTGAACAAACACGGCTAATGTCAACTGTCAAAAGGCAGCTAGCTAAACTGTCAACCACTTGGCCAACGTTACGTCTGGTTACAATTCACAAGTTTTCTCACAGTTTATTCCCCGACACGTTACAAGGGAACAACTCGGGCTTTACAACAAACCCAACCTATTTTCAACATGACATTTATCGGACAATTGTTAAATTAAGCTGGTAAGTTGAAGCTAGCCTCGGCGTTTCTCAGAGTGCGACGTGTCAGGTATCTAGTTTAGATGACTTCCTTGTTAAAAAGAGTAGACTGTCTACCGTTAATAAAACTCTCACCTTATTCGTAGGAATGGAGCGCAGTCGCTTAAAAATAGCAGAGATGTCCTGTTTGTTGGGCTCTGACATGGTTCTGCCGGTCGGTAATACCTGGTGGTGACAGAAGTATCGTTAGCATGAAAAACAGCGCTGTGTTTTTCCTCAATAATAACTGAATGCGACACGTCAGTAGGAGAACATCATGGTCGGCTTCTGATTGGATAAAATTGACCCGTGGTTATGTTATTGTAGCAAAGGGTTCTGGGTAATGTAGTTTACGTCTACATCTGTAGCTCAAAATTACTTTAAATAATAGCGAAAGAGTATTCAGATCCTTTACATGAGTATTTTAAAGGTAAAATACTTTTTGTGAAGAATGAACATATATTTATAAACATTTTATATAAACTAAATTACTGTTGGGCTGTTTAATCTAGACATATGCATCGGTATGTTGGATTACATCTAAATTATATCACTCCATCTACAATTATTGTTATTTAAATATTTGATTTCAAACTTTACTTCTTTTATTTTAATGGTTATTTGTACAGCTAATTTGCAATTAGATGAATCTTTAAAATACATCAAACTCAACAAGAAAATACATACAAATTGTAAACAATTTACAATTAAGAACAAAAGAACCAGGAACATGCACGAGCAGTCGTTAATGATTACATGACTGATTCTTCTTTAAAAACTGTTTAAAAGTGTTACGTTAGGTGTTCGTTCTTTTCTGAAGTTGTTTTTTACATGTTAAATTTTGAGCAAATCTAGAGCAAAATAAAAAAATTCTGCATTACATTTTACCACTTTAACATGTGTTGTATGCTTCACACTGTATCTTCTCACATACACACACACACACACACACACACACACACATTTAAGTAAATATCTTGACATCACAAGTAAAAATAAGACTTAAACATGAGAAGCATCAATAATCAAGACAAATACAGAATGTTTTTTCCAATAAACTCATTTATTATGTTGTGGGACAACATTTACAAACCTTACTGTGCAAGTACAGCTGTTGCTGCGTTTTGACGACAGCATGCCCTGAAAACATGGCAAAACATCTCCTTTCTCATTATTGTTAAAAACAACAATCATCTTCCTCGTGTGCTGCAGTTGAAGGCATCAAAAAGCATTTTTCAGTGATTTCATCGATACATTAGCCAGTTAATGAATTTAGAGCTTGCACAAGCGAAAAGCCTGAAGTTCAGCTCTGCAAAATTGCAAGCTGACACAATACTCGATGATCAAAACAAGGTTATGAAATCAGGTATATTTATTCATGTCATAGCTCCTAAGAGGAAATCAACAATTATTCACATAGTATTTGTCGATTAACTCAATGAGTGTGGCCCTCTATGAAGGGGAAAAATAATCATATTTACAAATATAACAAAATAACAGATTCAAGGGATATTTTTGCATTTAACATTCAATTAATGTACAAAGTGATTTTCAGTCACAGCATTCTAAAAAGAGAGGAACAAAAGCACTTGTGGCATTATAAATTAACAATCAATTTCCAACTACATATCATCTGATCTTGATGCTTAATTTGTTCTAACATGTTCAATCCAAGCTATTTACATGCATGTATGCAATACCATACTTGGCTGTTGTTTTATTGCTATAATTTGTAATATATTTTCAAAAAACAAACACTAAAATATTCTCCCATAACTTTATATTTGACAAGAAGCGAGAGAACTAAAACACGAGAGATTCAAGTGAGATAAACTTTTGTGAAAATCTTTCAGTGTTGCATGAAAAACAAAAACATATAGTATTATCTGCAACAGAAAGGAGAGAGACTTAAGGACAGGTGTTAATGGGTCAGTGGCTGTGAAAACCCAACATCAGCAAAAGTGAACAATCAACAGGCGAAGAAATACAATCAGTGAATATACATTCAATTGCAGTGACTAGAGGAAACCTACCCACTGTGAGCTAAATGAAGACTATGTCAGGATAAGGCTCTAATGGTCTTTATCATTCCTTATAAAACACCCAGAACAGCTTATGAACTGAATGGAAAAACAAAAACCCTGAAAGGAACAACAGAACAATGTAAGCACGAGTTTAAGTCTGACATGTCAAGTTAAATCTGACACAATTATCACCATATGAGGGCTTTTTTTGTCCAAAAGATCAAACGTTTATCAAAAATTTATGGACCAGACTCTAACAGGCAGAAATAATTAATTATGGTTATAAAAATGAATCCATGAATCCATAGTGGCTTTCATATTAAGGCTGCATGGCTAACATTGCAAGACGATTTGTCATGACTGTCATATCCCAGTGTTTCGTTTCAACAACATATAAATTCACACACAAAGTTCATCGAGTCTTATCTAATATATATACTTGAATACCTATTATTTTTGTAACAGCATAAATGGGATTCTAAGTAACATATTTTACACTGACAGCAATTTTTCTGTTTATGTGATCTTCCTTGCCTGGAATCATCTGGAAACCTGTGGTCAATTTCCACCTTAGTTTCTACGAGGGTCAAAGCAACAATATGTCAGGTGGTCCTTTTATGATCTGAAACCTCTCCTCTTTTCCCGTCTCCCACTCCAGTCCAGTCTTCGCCAGCAGGGAGGAAAAGGTTGAAAATAAGGCTGAACCTTTTTCCAGCCGCACTGTCATTTCTCAATAAACCACTTTCTTGTTTCTTCACATTTGTTACATCTGTGATAACTCACTACTGAATGGCTTCCACATAGTTAGCAGGATAGAGGCCTGTCTCTCCACCCTTGAGCCGGCCTTTGCACCAACCCTGATCATCTTCCTCACCAATTTTGGTAAATTCATCCCCTGAAAAAGCAAAAACAAATAGATAAATACAAAATACTCATACAGGAATGAAAGAAATTTAGCTTTTTTTGTAGTCTCTGGAATTTTCACTCCATTCCTGCCATGTACCTGCTTTGAAGCTCAGCTCATCCTGCTCCTGTCCTTCATAGTCATAGAGGGCTCTGACCGGCACAGATACAACCGGAGAAGCCGGCTCCTCCTCAAATGGATTTCCATCACCGTTGGCAGAGAATGGGTTACCACCTGTGTCTTCATCCGACCAGTCTGGAGTCTTCTCCGTACTGCTCACACTGGATAGACAGACAAAACAGCCACTTAGAAATTGTATTTTCATGTATATCTCAGGGCCTCATACTTCGACGGGACAATCCAGCATGCCAGGCGTAAGCAGGAACAAAAGTTCAATGTTAGAAAAGCGAGAAAAATAAATACAACACCAAATAAAGTACAAAACACGCAAAAAGCCCAAAACGCTTCTCCAAAATCCTCGGACAGCTTTGTGATTTATCCTGAAAACAACTTACTATCAGTTCTAAATAAGTGGAGAACATGCTTGTGTATGACACCAGTGCTACAAGGCAGGCATTTGTTTCAGGCAACATGACAGATGATTTAAAAGTTGCTTTGATGCCACTTTAAGATCAAGAGCTGAAAGTGAAAGTGCACACGATGCTAAGGTAAGGCAATGCAACAAAACAACATGACGACATATCAAAAGGCACATGAAAAATACAGTAAAAGGGCAAGACAAATCATGTTTGTGAATGCATGATTGGAGTTTAACCTGAGCGGCCAACAGAGGGAGCCACCTATACACCAGAAAGAACTCGGCTTTGACAGACACACAGTTGAAAAACAGTAAATGCACACCAGCACACACACAAATGATTTACAGTCAGACCTGCTCGCTGCTGCAAACTACTACTGTTGACACTGGTTTAGTTGCTGAATTCTTATCTTAGTTGATTTACTTAAAAAAAAAAAAAAAAAAAGTATGATATTTTAATCGTTCTGTTATGAATTTGTATTTGTATGTACATTTCTTTGTTTTACCGCCTGTTAATTGTCTGGCAACCGTGACCAACTGACAACCAGCCTATGTACAGATGTATACATGTGTCAACATTCAGATCTGACTGTAAGACAGAAACATGTTGGCGTCCCGCAGCAGAGACATGCGCCCCCATGCGCATCACATGTGATGTTCTGCAAGACATGGCCCTGTTAGGAGTCAAGGACAGACACACAATGGCTTTGTGTGCAATGCCATTCCAGTGACCATGCAGAGCAACACAACAACCTGCCACCTGAAGGAGGAGAGAGGGATACGAGGAAGAAGGGAGCAAAGTAACTAAGACAAAGTAAGAGCGGGAGATGAGGAATGAACAGCGATCCATGTAGCAAAGATAGAAGAAGAAGAAAAGGCGGGAAGGTTGCGGGTGGGCGGAGTGTTTTCTCCTTGTTCACCAACGTTTTTATTTCCTCTTTATTGACACTGATGTGGTTGACTGTGGTCTGCTGCTCCACGGCCATTTCCTCTTCTTCATCCTCGTCCTCGTCAAAGGGGTTCGAGCCCACTGGCACCGTTTTAGTGGGCACACTCAGGCTGACAACATGGGACACAGTGAGAGATGGGTTGTTGACATGAACACACACATATAAATACACACTTGTGACATACATGACTTGCGGACAAAGCGGGGCTGTTTCATACTGTGACCTATTATAACACAAATATACAGAGATGCAATATATATATATATATGAAATGCAGACACACCAGAGGAGCTGAAATGTTCCATTAACCTTTCATCAAGCCCCCCCTCTGCACAGCAATTGCCCAATTGTACTTGTTTGTGCTCTAATATAGCTGCAAACATTAGCATACAGTACAAAGTAGTTAGCATAGCATGCTAGCTACTGTTGGTAGGCTAATATGGCGAAGTTTAAAACAGCTGTAAAAGCTATTTTTCTCCGTTTATACACACGTGTATGTTTTTCCTGTGTATATGTATATGCTGTATGTGTATATGCAATATATATATATATATATATATATATACACTGTATATATATATACACACACACACAGTATACTTGCTTTTATGTGAATCTCCCATGGAATGAGAGTTACTACCAGCATTTTATTTCTTTATGTCTTCTACACAGATTGAATGCTGACTTTTGGACTTTAGCATTAGTGTCAGTCTTTTAGCACAATAGTATGTTTGTAGCCAAGTACACCAAGTTATCCAAGAAAGGGATCCAACATTGGCTTAATTTGTTAGCTACTACCGCTGATCAAATCTATGCTCTCAGAAATGACATCCCCTATATTGTCTGTCTGGAATCAAGAACCCAGTTGTTTCAGAAATTACTAAGAACTTTGATATCAAATCCCCCAGAATTGTCACTGTAAACATGAATATGAGCCACACAACAAAAGAAAGCTTGACAGGCGTAGCAACAGTAAATAAGGGGGGTGGGACTTTGTGAACGGTTAACTGTGAGATATACAGTATGATGAGCCAGTAATTACTGTACTTCTATGTAATAATAATAATGTACAAGGTATTACGATCAGTGAACAAAACAACTGTTTTAGACTAAACACAGAGAGAACAGAAGACAATTTGCCTTGTTCTGTACTTGAATGTTTCCACTAAAACCCACAGCTCTCACACCTCATAATTGATACAAAGTAAGGAAGACATTAAGAAGACACTGAGTGACACATATCACACTTTGTCAGCTCTGAGTTGTGTAGGTGTAAATTCTTTCTGCAAAAGTCACATGAGGGCCTTTTACTTCCTACCATTGTGACTTTCCACATCAAGGAGCAAAATTTGCACTAGACCTGTATCAGAGGAAACACAGGGTTTCAACTCCCTGTTTACAGAATTATTGGTCCATGAACAGCGGTAGCTATCAGTTGGCCCTCGAGAGAGTGAAGTGGAGAAATGTGAACGCCTTTGTTTGAATAGTCATGCCATGCTCTCTGAGTTGAGCCCCAGGAGTTTTTACACCAAACACTGTTCTAGTAAGGGGCTAGCATAATGTAACTTTTGATGGTTTCGGTCAACAAACAAACTTGACCTTGTGACTAAAACCTAAGTATTCAAAGAGTTGTATTACTGTCTTCCTGTGAGTGTTCAAACCATGTTCATTCAAGCTCCAGACTTCAAATGAGGGAACACCCCAAAAGGCCGAAGATAAGTTGATAAGGATGATGGCTGACTTTCTGATGCTGAAAAACAAACTACTGAAACTACTAAAAATCAAGATAAGTCCATCAACCGTCACTATTTTTGACCTTAAGCCAGAGCTCTGTGACTATAGAAAGACAGACATCTTATTTCAAATTGCTCCACATTAACCCTTTTCACCTCCATTCACATACACAAACTATTTTACTTCCAAAGATGTAGGAAATGGCAGGAAAACAATGCTGTGTGTAAATGCTGGTTGGGGGAGCATCATAGCATTCAGCCTTTTCCAAGTTCAGAGGTCAAATGCTTTCCATGCCTGACATTCCCTTTGTTGACTCCTCTACACACTCCTCTCTCATGATTTCAGCATACACCCCATTTCCTGCTGATGTGTGGATAAGGGCAGACAGCAGGTGTTTGAATGTTAAATTAAGGAAACCTCATTACCCACCAACAAAGGAATGTGAGGAGTTAAGGCCAAGTGATTGTTCACTTGGGAAGTCACAGCCAAGTGTGCTTAATTCCTACTAAGTATAACACAATAAATATACCACACATAGGAACTCACACTCTTTCCAAATTTGTCTCTGTGCAATAACATTATGATGTGTTTTTTTTAGCATGATGGGTGCATGAAAGGTTTTTATGTTAATCAGCTGTTTGTTGCTGTTTCCATGAACCACTGTTATGTCCTTGGTGCTGTTGCCACAACAACAAAGAGCAATCTCCCTGCAGGGACAAATTACTTCTTATCTTATCTCGGCTTAAAAAGATTACATCATGTTGTTAAAAACAGCCAATCAAACATCAAGTGGCTCTAAACCTTGTAGAAAAGGTTAATGCCATTATATTTATTGAGATTATTAGTTCAAATTATCATAAATCCTGCATTTGAGATCAATATAGGAAGACAACCAGGTTTTTGTTGTTAATATTTTGCTTAAATCTCAAACAAGGTGGTGAATTATAGACAGTTTCTCTTTGCTGTGGTGGACTGAGAAACAAATTAAGTCCCATCTGATGCCTGGTTGTGTCTGATTATAAAAAAAAAAAAACCTATAAATAATGGTCTTTTTGTAAACCCGAACTGTCTGAAGCCAAGTGCAGCTGTTTCTGACTTAAACAGGACTAACCCAGCCTTCTTTGAACTTTCCAGTACCAATATTAACTCTATGAATGTCTCAGTGTGTATGAGTAATATTTCCACATTACTTTTGGCACCCTTTCAGTTATGTACCAGCAGACTACAGTCTCTCGGGGATGACTTCTTTCCCAACAAACTGTAACAAAATGTTTACTGTTGCTATGGAAACAGCCGCACAACTACATGTCACTCCCGGATCTTCCCTTATGCAACGTTTTACAAGCATTCCTTAAGAGGAAGACGCTGTCTGCAGTAGACTTTCTCAGATGAGGGAAGTTTGTGTGTTTGTGTGTCTTAACAACAGATGTTACGTTTCCTGTGTGTTTGATAAGAGACGATGAGTCAGTGAGCGATTATATATCTACCTGCTGCTCGTCTTGGCAGGCTGGACTGGCTGGTCTGACCCAGTCTGGCTGATGCCGGTCAGTGTGACGCCCTCTGACGGCTTCTTCTTTTCTCGTCTGCTGAGGGTTCGGTTCAGGTCTATGGACCAGTCCTGATAGATACACACACAGACACACATTACAGTCAGATATTTCACCAGCTGACTGGGTGGTTTGCAGTTTGGTTCAAAACATGCCTTCGCAGCTAGTAGTGAGAGAACACCTCACAGACATGTGCACAGCAAAATACACACACTTCAACACAGTCCAACAATCAGTGGATCATTTCTCAGGCTGCGACACCGACTCTGGATTTTGTAACTGTACATGCACGTGTACAATTACAGTTCATATAGTGCAGCGTTTGCCTGATAAAATGAGAGATACAACCAAGTACAGCATCCATCACCTGCTGAAAGAAACACAGCACCAAAGGATCTCCCCTCCACCAGAGGCTAACAAGGGAGAATGGAGCAAAAGAGCAACAGCAACACTGCCACAGTAAAAAGAGACCTCCATTAACAATAATTAATTTGGTTTTTATAAACTTATACGATGGTGGTGGAAATCACTAGGATCTATCACAACATGGCAGCATGATTTCAATGTTGTCGTGTTGAAGCTAGACCATCTCAAATAAATGTCCGTAGGTCAGACACCAGTTGTAATGTCCCTCTTAAATTACACATATTAAAGTAAGTGTGAACTCCAAAGGTGCTTGTCTGACCCCTCTGATTTACCAGGCCTCCCAAACCTTTAAAGATCAAAGGTGTTGCGGTCTGGCTGATGACCTCTGAGACTGTGACATTACTGAGCTGTGGTAGCATCATGTGACGTACTGCAGGGTTCACATGGACAACACTAATGATTGAGGAGGGCCACAGAGGGGTCAGAGTTTAAAGGTTTAAAAGAACAGATTCGAGCTATGTTAATAGTGCTATAGAGTAATTCTAGGAATCCTGATATCCAGGAAAAGCTATGTGAACATCCCTGAGAACAGGACAAGGGAGCGTTTTATAATTCTCATTATAATTCTTTCAAACTTGAAGACAAGATACAAACACAACCACCTCAAACACACACAAATGGAAGAAGTAAGGAGTGTTAAGTGTTAAAAAAAAAAAAAGGATCTCCCCCCATGGCTGCTGTGAAAGAACAGCCCTCCCATGCAGAACTCACTACAATGGACCTTCTCTTAAAGGAGCGAGGATGGGACCAGTCCAAATTCTGTCAGACACGGGGGAAAGGATAGCAGGTGTAGAACAGGGTTAATGCGAATAACAAATACTAATCCTAAAACTGTAGAGTACACACTATAAGCTGCAGAGGTGTTAGTTTGTGAATGTAGCAATGACCTAGGAATTACTTCAGCTTATTTAAACAGTTATATGTATAAAAGAGCCAGTAGCTTGCAGAAGTAATTAAGATGTGAGCATGCAATGTTGTTTTAGACATCCAGTCTATTAGTTTATTGTGGCTCTTCACTGTTTACACTGTCTGATAGGTGAAGTCGGTGTATTTTGTCACAGAGAAGATTTAATCCTCTCTATAAAAAGTCTTCCAAAAACCAAGCAGCACTGAGAAAGAAAAACAGCCCTGAATGACTGAAGTGGAAGAAGATCCCCCACTGGAACAGCCTGCTAAAGCATTCAATGGCACTATAAATTGTAGCATAGTGAGCACATGCAGCTTTTCTTTGCCTTCCCTTCCCTTTTTCTTATTTCACCTCCTGCTCAGAAGATGACATAAACTACATCCCTCTCCCTGCCATTCTGACGGCTGGGGATAGATTTACCTCCCCCCTGCTGCCAAACAGCACACTTCAATGACAAAAATGTCACCGGGCTATAACTCCTGCATGGCCTGGATGTACTTGGCAAAAAGCTGTGGCAGTGCTGCCCTTCAAGTTTTTCTCCTCAAACAATTTTTTTCAGTATCACACATCCATACTCCATTAATCTTGTCCTCCTCACTGGTGATTCTCGCAGTTGGGCCACAGAGAGAACCACAGGTCTTTATAAGGATAAAAAAGGACATTCAATTCATTCATAAGTACCCTTCTAAACAATAATAGGTTTATGACATGAAAATGTTTTGGGAACCTCATGAGAGCCTGTTTAGATGATACTGCCTGCCTTCTCTTATTTTAAACCCTGTCATTAGTATAAATCTGGGCTGCTCTACCTCAAACTGGGGCCAGTTCATTGGCATGCCGGGGCCGTGATTGGACCGGAACCATTTCAGGTCCTCCTCAGCATCAGTAGCAGAGACTGTGTCTTCCAGTGTGTGGTAGACTGTCTGGAACCTATGGTGACGATACAGAACAGGAAACACACATTATTTTGTGAGTAATTTATTACATCTTTGACAGACATGTTTTTGGGACAATGTCATATGTCTGACCTGTGATTGGATGAGAGGTCCAGGTGCTGTTTAACCTCCAGAAGCAGCTCTCTGAAAAAGCGGATGCGTTTGTCTTCAAACTGCTGCCACTGCTCAAACACCTGCTCCATGTTCTCCATGTACTGAGGAGTCAACTTGTCGAGCTCTTCAAGAGATTTCTCGTAGCGCTCCTTAGTCTGAGAGAAAAGGAAGAATGAGACAACAATTAGAACACATGAAAAATATATGAATTTGTATTCTCATAATACAGACATACAGTACATACCTAGAAACTGATCTTGGTCTAAAACACTTGCACGTTTTCAGAGATGCAAAAAGAAAAAGAGAATTTTACTACGCCGCCCCATCCCTGTGTACTGGAAGCCCTACCTTCTGCGCCTCCTGCTGACACTTCTCCACCTTTTCCTGGAGCTTCTTCTGGGCTTCAGGATTGTTGTTGCTCTCTAGTTTGCTGTTGGTCTCCCTGCTGGCTGCCAGCTTCTCCTCTTTGCAGGCAGAATGATACGATTTCTTCATTGTCTCTACCTGTGGATTCCATTTACAATCATCAGTAAGCTAAAAGACAGGAAACAGCACCAGCCCCTTCACGGTTAAAGAACCGAAAGGGCCGTCCGAAGCGGGAGTCGAACCGGGGGCCAGCTGCAGCGAGGACTGTAGCCTCTATATATGGGGCATGACTTCTTATGTTATTTTCTATTTCTAGGATTACAATGAATTTCCTTCTCTGACACATTTCCTAATTCGGATGCTGCAATGAATGAATAACCTGGATCACACTTCATATACAGTAACCAATGCAGGTGTGGCTGGCAACATGTGAACATTGATGCTTGTTACGTTTTATATGTGACGCATTCATGATGAGATGGAAACAGCCACTCCGGTACCACTTAGTTTATATTTTAACTCCAACAGATAAGAATTGAGGAAGCAAATTCATCCAACCAGGATCTATTTGTGGAGAGTCTTGGGCAGTGCCCAGTATAACTTGGGCCAAGGCCAGAGCAGCCATGCACCCATTCAACAAACAATGTGGACATAAGGAGGACACTTAGAATAGAAGGACAACAGCATGTCCGTCTCTTTAATCTCCTGTAACAGGCAGTTACAAATTCTTCCATTCATGTGAGTAAAAATCAAAATGTCAGTCCACTAAAGCACGAGGTCAAACACTGTACCCAGTTCTAACATGAGTGTGTTTGTTATTGACATTGTGCCTACATCACCAATGTCAGCTACTGCTTTTCTAGACCAGTTAATTAGCCTCATTTCCTCTCTGTCCTCCACCACTTGTCCTTGTCTGTCTAGTACATCAATAAATCACTATGGCTACAAAACTGTATTGTTCTGTCCCTGTTCACTGACAAGACCAGGATGTCACCACCCCCCTGGTGACATCACACACACAGGAAATGGGGGAAAAGAGCCTGAAGGTTGCGAAATGTTCCGTGGCTTTGAATACACAAATATTTGCATGTACATGCGTATAAGAGCAGGAATGTGAGTGCTGCCAAGAAAACAGGCTGCTAAAATGAAAGCAGTTGTAGGAAATACACTGACCTTATTTTGAACTAAGTGGTGCCAGCCCCCCCTGCAAGCCCTCAGTGTTTCCTTCCCTTCTACTGACAATCAAAGTCTGACAGGATAACTGGCTGCCACCTTGGCACACTGTGACTGATGTTTGGCAATCACTTCTCATTTAAGTCAGCACTAAAGAGGTTACAATTGTCCCTGTGCTCTTTTGTTGTCTAGTAAGCAGGTAGTCATGGAGAGAAAAGAAACAATGGTGAGTCAGTAATACGTAATCATGTGAAATGAAGGGTAAAATTGATGTTCATGGCTGTAATCAGTGAGCTGAAAATGGATTTGCTTGTGTTAACTGCTTCCAACTATAAACATCTAGTTTATAGTTGGAAACACAGTTGGTGGAAATGATTTCCTACTTGCTAGTAACCACATGTTATACTATTTCAGTATCCTGAGTTCATTAGAAGTCTGAAATCCACACCTCTTTGAGTTTCTTGGCCCAGGGTTTCTGAGCCTTGCGGAAACCGTCCTCAGCCTCTTTAGTCTCTTTAAAGCCACCGATCATCTGTTTGTGGTAGGAGTCTCTCTGCCAGTTCTTTAGCTTCTCGTAGTCTTCTCCCATCAGTGCTGCTTTCACCTCCATGTGGAGCTCGCTCACCTTCTCCGCCTCTGTGCACAGCGCAGACCACGCCCGCTCCAATGTGCCATACTGAGGACCTGGACCAAGAGTTATTCAGCTGTCAGTGTTTTCCCATTGATGTCGATGCATTATTAATACTCTTTTTATTTCATATTTAATATTTCTATTATCTCTAAGAGAGCAAAGAGCACAATGTTTATACTATGTTTTGTCAATATTATAAAAGTATTGATTCTGGAAATTTGTGTTTTTTATTTATGTACCTTTCTCTATGAGTTGCCGCCAGCGCTTTCCCCATTCTGTGAGCTGCTGTGCGTACGCCTTTTCAATACGTGCCCGCTCATGAAGACAGCTCATCAGATCGTTACAGAGCCGATTGCCATCGTCTACCCGTTTCACTGTGCGCTTGTAGTTACCAACCTGAGAACAAGCAACAGAGACAGAGAGGTAAGAAAAGGAGGTAGAAGATACACAGGAAACGTGGAAGCGCAAAGGAATTTACGTGTCTCACCTCCCAGAAGCTATCACTGGAGACATCGATCATGGAGTCGTCGTAGGAGCCCGACATCGCTGCTGCCCTAAGTTACACTCAGTGTGTAGGGCCTGGAAAACCACAGAAAGGTATGCAGAGTGTCAACATAACTGAATCTGATAAACACAACCTGTCCACTACACAAAAACACACAACTACATTGAATTTCTACAGCAAAATGTGCAGAAGAAGTGTTAATAACATTACAGTGTCATACCAGAAATGTTCAGTGAGGGAAACGTCTGGTATAACACCTGCAGCAGTGCTAAAACGACTTGTGAATTCATTAATCAATTAACTGACGGAGAGAATTAAAAAACTATCATTTTAATATTCATAATTATTTAATATTGATAATCTATTAATTGCTCTATTCATTAAAGACAGGTTATAGGTTATAAAGACGAGTAATTATTGTGTTGCTTCTGGTCATTTTCCATAACAAATTTTAAACAACAGATGTGAAATCAATTATAAACTGGATCAAACCTACATGTGCATATGGTAGATGGTAGATATTATAATTATGTATTTTTAGCTTTAGCTCTGTCTGGGTTGATCAGGTTCTGCTTAAGTACACCATGAGATAAGTTGACATTCAAGAAAGTGGAGGTATTAAGAGATACACAGCAAAGAGGAAGGGAAACACACTTTTTCATGAGTCCATTACACACTGTCTAACTCTACATGTACAGTGAAACCAACAGCTAAAAACAACAATGTCAAGCCAACACAGCATTCCTCAGAGACTACAGCTGCAGATCACAGAGAAGAGGGTGAAAGTTAAAAAAAGAAATAGTTCAGAGGAGTGAAACAGAGAGAGGAAGAAATGGAAAGGGAGTGACAGTGTGTGATCTGGTTTGATGATCTAGGCAGCAGGTGGGTGTTTTCATCCATTTCTATAACCTCACCACCCTCAACACAAAAAACTCAAAGCACAGTGGTTTCTGGCAGCACACGGAGTCTAAGCTGAACTACGTGTGTGTGTGTGTGTGTGTGTGTGTGTGTGTGTGTGTGTGTGTGTGTGTGTGTGTGTGTCATTCAAAGAAGAAAAAAGAAACTCTGTAGAAGCACCCAGTGGGCAGCTTCCGTTTCCTTCAGACTGCTTCGACAGACAGTCCTCTGTTACTCTTCTCTTCCCCTCTTCCCCACATCCATCATTTCAAACTCAACAGCCCCCCAAACAGCCTCTCTTTATTCATCCCCTCATTCCTCTCCTCCCTTCTCCTCCCAGCCTCGAGCTTCTTCTCCTCTCTCTGCGTCTCCCCTCTCTCTCCTCCGTTTCGGACCGAGTATCTCTTGTAACCAAATATATTCAGATTGTGGTTACGTCCAGCTGAGACAGACTGCAGCTGACACCTCGCATCGGAGTGCAAATGCTTCTCAAGTGACCACTCAAGATCCGATTTTACTTTCCAGCTCCCATTCGATCGTACCTCTAAAGAAATTGCTGCCACGACAAGGAATCGAAAAACATTAGCGTTCAATAGAAGTAAAACAATTAATTAATCAGTAAAGAGAAAATGAATCAGTGACAACATCTATTAAATAGTGATGGTCATTTGTCATTATTATTAGGATTATTTATACAGATAACAGACTAAGCTTAAAAAATGACAAATTTTTGGTTTAATAATAAACCTGCAAGAAATTTAGATTTAAATATCCAAAACATTATTTCTAGACTCTAAGTCTTCTTGATATCAAAAACTATTTTTCTGTTTTTAAAAATAATCCCATTTGAATAAGAGCAAAGTAAATCCTCTCACTTATCTCTGTTTTATTCTTTAGACTGGTCTGACACAGTCAGTTAAACTTGATATCTGATAAAATTCCCATCCCTAATTCAGAGCAATCCACTTGTGATCAGATAACACCAGATGCGTTTTAGTGCCAAGTGTGAACAGAGCCTCTTTCAGTTTAGTGAGACAGCAAGAGGATGAGGGTTGTTACTGTGTGTGTGTGTGTGTGTGTGTGTGTGTGTGTGTGTGTGTGTGTGTGTTTGTCTATGGTCAGTGGCCCGTGCCCTCCAGGCCAGGACTTAGACAGAGGGTAGTATTGTGGTCACCACAAGCCGAGGAGGCAAATGAACAATCCTCCCTTTAATTGTGTTTGTAGTTTACAATCAGGTCAGTCACACAGTCAAACACACGCGCACACACACACAGAGCCACACTAACAGATGTTGTCTGTCACTGTTTCTAGAGAAAACAAGATGTTTAATTTTACCCAACTTCACACAACTGTGTGTAGAGCATCCTGTGTGCATCAAATACTGCAATAATAACAATATTTTATAAGACGAGTGCTTTAAATTAAATATTTAATGGACACAAAAGATGAGGAATATGATATCTGAGAGAACAATCATAATCTGGACGCAATTGTCACGCAGGAAACAGTTCAAGTAAGTTCATAACATTTTATCATTTAAATTGTACTTTTATCACTTAATTGTAATTGTACAATAAAAAAAAGCAGAAAATACAACATTTAAGCTGCATCAAGTTATTATTTAAGCATTACTTGAAAAACTATATTAGGCACACCACATACAGTACTCTATGTGTATCGGGCAACAGTCCAGACCTTGATTTTTCGTTGCCTCAAGCCCTCACATAGTATACATATGAATGTGTTGTGTGGATTGCCTAATACTCAAGGAGACAAGCAGCTACATTGATCACTGATGACACTGTGTTTGATCATAGTCTGGTTCTGCCAGAGAAGTGTGTGTCTGAGACAAAAAGAAACATGTCCACCAAAAAAAAAAAAAAAGACGAAAAGCTCATACCTGAGCATGAAGATCACACATTATCCGACAGGTGCTGTCATCTCGCTCCTTCTGCCTTTTCCCTACCAGCTGTTAATACTCCTCATTCACCAATCGCTACTGCAGCACACATGGAACAAGCCACAAATATCTACTCTAAACATGGCAACAAACGCTGCTGAGGGGAATCTCCCATTTACAACATGAAAACAGCTGCATGAAATACTGTTCATGTGCACCACTGACCACTTTGGTAATGTAATGTTCCTCTTTTGATTCACAAGAAGGAAGGGCAAGCGATATCATGAAATTCCATATAGTTTCATGTCTCATATACTGATACCAGAATAATATATTGATACCTGACCCAGCTCTGCATCAAGGTGGGTGACTAAACCTAGAAATGTTTTTTTAATCAAGTGATTCTAATGACATGATGGACTATATATATATACAAGTACACAGGTGAATGGAAAATGACCTTGCATAGCTACAACAATGTTTTGGGAATTCCTTCATCACAAAAGCTCTTTCCCAGGTCTTATGTAATCAGTAGCAAACAGGAACAAATGTCTGCACACCCTTGGCTCTGTACGACATGAGGGGACTGTGTTGAACAATTGAACGCAGCTTGACCCAGAACTGTAAACAATGCTGTTGACTAAGCCGAAGTCTGAAGTCCACTCAATTTGTCACTCTTCAGGAGAACACTGGAAAATTCAACACTGTGTGCTGCTATGCACAAGCAACACATGAGACAAGTGAAAAATGCAACTCCTATTTAGCATTGTGTTGATGTCATCTAAATATGAATTGGCACATAAATACAGGAGACAGTCATTCTGGGCAACAAATGCATGATTTCATCAAGGCTGCAGAATACTGGCTGAATAGGGGTTCTTAGATTACAAGCTTAGAGACTACGTAACACAACATTGATATCCACTAACGGCTGATAAGTAAATGTACCGAGCATGCTGGATGGAATTTGGCTGCTGACAACACTCTCAAGATAGAAGTGAACAAATGCATTCCTCAGTGCTACCATGCCTAAACTGAAGCTTGGCAAGTTGAGCAAGTTCCCACACTGACATTTCTCATCTAACCCATTTAACACACACACACACACACACACACACACACACACACACACACACACACACACACACACACACACACACACACACACACACACACACACAATGTATCCTAACTTATTAGAGGGAGGGTTAACAATTCAGAGAGCAGCAGCTGCCTGCAACCGGCGGCCAGCTAAAAGGGGGGGTGGCGGGGGGGGCGTGCAGGGAGTGAGACAGCAAAAGAAAAAGATGACCATGTGTGTTATTAAAAGCACATGGACGCTGAACCTGAGTCATGTCTAAGCAACAGTCATGAGATCCAAGTGACCTTTACAACCGGTGCAGTGAGGGGATAATTCAAGATAGAAGAAGAAGACTTGACTAGAAGGAAGACACAGGCTATGCAAAATGTTGGACAGATGGTGGAACAAATACATCCCTGTGTACAAAACACCAGCAAACTGTCTATTCTCCCCATGTTTATATTTCTCAAAGTGCTCTGGGGGTTGTCACACAGAAACTGTCATGAATGGAGAGGCAGGAAACAACAGGATACACAGACCAAAGAGATGAGCGCATATACAGCTGACAGGCACATGCATGCCTGCCCTAAAGCTGTGTGTGTATGTTTATGTTGGTGGGTGAAAAATATAATCAGAGCGCTAGGAGACCAACCTGAGTTGTCACAGACTGCACACAGACTTTATAAATCACCTTTTCTTTTTTTTTTTAGCACATTATGTTAGGTTATGTTGTTTAAACTTTAGTGAATCAGGCCGGTCACTTCAGACCAAACTCTTATCAGAGTGTGTATAGCAAGGACATCGCCACATTAATGTCACACAATCTTAACGTTTCATTCTGCCTCTTATCAGAATCAGTAAGTGCTGGAGAAGGAAACTGTGTGCAGTAAGTGGAGTTATCCTGAGGGTTGCCGTGTCATATTTGGTTTCCTCACAAATACTTCCCTCCCAGACCTCCCAGTCTCATCCACCTGTTTGTCAATGTGAGCAAGAACCCACAGCTTACATGTTTTGTCTAAATGAAAACATGACTTCCTTTTCCTGGGTTTTAATTACATGCTCTCTTTCTTTCGGTTTTTAATAGTTCAGGAAAGAAACTGATCAGCTCAACATGTCAAAAGAGCTGAGGCAATGTAATCAATAAGTCAAATGACCAGAAAATAAATCTGCAACTATTTTGATAATTCATTAATTGTTAAATACACCAAACATGTTTTTGATTCAGTTTCTCAAATATGAGGATTTGCTGAATTTCATTGTCTTGTACAATTAGTTATTGCCTGTGACATTTATCACAGTCCTTGTTGATGTCATCAGATGTCTTGTTTTGTTCGACCAACTGTCTAAAACCTAAACATATTAATTTTACAATAATATAAAACAGCAGAAACCAGCAGATTCTCGTGTTGGAGAAGCTGAAACTTAAAATTCTTTTGCACAAAAATGGCTTAAACAATTAATCAAATATTAAAATAGCTGCTGATTACTTGTCTGTCTATCAAAAAATGGATTATTAATTGTTGCTGCTTTAAAGTCACCTTTCTTGATCTTTTTAGAGTGTGGGATGGACAAAATAAGCTAGTTGAACAGGTATTTTTTTTTAGTATTTTCTGACATCTTGAAGAACAATCAATAATCCAGGAAATCAGTAGCAAATGAATCCATCATGAAAATAACTGTGTAACTGAGTGGTTGCTCTACTAACCAGTACTTGAAATTCGGTCATCAGTACATATGTTAACCATGGAGATTAAAAGGAAGAGAGTGTGATTACATAAGAAGCAAGCTACTCTAAGCTAGCACACTACTTCGCCAAAGTCTTAATGTCTTAATCACATGAAAATTTCTCATCTGACCACGGGTGATTTTTTTTGTTTCCATTTCCTTCATTTGTTGCATTAAACGCCTGCAATATCTCACAGGCGGAGAGTGCAGCTGAGCTGATCTATCCCTTCAATATTGCAGTTTCACAGCAGGACATTGCTAAATCCCGACTGGGCTATGAGAGAAAAAAAAATACAATCATTCCTCTGCCTCTTTCTCTCTTGTTGTACATAAGCTTGAAGGTCAGAAGTTTCCATGGCCATCACAGATCATGACCTTGATTTTATTTCCCTGTCAGTCAAGCACCTCTGCCCTTCTTCCTCATGTGAGCTCAACAGCTGCACAGGACTGCTGATGTCACAGGAGTACAGCCTTTTTAAATGTAGAGTTTCTCCATTTCAGACTCCAACCTATCCAGCCTTTATAGAGATCACTTACAGAGCTTCATACTACAGTTAAGAGGCTCCAAAACACAAGACAATGAAACCATTGGTCCATCAACACCAGCTCAACTGTAGCCTCGGCATAACTGACCAGTCCGCCTGCTCAAAAACCCTTTGCTCCACGGTCAGGGAAAAACAATGGCATTTGTTCCACACTTTCAGGCATTTTCCACTGGACACGCCAGCAGCATGGAGAGGAACATAATGGAGGGAAATTCAGTATTACATGACAGGGAAGGGGAGATCCTTATGTCACCAATGGGTGAATACTGCAATTTTTCCTGTGGAAGCCCCTGTCCTGCACACAGAGCAATGTCTCATGTGACGTATTTAAGCTGCAGACTTTTCAGGAAAGTGCCATGAACGCAGTTCATCAGCTCACCCTTTGACCTTTCAACCTCTGTTGTGTACAAATTAGTAAGTCTCTCACAAAGACAGAACTCACAGAAGAATTTCACCTTTGACTTAAGCATTTAAGATTTCCTGAAGACTCTTTACAGTATTTACAATAACCAGAAGACCTCTGAATAAGGGATGCAATGAACAGCGATTTTCATTATTGAAGCTATTCAGCTTATCATCTTTGAAAACTAAAAAAAACAGCAAATATTCACATTTGAGATGTGGAGAACACTCACAATTTGCTATTTTTGAATTAAAGAATTTATGTCAATGTTCAATCAATTATCAAATATCTAAAGTTAAAGTTTCCATAGATCAACTTATCAATAAATCAACTAAATGTTTCAGCTTTGATAGTATTTCTAGTAATTTTGGGGAGTCAGATCTGTGAGCGCCAAAATCAGTCTTTCTACTTTCTCATAACCTTGGATTCTGTCTTTTGTTGGAGCAGTTTATCTTCATTTATACCAACAGAACTCGCCAAGGCTACAGGAATTACTTGATTAATTCCGCTGGACAATAGCTCATATCCCTTTAACTGCTTAATGTGTGCTCTTGGAGAATACACAAATAAAGATCCCTCTAACTGGAGAGTATTGCCTTCAGCCTAAACTGGAGTACCCATTCTAAGTTTAACTCTGATCTGAGCAGGAGCAATCTGTCCAAATGCCTCCCCTGAAAAGGGGAACCAGCAGCTTTTTCACAGAGCTTTCACTACTGCTTTATCCTGACAACACCAATCCTCCTACAAACACAAACCACATAGACATAAACCCCCCTTACTGTCAGGAAGCATGAGTGCAATGACTGATAACTTCCACTGATTCATTCATTACAATACCATGAGTATTGACTATTTGTCATCATCAGGGTAAAGTCCAGGTTCTCTGTTCCCTGCTTCAAGTGATTAACTACCTCGTTCTGACAAGGATCTTACTGTGAATACAGAAATATTACAGCTTCCAACACCCCGAGTCCAACAAAGCAGCTAACATTTCTCTCTGTAAATGTAAGTTGGGTTAAATAACAGTACAGGAGTCAGGAGTGAACTTGGCAGCTTCCTGGCACTGCGCAAATTATAGCACTGACTGGACTGAGCACAGACAGCAGCACAGGCAGCTACGACAATGCAGCAGAAACCGAGCTGGTTCTCCCTATAAAAAATGATAAAAGTACGTGATGGTGTGAGCATTGCATGCAGGATGATATGACACGGACTAGGAGGTTATCTTTACTTGCGAAACCTGCCCCGCCCTTTATCACTCCAGGCAATGAAAGACTAGTGTCTCCCGGCGAAAGCTAAAGAGCTTGGTTAAAATGTCTTGAGGTAATTTACATGAAGCAACCTGGGTCATAACAACCTTGAGTCCGACATTAATTACAGTGGCATTTGTAAACTTCGACCTAACGGTGCCAGCTTAAGTCTTTGGACTTCTAATACCCTGAAATACCCAAGTTACTCCAACCGTGTTTCAGACACAGTCAATGATGAACTAGTTCAACTTCAGTTTTACATCTAATTACGTATGTGAAATGCCTCAAGCACAGCCATCATTGTAGCTTCCACCTAATTGAATTATTTCAAGTTTTGATAACCAATACAGTATCAACCTCCTACCATCGGGAAGTAACTTAACTTTAAAGGTTAGCCCCCTAGCTCTAACGTTAGCGAATTAGCCAATGCCCTTAAAGTAAAAAGTTAATGTGTACATAGCAAAAGTCTCCGTGTAGACTTACTTGAAACAGGTTTATTCCTCTTGAGAGTTTATGAGTAACAGGATAATTAGTCCTCTTCTTGGTGCCAATTTACAAATCTTTTCGCCCGTTTTTCTACTCAGCAGCGGCACCATCGATCGACTGACTGACACTGCCGTCAGTTAGTCAGAGTGCGGCAATACACAACCGGTTAAGATTTTCAAAATAAGACCAATAGCAAGGGAAGTTTCGTTGTGTGTATATAATACAAAGTACCAACTTGTACTGTAATTAGTACCATTTTGAGGTGTTTGGACTAAATTGACTATTTCTTTTTTCTGCAATTTAACAAAAAAAGGTAAGCCAGTAACTGTGCAATACAGTATATCAGATATAAAATAAACAATTCAAACATACAATGTTCTCATGTGTTGATAATAGTCATATCTCTTCTGCTGTTTATTAAGTAGCTAAAACCAGCCCCACCCTACAGCCCCACCTAGACCAGCTACTTGATACATTAGAATATTTCTTACACTCTTATGAATCAGTAACATCTAGTAATATATAATAATTAATTTCCTTTAAGGGTCATTCTGTAGCATAATGTGTATATATACCTCTGCTATTTTAAGTAGATTTTGAAAAATTTTCTGTACTTTTATTTAGATAAGATTTTGCACAATTTTTACTGATATCTTGTTGTTGGATTATTTCTACATTGTTGTATGACTACTAAATATAGGATCTGAATTTCATTCTACCACTGAAAAGTACATACATAAGTAACAATAGTATTGGAAAATATCTGGAAGTATTTTGCAGTTAAAGACGATCTAATACAGCCATTACTTAAATATAACTTAAAATAACTGATTTATAATCAAATATAATGTTACCTGAATAGTATACCAAACAACATGAAATCTTGTCTGGTAATTTGATTACGTCTGTTTAAGAAGAACTAGTGACACAGTTGTATATTGAGATTAAAAATTGATGAAGCCTCCAGGATGAGGGTTCAAAACCTTTATTTTGACATTATTATATTTCCGATCTTGCACTATTTAAGACCGATGAGCTTTATGCAAACTATGGAGAGGCGCGCCTGTCTGACGTCACATCCCTTGAAAACTTTTTTTTTGTCACTTTATCCAGGGGCACTCTGAATGGTTCCCTACAGGAGGAGCCCAAGGGGCCCTAGAGAGGCTTCTGGGTCTCGTTTTGTGAATGTTTGTTAATGAAAGTCAAAGTGAGATTATCCCTCTTTGGGACCCTATGTTCCTTACGCTCTCTCTGTGCATTGTGTATGTACCCCATCACCTTCAAATGCCCACAATGTGCACACTGCAGACTACACGTGACAACATTAAATTTCAATTAGAACCCCAGCACTATCTGCTGAGTGTTTGCTATATGTTGTTGTTATTGAAATGTAAATAAAAATATGCACCATTTCACATAAAAGATAGAGGTTTTAAAATTAGAGTCAGCGCCTTGGATAAAGTTTTAAAAATACCAATCTATGGCAACCGCATTCATAAGTTCAGAGTTTATTTATGTGACAGGTCATAGAAAACAGAGCAATCGTGGCACATGTTTAGATGCAAACTGAACTGTTGTAATATAGCATGTTTCCCCATGCACAAATATATGATGATGACAGTGTGCAAACACAAATTCAATGTCTGAGATATTAATAAAGATTAAAGACTAAGAATAAAGATAAAAAACTCAACCGTCTTATGTTTCTCTCTACTGCAAATATAGACACTTTCTTCACTCATGCAGAAGCCATGAACTAATTCTGTAAACGGAACAGCGATATATTTAATGCAGAGTTGTGTAATGGACACTCTTAGATGTACAGTAGTATATTTAAATAGCTAGTCTTTTTTTTATCACTTGCAGTCTGAGGACGTGAGAACTTGTCAACAACTTAGAAAAAGGTTCTTTCTTGTAAATGAGACTCAAACACTTCAAAAATGCTGTAAATAAGCAAACTTCTGCATGTATTTTAAAGGGCCAGTCCACTTTAATTTTTCCACTTATCCCCTGTTTTAAAATATAAACATTTGTGAAGGCAGCACCAATATGGATATTTTATTGAAAGGAAGACAAAAATTAAAATCAATTGAAAAAATGCATTTGTCATACACAGAAATGTCATTACTTCAAAGCTAAAAACATAGAAGCTCTTCATGTCATGTACACAGCATAAGCTGCACAGTTTATAACCACAACAAAGAAAACCAGCAGTGGGAACCTAGCCTCATGTCAACCCAGCTCTTTATTTGACATCTGTTCGATACTCTTCAGAATTCGATCCATCTCTCAATGAATTTGCTCTCTAGCAGAGGAGGATGTGTGCGTCTCACTGACCAACAAAGACGCACACATCAGATAGTTTTGGCTGGAGATCAAAGATAAACATGTGTATGACTTATTTGCATCGTCCACCTGCTTTTCTATGTAGTAACCAGCTGCAGAACCAAGGAGGAAACAACAATGTGGTGGTGAGGCGATGTCAAACTTTCAAGTTCAAGGAGCGGTGCCATGCAGAGACCGACTTTAGTGCCGTGGTAACAGCGAGAACATAGGAGCAGAGGTCATTTGCTTTTTGAAGGATTGACCTCTGAATAATCTACACTCCAGACAGATTAGATTCATCAAAGGCTATAGGGGCCTCTTGCTACAGTGAAGTGACAAGAAATGAAAAACCCTGACTCCACTGTTAGAGCAAATAAAGAGGCCTGTTACATAATCAGTGGAGAATTTTCCTTCTCTATGTTATTCCAAAGCAAAATCAACAAACATTAGTCATACAAAAGCAGCATTTAATTCCACAAATGAGTTTACACAGCAGAATAGGCTTGAATGATACTGTTTCAGCATCAACACCGTACTGTATGCATTTGTAATATTCAAATAAGATAAGACATGTAAAAAGGAAAAAATAAATTATATAAACTATTTTGCTGCGGGACAGAAAATGAAAACGTCCTCATTTCTAATTTTGAATACTAATGTTAAAGACAAATAGTATAGTCCATCTGATTAATAATATAATTAAGCTTGATTTTAATCACAATTTAGTTACAGCCTTTTGTTTTCCCTTGATTTTCTTCTCACCACTTCAAAGAATCAGCCTCTTTTTTCATTTTTTTTTTAACAAAGTGATTTATTAATCAAGATGAACAAACACTTTATACTGGATTAAATCAAAGTGTCACGTTAAAGGGAAAACTGTCCTAATCCCTAATCCCTCCCTAGTCATTGCTTAAATTATAAATTCTACATAAGTTAAATGCTTAATATTCATAGTGAGAATGCAACTTAAATTACTGCATTTACCCAGAAGAAAAGAAAATATCACAATGACCCTCCTCCCCAATACTGTTCAGCCCCACATTAGTGAATTAAAAAGGGGAATTTTTATTCATCATCGGTGGTTCAATATTTCAGTAACTGCAGGACAGTTGGGAGATTATTGTTTTAAGTTAGATTTGAAAATGCACAGCAGATGTGACATCAGCGGTCCAACTCAAAATGCAACATGGGAAAAATCAGTTAAGTGAATAAAGTGATAAAGTGCAACAGCACTGAATATAGTCAATCTCAATGAAACCCCCCACGCATAAACATACCGATAATGAACGTATAAAAAAACATTATATAATTCAATTTAAGGGCCATTATACATTTAGTTCTGTTACGTTAATCTATGTATCAACTGCCTATCAATAAATCACATCTTTATACCTTTTGTGTTATTAGATTTCTTGTTTCTGTCACTGTGTTTTTTCCATACCTCTCTGTTTCCATACAGTTCATCACACAGAGCTCCTGTGTGGTGGGTCAAGTTAAAATGTCAGTACTCAGTAATCATGCATAGTTCAGGTTTTTCATCCGTCTTGCTCGCCTTGGATTTTCTTTTTTTAATTTTGTAACAACTGTCTTTTCTTTTCGTATAACGGCCATTATCCACGTCTGTTGCTCCTATTGTGTCCCCAGCTGTCACAGGGCTCTCACAAGGTTTTCTTATATCAAAGGTTTGTTTGGGTCATTTTTCCTTGTCTATGTAAAGAGCCTGGTTGCTGTTGTTGGGAGAGTTCAAGTGACACTGGGCTTTGGGAGTAAACTTCATTTGACTTGACCTTCATATCAACATAATTTGTACATTTCTGGTTACACATTCATACAAACAGCCACAAACTCCAGCCTTTAAACTCTCCAAATATGACCCCATTATTGACTTCTCTCCCCTTCAGCAGCAGGGTTATTGCCCCCACGTGCCTCAGTCAGTGAAATGTGGAGAGAGAGAAAGAGAGAGAGAAAGAGAGAGAAAGCAGTCCTCCGTTGGATAGTTGGGGCTAAAAAAAAAAGTCTGGGTGGTCCTTCTTTTTTTTATCCCCATGTGCCCCACTGTTGGACCCTGTAATATTGTACAGGAAGTCATAAGAGTCAGCAATATCACCTCACTTCCAGGTGGCGGCAACGGGACGAACGCCTGCACTTCCCTTGGAGCCCTTTGACCCCAGCGACTGACCTGAGCGGCTTCGCAGGTCACGCTCGGCATTCTCGCTCTGCGCCTGCTCCTCGTCATACCTTGTGACACAGAGAAGCACTTAGAGTCAGTGGAGGGCGTAGTAAAGAAAAACATATGAGCAAGTTCCTGTTGCCCCCTCTGCTCGCTGTTACATGGAACAAAAAGGGGATTAACTCACACAATAAGCACTAAGCACACATTATGCTCACAACAATGGGGCTCATGGTGAAAGGACCCCAGCATACATTGTGCAAAGTATCCTTTAAATAAGCGGTCTGCCGCTCCACACCACTACCCCTTCGATAGCTCAGTTGGTAGAGCGGAGGACTGTAGTGGAAATACCAGGCATCCTTAGGTCGCTGGTTCAAATCCGGCTCGAAGGAGTGATTTTTAATTGTGTTCATGTTGCAGCAGTTACAAACAAATTCAGGGCACTTTCATAAGGCACAGCTTCCTCCAGACATGTGAAAGAACTACTGTATGTGTGGAAATGGTGACTGCATGAGTAGAGTTCAGTACCTGTTTGTGACATCTCAACACAGCAGCGAGACAACAAGGCAACAAGGAAAATTAACTTCTACCAAACTTTGGACTGACTAGCTGAAAGAAATATTGTATAAAAATGTTTTCCTAACAAATATTTTATAAGAAAACCAACTTTTTAAAAGACCCTTATCAGATCATTTCCTGAGGTTTTCTGACTGAACAGGCACATGTTGCTTAGGAAAGAGTCCAGGCAGAAGGGCTGATCCTTTTGTGCTAAACAGATGTTGAGCAGTTTGTTTTAACAGATGCTGCTTTTTCAAACTGGATTTATGCAGTGAGTCATGGATCTGTGCCACTGCCACAACAGACCTCCTCTGCTTCAACCGAGCCAAGCATAACCGACATGTTTTCCACCCTCAGCAGCTATCGTTTTTGGTACTGTACTAATGCTTGTCTTTTTGCCTCCATTCATTTAAAGTTTTTCTTAAAGGCAGACTTGAACCAGAGACCTAAGGGTATCTATTGTAGCCACTGCCGTCCTCCTGGCAGACAAGAGTATAAAAGTCACTAGTGGGACCTACTGTGTTAACCAGCCAATAGTTGTAACCTAACAAATCACAACATTTTGGGATATGTTTATGATAATTAGAGTTTAGTTTTGTGGTGTCATTAGATTTGCTCTTGCATGGTTTCAGCTGGTGTATGTTAAACCATGTGCTGAACTACAAACTACATGATGTATGTGTGGCTAACCATCAAGTGACTCAGTTAAAAGTCACTCCTTCGAGCCGGATTTGAACCAGCGACCTAAGGATGCCTGGTATTTCCACTACAGTCCTCCGCTCTACCAACTGAGCTATCGAAGGGTGTGAGAATGACTCATCACAAACCAGTTACAGGGGGGTCACACCTACACCCACTGGTGGACACAATAGTGGGGGGAGTACTCTTTGAGATATTTCACTAAAGTGGTGGACCGGCTGACGTTTCCCTCCCTGGAGTCATGCTGCTAACAAAGCTAAACCACCTCTCCTCAGACACAAACTGTATTTACCTGTTTTCCATCAGCATCTGTCGTAGAGTAACGTAACAAACAATGTCATAATGTTCACAAAAGCTGCTCCATGAAACTGCAGCCAAATGAGGAAAGTAGCAACAGTAATGAGTTAATAACTTTAGTTAGGAAGCTTTACAAATACAGAAGGAGGAGGGAAACACATTCAGGTTCCACAGCACACAGTCAAAAGCAACTCCTTCGAGCCGGATTTGAACCAGCGACCTAAGGATGCCTGGTATTTCCACTACAGTCCTCCGCTCTACCAACTGAGCTATCGAAGGGATGTGTGCCAATAAACGGATGATTCGTAGCATCTGTCCGTGTGCAGCTTTAGCACAGACGACTGCAGATGAATACAAACAGTGCATTACACTGGATCTTTGTGTAGTGGGAGCACTGGTGTTTAGTGGAACATACATAGGAAAAAGCAATGGCAGGGATTGTAACTGCAGAACACAAACTCATATTACATCTGTCTACAGGGACACTGATGATTTTTTTTCATGATATAAATCTAGATCAAGATTAAAGTATTGGAATAAAAAAGATCTGTGGCAGGATTTTCATGAATCTTATGGAGCAGCAATAAACAATAAAGTGTAAAGTCTCAATTCTTCTGTGAATATAATGAACAAAAAAAGTTTTTGAATATAACTGCTTCTCATGTGCTTCTTTTACAATCCAACAAACAGCATCATGGTAAAGTTTTCACAATGTTGAAGAGAAACCAGTGACCCAAGTGAGTTACTCTGAGTCCTGGTTAATAAGTTACAGTTAAAACCGTAAACCTGCTCAGTCACATGGTCTCCTCTGTTTCACAACACAGTTAAAAGTTACTCCTTCGAGCCGGATTTGAACCAGCGACCTAAGGATGTCTACTATTACCTCTACAGTCCTCCGCTCTACCAACTGAGCTATCGAAGGGGCCTGGAGGTTACCAAGGATACATGACACGCGCAGCTTACTCACTGTAACCAACAAACTTTCACTTTAGGGTGATATTTTTAGCTCCTCGCTTCCTTGACTCAGTGTGTCTGAATGTGACTGGTAGATTTCAGTGGCACTCACAGAACTTGATAGTTGCCCAGGGCCTCTCGGGGTGGGCTGCGATTCCAGCGGCAGTCTGGGATGTCCCCGTTGGGTGTGACAATGTTGAGGGTGTCGTTGATGAGGTTGTACTTCAGGATGCGGTCGTTGGCCGTGCTGGAGGTCAGCGAGGGGGAGGCATTAACCTGAGGAGCACAGAGAGACAAAAAAACATGACATTTACATTTGAAGAGAAGGTGTTTTGCATGGAAACACGTGGAGATCCAGTTTAAAGTACTGTGGGATCTAGACAGACATGAGCACATTGTTTAATTTCCTCCCATCCCCCATAGAGGCTCTCATCAGGCAGGAAATGTAGCTGCTAATGTGCAATAAGAGCTGGGCCCATAAACACACATTCAAAGAAGAACTCTAGATACACACTGGAAAACTTACATGGCTGCCAAAAGAGAGATGAAGCAATTATTCTGATATCAAAACACACACACTTCCTTGAATTATTAAAACAAACACAGACTTCTATTGTTATGCATTACCTTTTATGAGAGTTGGCATCCATACATGCCTTCCTAACTATTGTAAGGTCAAACCAAAACAGAGCAAGTAGCAGGAGTAATGAATAAAAGATTTGTGGCACAGGTTTTATTGGTCTGTCACTGAGGAGCGTTAATGCCCTACAACCAACTTGGTGTCGACCGAAATAGATCAGATTGGTGTCTTTGAACAGAAATAGTTGAGACCTAACCTGGAAACCCAGCAATTCATTGTATGGCTGTCAAAAGGAGCGCAGAAAAAGATGACAGCTACATAACAAGAACAATATTCAGATTGTAAAAGAAACACAATCCAACGATGACAAAGGCGCCCTATTTTAAGATAAACAGCAGCCAGCAAATAGCCTGTATCAGCCTGTATTACTTGGTACATGCTCAGTTTTCCCTGTATTTTCAGCTGGAATAAAACGCAGAATGGGTCAGCATACATTTGAACACAGAGAGACTCACGTCCAATTATACACACACAAAGTTCAACCTTGAGGGCATTTAAAGTTGCTCAACAATCAAAGGAAAAGTATGTGGAGTAACTGTGAACACATGAAAAGTGTGTCTTCAGGAACTAGGCAAAGAATACAGCATAGTTTATTGTTTAGTCGATAAAATCAATAAAATTCTTTTTATGTGAGTTTGTAGGTGTGTTTGTGCGTAATAGCTCCTCCTGTTACATTACTCACCTCGATAAGCCACGGCTTCAGCTTGTCATCAATGATGATGTCATACCCGTAACATTCAAAACAGTGCTTGTCGTTGTTCATCACAGGCTGAGGGACATAAGGAAGAGGAATTGACCAGTTAGTGATTGAAATACGTTGGGAACTTTTGAATGTATCAGAGAGTGATTCAGCTGGGAAGGATGTTAGCAAATAGCAAAGTAAAAATACACCAGTGGATGTGGCTATTAGCACACAGCAGCATGTGTATAGAGGCCTTATAGGGGAAGTGCATCAGATCACTAAGTAGAAAAAGGAAGCGTGCATTAAGTTGAGTGCACTGCTGTTCTAAAAACAAAAAGACATCACCACATTGAGGTAACTTTACAGCTGTGTGTTTAAAAGTGTAGGCCCGCTGCAGTCATTAAAGGTCTCACACTTTTAACACCATCCCCCAGCAGGAACAACAGTGTGGTTTAATGTACATGTTAAGTTAACATCACTGTTTCAAGCTGTTGTTTTGCATATACATGGTTTTCATAGGACAAAACCTTATCTAATACATAACATTCAAGATACACAACATATCCAGTGAGTTTAAGTCTCATAATTTGTTCAAACTTCTTAAAATTCTTGTATTTTTTATGATGTCAATCAGCATGTAAAAGTGACTGTCACACACTTCGGACGTGTCTACTCACAGCCACAGCTTTCAGGGACTGCACCACAATCCAGTGGATCTGGTCAAACAGTCGGCTGGTCACCTCCTTTCCTCTGGTGCTCTCTAGGTACAAACGGAGGTTACTGACCGTCCACTTGCCTCCATGAACGTGGTTGTAGTCATCCTGCGTTAAAGGCACACACTCTAACTAGGTACTGGAATTGTTTCTTTTTTGTTCTGGTGCAAAAAGATGTACAGATTGACTTTGAGAAGGATATATTGATACCTGAAATTCATCAGTCAGCGTCTTTGGATTTAGTCAGCAGAAGTTACATATATTTTGTGAAACTGTATATTTAGCCTGATACAATTTAAAGGCGCAGTCCACCAATTTTACACAACTTTTCACCCAACTCCTACAGAATAAAAGTCAGGATGTTGAAGCCTCTGCTGCTTCATGAGACCCTGTATGGAAGTGCACTACTCAATTGGTGGAATACCCCTTTAACATCCGACATTAACACTGATTTAAAACATTAAATTCTAACAGTTGTGCACTTTTACTACTTTAAGAAATATTCTGTGCACACTATGTGGCCCTACTAGCCAGAGCAGACATGATACAGACTTACCCCATGTTTTTGGATGGCAACATTGGTGAGATGAACAAACATGTTGTCCAGTTCACTTGTACTGGGTGTGTACTTCACTGTGCAGAACCGACAGAAGCCCAGTTTGTACCTGAGAGACAAACACCAGAGAGAGCTCACATAAACAACTTTGATAAGATCAGTAACAGTCACTGCTATGACTAATTCATTACCAAAACCTTCCCTGGTGAATAATTACAGACAAAACAGGGTAATGGTTCAACTACAGCCAAATTCTATGCTTTAATAAGAAGGGCTTACATGTAGCATTTCAGAGGCCGATAGGTGGTCACCAAGACATAAAGCCGCAGGTCAAACTTCTTCCCTCCTATCAGCAGAGGATTGTCAATGTACAGGGAGATGACATATGCTTCCTTACCACTAGAGGCTGCTACAAACCTGGGGCCAAAAAAGCAAGACACCAAACATCAGCAAAACCACAACCAAGCTGATGTGTTAAAAGAAAGATCATTACCAGTTTTGGATGTTTACCTGGAAATCAAATGCTTAAAGAGAAGATTACACAGGTTTTTTCTGTGCATATAACTTCAAAGTGTTAGGCTTCCTCCTCACATCGGGTCATTTACTGAGAAGTGATCATTAACCAATGCTGGCATTACTTCACCAAACGAGTAGAGAATAGAGAATGGAGAAAAAACAGGTGCTTTGTGGTTTGTTTTTCCATAAAATTGAAAGAAAAAAGAGGAAATACAAAAAACACACCTACATACAGCAACCTCACAGGAAGGTTTCAGCGGCGGTGGTTAACTCACGTGGAGGTGCGGCTGTCTCTGGACCACTTTTTGATCTGGGACAGTTTGTTGATGAGGAAGATGCCTTTGCCCTGGGCCTTCCCGCAGGGCTTCATGATCCAGGTGCTGGACGGATTCTTACGAAACTCCTCCACAAACAAATTATAATCAGCCGGGAGCATGAACGTCACAGGGACAAAATCTGCACAATGATGGAGGAAACAGAAAAACATAATCAACTTTGTCATATGCGTGTCTATGAGAGGAAAAGGAAAGGAGGCAGATAAATATCTTTGCATTTGTACACTCATCCCTCTCTGTAGTGCTCTGATAGATACCTAGATAAATGTATTTCCCGTTCTCATCCTTCTCTGCCAGCGGACTTCCTTCCTTCTCAAGCTCCTTGCGGTAGCGTTTGATGTTCTTGATCATCAGGTCCTTCCTGGTCAGCTCATAGTGGTTGGGGAAGTGGTTAACCATCTGGTCATCTGACAGGCGGTAGCCGGTGTCCACACTGAACACATTCCTGATGGTCTGGACGCTCATCCTGCATGTAGCACAAATATTACGACACTCTGGAACCTAGGCAGGATAATCATGCACCCTACTTCTCCTTCACTGCATTTCAGAGGCATATATTGCACTTTTCACTCCACTGCTGTTGTTACTGGGTACTTTTCAAATGAACATTTTACATAAAAAGATAAGATTAAACCAGAGGTTTCCAACCTTTTTGACTTGTGTCACCTTATAAAAAAGAAAGGTCTAGTCAAAGCCCCTTGTAACGTTTCAGATGTTAACCAAATGTAAGATTATCCAATATTTCACAAAAAATTAGCAAAGGTTAGACAAATTAACAAATATATGTGAAGCAAAACTTTGTCTTTTCTTCTTTTCTCTCCTATTAACCATCTCACGACCCCTCAGATTGGTCTTGTGACATTTGGGAAGTGGCCTGAATCCTAGTTTGGGAACCACTGTTCTAAACTACCTGACTATATACTATATAAAGCAGTCGAAACTGGTACCTTCTCACCTCACACCAGTATTAACAACCTAACAGTATAATATAATGTAATAAAAATGTATGGCAGGGGCCATTCAACCTTGGCGTACATTCACATTGTGATAGTTCTACATAAGCATAGAATGTGAGTACTTCTACCACCATTGCCTACATATATATTATATATACACATGTATAACGTGCTTGCATGAAATAGTGTCTAAGGACTACAAGTGCAGGTGTAATGTAGATGGGAAACTTACCAGTAAAAATTCCAGTCTTCGTTTTCTGTGACTTGAATCCATTCCCTTTTCTCAAAGTTGTTGATGAGCACTGACTTTTCAATATCTGTCACCCACTTTACCTTACCGGCCATGGTGCCTCCCACTAGGGTGGAGCACAGTACAACAGGTAAAAGCAGATAAACAGGCTGACAGCACTACGGATAGAGAAATGCAGGGTAAGAAGAAGGGAAATGCATGCTGTTACGGTGCACCGGAGCATTTCGCATTGCCCCTGTGGTTTCTATCCAGTCACCTACCTGCAAATCAATGTCAGGAAACAGCCAGTCATCAGCATCAGCTAGCCGGGCTGGCTCAGTTGTTAGCAGGCTGCTGCTGAATCCTCCCCGGACTGCTGCAGAGGCTGGGCGGACATCACCCAGTCAGTGATGCAATCTCATCAGATAGTCGTTAGCTGAACTCCAAGCCAAGCACAGCGGCAGGGCGGTTTGTTAGCATCGCCGTTAGCAAACCATTTCTCCCAGGTTAGCATTCTTTATTGCTAACAAGCTACATTTATTGATCCAGGCGTCGTGAAGCTCGACTGTGACGCCAAGCCCACCACGGCCAAACTGCTCTTCACAATAAAAGTCTTTGTTATTAATTACATTCATGTATATATAGATACAATATTATGCGATTTAATTTCAATTTTAAAGAAAATTTAATTTAAAAATGTGTAGAAAAAAAACAATTACACGACACCGTTTAGGGCTTGGCTTTTCCGGGAAAATAACCTAGCAACGGGGGACGCAGTGATGTCATTGCAGGGTGTCGTTACCACAGTGTACCAGCAGGGGTCAGCGTTGGACAGCCTGTCGTATTTTTAATCATTACAAACACGTTGCATCCATGTGATGTCTGTTAAAACTGGTACTTACACCTTCTCTTGGATTTCTTACTGAATAATTAGATTTTGTTGCGTATACATTTTATTCATAGATGTACATATTTTTTAGGACAGAAATTTCTTAAAAGTTTTTTCTTCACTGGCCTGGTTTAAGCTGCTTGAACAGGACCCTCCCTCTTAGTTAACTTATTCTCAGTATGAATGTATGCTGTAAATGTATCAACAAATTATGTCTGAAAAAATTGTACTTGAATTTTGCACAATAAAAAAGCAAATAAAACCAAAACCACTGCATACATGTTTGCCATAAAATCCAAAATTTATGTTGATTATTCTGCACAAGAGATTATTCCACTGATAATCTTTTTAATAATCTTTTACTTTATCAGAACTTGTGTCTTATGGACAATAAGGGTGACAGAACAAGGCAATTGCACTATTATTATAATATGTAAAATAATAGCACTTAGATGTCACTATTACATACTGAATAAGTTAAGATATAAATTATCAAAAATTAATGACTATATCTTTAACACTAACCCTGTATCTAACTATAAACAATGCAGATTAGCAAAATATCAGAAAAAAACATAAGACAGGGACAGTACAAAGAAAGATTAAATATATAATAATAAAAATAATATTGGTTTGCGGGACTTTCCACATAAACTGAAAAAAAGATTTATGCATATGATATTTTCACAAAGTTTGAAATGATTCTTGATTTATGCATATGGCATTTTCCCCAGCAGACAAAAGGGATCATATAGCTCTCAGCTACTCTAAGATATAAAAAGCAGTATTCTGAAGTAATCTGAAAAGATACATTTATTTTCTAAAGCACAGCTACTGTCGCCCCCCCGTGGTCACTCCCGGCAGCAGCAGGTAAAGGCGTGGCCAATCACTTTTGTGGCAGTTACCTGAGAACAACAAGATTAAAGGACGCTGCTGTAAGTACAGGAAAACACCTTGCGATGATTTCTTTACTTTATCATTTCCAACACATTTTAATTAAAATGTCTTTATATTTATTACAGGGCGGCGTCCACTTTAATCTACACAAAAGGTAGGTTTTACTTTCCTTTTATTGTACAGGCACCTGTTTACTGTCAGGGCGGGAGCGTTCATTTTCGATTAATATCTTACATGATATTATTCCTAAAGAATACAATACATTAGTTAATTAGAAATGTAGTTTTTCATTTTTTAATGAATTAATCTCTGCGGACTTAATGTGTAACTTAATATGTGTGATCGTCCAAACGACCTTTGTTTGCATTAGGTGAGGGATGATTTCATCTCTTTGTTGTGACAATACGGAAAACTACTATTGACTATTACACGAGTTATACTCAACAACTGTCCTCTGAGTATTATTTTGCAGCCTTGGCTGTGATTATATTAATCATATTAAATTATATTAAGGTTCCCACATTTATGGCAACATTTTGATGGTATTTGATCTTTTTCTTTTAAATTGGCTTAAACTCCTTAAAAGATTTTCTCAGGATCCATCATGATTTGTAAATACACAAACATTTAATGCCTCTAAGCAGATTCTTTGGAACCGGCGATGTGTTACTTCTTCTCGGAGAGGGTAAAAAGGCAGTTTGGTTGATTTGAGTTATGGAAATGGAGCATTTGCATTCAGGCACATGATTGTAGACACAACAGGAACTGGCATCAGGACAGGTGCACGTAGGAGGCAACAATAAACATTTGCAGGCTTGACTGTTATGGCAAAACAGAAAATAACAAGTCATATGTAAGTGTATAGTGAGAAAGGTAGATTAGATGTATAGTTTTCTGCATAAACTCGTCCTGAACTTCATGTCCATTTGGGAGCTGAAACACACTGCTGCAGTGTACAGTAGTAAATGGACTACAACCGTTGGACTTAATCCAACAGATGATGTCATCTCAAACCTAGGAGAGCCTGTTTTATCTACCTGGATTTTCTTCCCGGTAACACAGCCACCACCTATCCTGGTAACCTGACCCAGTATTTACACAGCCTGTTTATGACCGTTGGGAGTCAAGCAAGGATAACACACAGACAATGTCAAACCACAGAGCCATTATCTGTCCTGCACGACTAATGAAGCTCAAGGTACTTTTATCTCACATATACTAATATGAATAATTTGCATATTGCTGGTTCTCTTTTCAGAAAACAAAGATGGTGGAACAAACAAGACAGCCGAGTCGTGTCGTCTCTCTCCAGGCTGGACCTGGCGAGGTGGACGCTGGCACCCTGTTTGACGTTAACCTCAGGTACAGCACAGGCCCTTCACCACACTAGAGTGACTGTTAATAACAACAACACACAGTTCAGACAGACGGAGCCTCAGGACACAGACCATGTGGGATCAGTTGTACCAAAAACAAACACAAAAACATTGAAAAAAAAAATTTGTGACATAATGTGACAAATCCAACTGGAAAAATCTAAGTGACTGAACAAAATCTCTGCTTGTTCCCTCTTCAGAATCAATGACAGGACTGCCCGTGCTTTTGCCCGCCAATTGGCTGTAATTGGAGACCAGCTGGACCGGGAGTGGACCAGCAGACAGCCAAACTGGCTACCAACTCCGCTACACATGCTGAGACCTGCTCAGGCACTGACCAGGACCATCTATCGGTAAAAAAAATAAATTCATCCATTTCATGTTATTTCACTCATCAGATCTTTATGTGACTGGCTGTAACCTGGTGTTGCTCTGTCCCAGGGACATCCACAGCCAGTTTTGGGGCTTCCAGGGTCTGTCTGCTGCAGTGAAGGCCTGGATAGCGAGCACTGCGCCTGGGCAGGGCATCCTCAGAGCTGAAGCGTGGACAGCCTGGGTAACACTTGTTTTCTGTGACATTATACATGTCTCAACTGACCCTTCGCTAAGCTGTTACTCTCTCTGATATAGCAGCATCTTAGCACTGACGCAGCCGATGTGTCAGTGCCAAACAGGTCATCAGAATCAGAATCGTGTAATTAGCTCATGTGCCCAGTCTCTTTGGTTGTAAAGTTGGGTTACTACTGGAGGTAGTAAGCTAGCCACACATGCAAATGTTTGCCGCTTACATTAGAGCAGATAAACGCTCGGTTTAATCCTCACATTACTTACACATTTGCTCCTTTATTTTTGTTTTTTGAAAGGTTAAAAAAGCAGAATCATCCAAATGCTTAAGAAGCTGATTATCACTGATTAAATTCCTGTGCGCCCTGTTTCAGCATGTGGAGAGATCCAAAGCTTGACAGACCTGCTATGCTTAGTTATTATTGCTAAGCTATGATGAAGACATCATAATTTATATGCGTGCAAAATAATCTTTCCCTGTGTGCAAAATGTCCCACTGCTCAGATCTGAGACACAGATAAGACCCCATGTGTTAATGTTGGACATGCAGTTCAAGTTTGACTCAGTGTGCTTCTTTTCACAGGTGTCCAATTTTAAAGTGATAACCTGCACTGGCTGGACCAGAGGAGCCCTCGTGACTGTGGCTCTGGTGGCTGCATTGACCCTCTTCGGTGCACTATGGAAAGAATGGAAAGCCTAAAGGGCCATAAGCAGGTCTTTTTGGCCAATATACATTTGACAAAAAAAAAAAAAAAGTTTGTAAGCGAGTGACAATTATTGCTAACTGATTTATTTCTGCTGTTTACTTTGACTTCTCTTTTTATACTATTTTAATGAGTGGTATTGAAGCTGACACTGAAGACTGTGAACAAATTATTGGGCAAGTAAAAAATATTCTTTAAAACTTATCAGGGCATGTGGATATAGTTTAAATCAGTTTTACACCATTGCCTGAGGAGTTGGCCAGCATATTGTAGCAGTGACATGTTGGTTCACAGTTGTCAAAAGCATGTCTCCATGACTGGACTGTTGCTGGCCTGCAGTCTTTTGTATCCTGATTAGTTTCTTACTGGTTTAAGAGGCCAACTTTTTTTTTTACAGATGATATGTAGCCTGGCTTAATGGAAAATGAAGGGAGCTGGACTTTCTGTTGCAGACTTGAAACTGCTTTTCACGTGACGCAAATAAAATTTAAAATGGCAAAATGTTGCAGGCTCATTAATAAAAACAAAAAAAATTAAAAAAAAAAAAAAAAAAAGGATTTATTTAATTATACAGTAATACACAAAGAAGACCTTAAGAAGCAACCACAGGAGCTTGCAGGTCTAACTGGTCTCGCTGGTCAGAATGTCTCCTGCTTGCTTGGTTTGTTATCACTGAGTCCACACCTCTGCATTGTCAGTCTTCGTAAGTGGTGACTGGCACCTGTGTATACGTTTTGAAGGCCTTCCTGTTGCACATTTGAAGTGTTGAACCAAGCTGCTTTCCCGGGCCAACCTCGTAGGTGTGAGGGAACTTCTCTCCCTGCGTCCTCTCGTAGATCTCGTGCATCGTTTGCTCCCACTTCACGGGCGACACCAGCTGCTTCACCAGCTGTCTGCGCACGTGGCTCTCGTTCATGTAGCGTTTGCCATCGACATTGGAGTACACGTTGATCTCGGGACGCCGCACCTGAACAGGAGAGAAATCTAGGTGTTAGATGATGAGTGCTAAATCAGAATAATTTTTTAATTAATAAAATAAACACCATAAAGGCCCGATGTGGCTTAAAAACTGTTTGACTGACCTCCACCTGTCTGAGAACATCTCTGAGGGGTTCGGTAGCCGACGCCATCAGCTCGGTGTGAAAAGCTCCGCTGACCGGGAGAGGTTTGGTCCTCATGAACTCCAGACGCCTCGAGTTCTGCTTGAGGAAATCCAGAGCCTGGGAAGACGGAGAGAGAGAGAGATCTCACAGGAGACGCCTGAGACTCAAAGAAAAATACCCTTCTTCATCATACGTTTGCACAGATATGCTTCACTGTGATGTAGATAAAGCAAAGATGTAATGTCCTGTCCCACCTTTAACTGGTGGTTACACCTGATGCGTTCACAGCTGTATTTTGAATTGAGCTTTTGTGCTGCATACCTGTTGGTGTCCTGCGATGACCCTGCCGTCAGGGAACAGATAGTTGGCCACAGAGCACACCGGCTCCTCAATCCCCAGGCTCTTGCAGTGCTCTTTAGCTTGAACACAAGCGTATTTATACTGAGCCTGACGTCTCCCGATCACTGACAGCATCCCACTGGGAACCAGCTCTGATGCTTTCTGCATGGCCTCTGCACGCACCTTCACCACATACAGGGCTAGATCAGAAGACACAGCAAGGGTAAATACGGCAGACTAACTAACATTGGTGTTTTTTTCACTGAGCTCCAGCTTTGTCCTGCACAACACAGGAAGCATGTCATGTTTACCTTCTGCAAAGTTCATGGCACCAGAAAAGACCAGAGCAGCAAATTCTCCGACGCTGAAACCTGCAGCAGCAACACACGTCTCGATGGCCTGTGGACGAGTGTAAAGAAAAAGAAGATAATGCCCGGAGTTAATAATAATATATAATAATAATAAACAGTAGATGAATCATAATAAAATATTATTTTATCATTTTACATAATTATCAGCTGCAGCTCTAATTAGACAAGTTTCCAGAGGCCATGGAGTGACAATACCTGAAACAATGACTTAAAACTCTAACTAGAAGTTGTTCAATAATTTCCTGTCAATCATTGCAGACTAATCGATTAATCGTCATCTGACGTACATTTGGGTTTTCTCGGTTCAGCCTCTCCACCGCAGCCAGTGAGGTGACAAACACCGCCGGCTGACAGTGGACCGTCTTCATCAGCTCCTCCTCGGGGCCCTCCAGGCACAGAGACAGCAGGTCGTACCCGAGGATCTTCTGGGCGACCCTGAACATGTCTTTGACATTAGGGTACTTTAAAAGTCCTCTACACATGCCCACAAACTGGCTGCCCTGCCCGGGGAAGAGGAACACGGAGCGCTCGCTGGGGTCCTTTCGGCGTCTCCAGCGCCGTTCCTCCTCCGCGGCCGGCTCGCTGTCCCGGAGAAGAGCCGAGGTTTCAGCCGGAGGATGGTGAGCTGTATCCGGGGAGCCGCGCTGGCTGCTGGACAGTCTCCGGCTCAGAGAGACCAGAGACCTGACCTTCCCTCTGGAGGCTGCCGTCATGCTGACAGCAACTGAGGCCAACATGGTGTACTCCTCACTCGTCACCTAATGATGTCTGCACAGGTTAAAACAAACCCATAATACGACCGGATAAACTGCGATTAATTAGATAAAAACACAGCAGACAGTCTCTCTACCACCTGCATGACACAGTGCAGGACGCCGCCATGATGTTTGAAGTAGGGAGTTATTTTGTTTTCTTTCCGGGTCATTTTTCTGCTTATTTGCTTCAGCGCCACCTTCAGGTCAGAATGTGTCATTATTTTATTGATAGCTATACAGATAGCTAGATAGCTAGATCGATAGATAGATAGATAGATTGATCGATAGATAGATAGATAGATAGATAGATAGATAGATAGATAGATAGATAGATAGATAGATAGATAGATACTTAATTTATAGCCTAGGGGAAATTCATGTGTCCATTAGCTCATTGTTGATAATAATAATAATAATAATAATAATAATAATAATAATAATAATAATAATAATAATAATAATGATAATAATAACAATATTTCCCTTTTAAAATTTCCCTTCTTGGTATCAGTGAAGTCTTATCTGTTTTTTTGTTTGTTTTTTTTGTTTTGTTTTTTAAATAAATATAAATCATAAACAAACATCTGCGATAAGGATCCCTTAAACCAGGATATGTACCGAGCAGCTCAAGTGGAAACCTTGATATCTTTTATATTTCTGTTGTGCAATTACTAGTAACTTATCTGCTACATACATCCTGATAATATGTCTGTGATGAGCTAACGTCAGCTGATGCATTTGCCAGCTAGTTTATTATTTGTGCTCAGTATTTTGTCATCAACCTTGTTTTGTATGTCAAATAACAAGACAACTAAAAAAAAGGGTGAAGACCTTACTCTTCTGCAATGTTGTATTCATCTGCACTTTTAAACTTTTTACGACACATTTATTACGTACACAACTTCCTGTGGTTTCAATCATCAGATTACGGCAGAGAACTTGAAGCACAAGTCTAATATTAACAGACATAGTTGTAGAGAGAGAGGTTTTAGTGAATCAAATGGTTTGACCAGGGAAATGACAAATATCACAAAATGAAATTTTATTATTCACCAAGAAACTTTATTTGTACAAAACTGTAAATCTCTGTTGATCTTAGTCAAATGTGTTTTCATTTAATCCTGCATTGTTCTCCATCTTAGTGTGCAACTCTGAATATAAATATAATACAAAGCTTTTTGAAGGTTTTCTATGTATTATTGTGAATAATGTTTTCCTTCCACTCTCCACTCTCAATCTCGCACAAATGAAGAATTTCTTTCATCATTATTGAACTTGTACATTAGAAA